TTTATAGAGGCTCCATTGGAGTTAGCCTAATAGACACACAAAATCCTGATTTAGCAATTTGGTCTCTTTTTTGGATGAATAGATTGCTTCAGAAGTTGTGATGCTAATTGGTGGTGGGATATGCTGGGGATGGATAAGGAAGAAGACGACTTGTGAATTGGGTTGAATGAAGATGGATTGCTTCATAAGTTTTGAGAGGTTTTTTAGTGGAGGCTCTCGATGTACGGGGCGAAGTGGAGATCGATGTTTTTGTTAGATTAGATCAAGGTATTTTAATATTAAAAGTAATGGTATCAATTGTTATGGGGCTATAGTGCACGTATAAGAATTGAATGGGTGTAGTTGGTAATTATAATGATAAATCAATAGTTAATTTAATTAAAATTAAAAGTGTACGTTAGATTAGATCGACGGTGTAGAGAATCTGGAGTATGGCATGTACCGGGAGCATACGAGTCTAACATATATATATATGGGTTGCCTCCCTAATCCAATCTCTCCCAAATTGGATCCACTCTAGAGTCAGTAACCAATGATTACTGACCTGTCAGTAACTAAACCGGGACCGTAGATCTAGGAGTGGAATCATCGTGTGGCTGGGCTACACGCGAAGTGGGGAGGAGCATTTTTGTTCGATTTTTGAATTTTTTGTTCCTTTTTCTTTAATTTTTTCCAGCATTTATATGTTGTCTTTTAATGGAGGAAAGAGAAAAACATATTTCTCTCTTCACCTCTCTCTTCCAAACTCCTTTTTCCAAATCTAAATCTTCTTTCTTCTCTTGTTCTTCATTTTTTTTCCAAAAATCTACGAAGAAAAATTGCAGCCTCCCACCTCAAATCCGGTGACGCTCCAAATCCTTCTTCTCTCAAGCTGCTCCTTCCTTCTATTCTTTCTTTTCTCGGCCTCAAAATAGATGACGCTCCATATTGTCAAAAAGGTGTCAGATTTAGGTGGGTCGAGTTGCATCTTTTATGTTTTAGTATTTGTTTGTGAATTTTCAATTCCGATCTTCCTCCTCTTATTCTTTCTTTTTGCATTTGATGTTCTTGATTGCGGAGGAGTAAATGAGAGGAGACAGAAGACGAGTTTTTTCTCTCTTCCTCTTTATGTTTTTCCCCTTCTTTGAGATTATATATATCGATATTACCACACTATACTATATGGTAATGTGTGTTAACTAAATGTAATTTTATAGTCATGAGTTATATCATGGTGGTAGTGAGTGGTAATCGACACCAATTCCGAGAAAGAAGAGTTAGAAGACAATGAAGAGAGAGAAGAAAGTGAAGAAAGTCGTAATTGTATATATATATTGAGATTATCATACTATACCATATGGTAATGTGTCTATACCTTATGGTAATGTGGCCTGTAACAACATGTATTTTTATGAATATCATGTTTTACTATGCTTGTAGAGGGTTGTAATTAGATTTATATGGTTTTACCTTCTCATACCATGTGGTATTATATGGTAATTATAAGTAATTTGTGGTCGTTCAATTACCATGTTCTACTATGGTGGTATTGTATGCTAGTTAGATATATAATTTTCTGTAGCGTGGTTTACCAAGTTATACCATGTGGTGGTAGTTGGATTTGTAATTTTATTTTAGCATGTTATACCATATGGTATGGTATGGTAATTAGATTTGTAAATTTCTGTAGCATGTTTTACCACGTTATACCATGTCGTATTGTATGGTAGTTAGATTTTTAATTTTCTTCAACATATTTTATTATGTTTTACCATGTGGTATTGTATGGTAGTTAGATTTGTAATTTTCTTCAACATATTTTACCATGTTTTACCTTGATAGTAGAAAGTGATAATCATATTTATACTTGTAATTACTATTTTAGCACTGAATTATTTAAAGAAAAAATAAAAAATCATCATTCAATTTGAGTTTGAATTATATCAGAGATAGGGTAAAATACCTCGGGTACCACTTAACTTTTGAGAATTGGGGTAGACATATAACTTAAATTTGAATAGGGCGTCGGATACCACTGAACTTTATTATATGTGCACGCGGTACCACTTAAGTTTACTGTTAAGTGCACTCCGTTAAAGTTGATAGAATATTCTTGGAATATTCCATTTTCTAAATTTCAGAATTGGTCCTTCTACTTTTCTAATTGTAAATAATCATTTGGACTTATGAAAAGCATCATTTTTTTGTTGGAATAATCTTTTGAACACTCTTATACATAATCAATTTTTTAATAAAAAATTTAGAATCAATTATCATTATAAGTATTTTCAATCATATGTGTTCTAATAATTGAATTTTTTTTTCCAAGAAAATATATCCTCTGAATTCTTTCTCAATATAGATAATCCAACGATGTTATATTTAGTTCTCTTACATCATGATGATGTTTTCTAATTCTTAATGTTAAATTTTCTTGTAATTCTCTAATATTATATTATAAATATTCCATATTAGTTAATGTACTAATTATAGTTCTCTTCTTATACACTATAGTTGTATACTTTTTTTCAATTACTGGAATATGTGTAATTATTTATATATTTTTAGTGTTGCTTTTAATTGTATTAGGGGTTTAAATATATATTATAATAATTATTTAAATCTTTTTTATTATCTTTTAGTACATTTATTATTCTTTTTATATTCATTTATTCTTTTTACTAATTTATCTATTTTATTGAAAAAATTTCATTAGTCATTCTAGTAATACTATGTTTAGAAGGTTTTATAATTATTATATTAGTTAATACTTGTTGAAATATAGTTTTGGATGTTTTTAATAGTTTTGGGTATCTAAAGGTAATTGAAATTTTGGGTTGGATGGAAAACTAGACGGATGCACCTTTTGGTGACTTTAATGGTACCTGACGCCCTATTCAAAGTTAAGTGGTATGTCTATCTCAATTCTCAAACTTAAGTGGTACCCTAGGTATTTTACCCATCAGAGATAGCTAGGATGGTTAGATTCATTTTTGTTGTAGATTAGAGAGAGAAGAAATACTATATTTTTTCTTTTAATAATAAAACAAAGAGTGAGAGAGGGAGGGGAACCAGTGTGGGGTGGGGGAGTGGTAACCGCGTCTGATCAAAAGTCAACGTCAAAGCGTCATCATTAAATAGGGGGTGCAATTTACCTTAGTGTCCCTCCGTGTTTAATTTAAATAAAAGGAAAAGGCTGACACGTGGGGACCGATGATTGAATTACTGACTGATAGAAAAGATACTGATCTGATCTGGTCCCCGCTCTTCCCTGACTTTGTTCCAAGTTCAATCCCACCCCCAAAATGCCTTTGCGGAGTCTGTTGTCTCTTCCGTCTTCAATTTTTCATCTGCAATAATGTCATCGCAAATCCCCTCTACATCGACACTGCCGCCGAACCCATCAACCTCGTTGTCTCCCCTTCAATTCCCTTACCGGCGACTAGAGGTGTCAATCGGGCGGGTTCGGGCGGGTTCGGGCTAGGTTCATTCGGGTTGCGGGTTGGTCGGGTTGCGGGTCGATCTGGTTGCGGATCGTGGGTTACTTGGATTGCGGGTCAATCGGGTTGTGGGCCAATCGGGTTGCGGGCCAATCAGGTTACGGGTCCGTCGGGTGCGGGTCAATCGGTTTGCGGGTTGGGCGGTTCGGGTTGCGGGTTTTACGGACCAGAACATCGCGTTACGTTTTAGTACCGTGACTAGTTATAACTAATCACCATGTAATTTACCATGATTATTTGTACCGATTAATCACAGGAAAAACACTGTCTAATGTTAAATTTTGAAGCACATATCCAAAAAAAAAAATAAACATTTAAACACTAGATGTGATTCTTTTAAGATGGTATTAACCGTGACAAAATTATTTTCGGTGACTAGATATCTTTCACTGGTCACGGTATTTATCTCATTCTTCCATGATTAAATACTAATCTCTAGTCTCCATATTTTTATAGCCAATTACATACTAATATTCACAAATCTATAATTATATATATTAACGTACAATGACATGATTGTTAATATAACTTGTTCCAATATCATTTATCCATCAATATATTGAACAACAAGTCTAATATTCTTGTAGCATGAAACCCAAACCAAACAAAAACCAATCTGAGTCCCTCGACAATGCTGAGAAATCAAGTGAAACCAAACTAACGGCAGAATAATTGACTTGCCATTTTCATCAACAGGATTGGCATTCAGCAAAGGAAACCCCTTCAGGTAGACCCGAAACATTATCATATCTATTATTCAGAGGGTAGAAAACTCCAATTCGTGCTATTGCTCAAAACCCTCAAATTGATAGAACCCTAATTTTTTTATTTACAAATTCAACAGTCAATCAAACATAGAAGCTGAATTTGAGTATCAAAAGATGTTACAAATAATTATAGGGGATCAAATTCATGTTCGAATGGAAGGAGAAAGGTTTAATTCGGGGAGAAATGCATAAGATACAATTCCATCAATTTCAGAATCAAATCGAGACAAAATCATCCCAATCTTCAGAAAGAGGAAGAGGAGTGAAAATTGAACCTAATGGGCCGTTTACTTGCCATTCCATTTCTGTTAGCTGCCACAACAGAAAACAAAATTAAAATGAAAATGAAACTGTCATTTCCTGGAAAACAAAACCTGAAAAAATCTTGTTTAGCTGAGAATTTTTGTGAGTTCTGAAACTGAGTTCTGAAATGAAAACCTGTTTAGTTGCTTCATTCTGTTTTCTGATTCTTGATTATCATACAACCCTAGCCATGATTATAATAACAATTACACAACTCTAATAATGACTATAATAACAATTACATTGTTTTTAAACTACTAATAAACATACGGATATTTTATATAAAAAATAATATTACAACATCAAACATTGGATATTCTGTCTCTTTAAAAACCAATAACACTGTCATGAATATCATTCTAGCATCATAGTTTAGTGCTCTGTGATACTAGACACGTCTAAATTATAGTACCATTTCATCAACCAAACTTCACAAATCCATTAAACCCACACTATAACCATTTTTTTAATAACACTAGAACCATTCTAGATAGAAACCCCACATCAAAAGCTAGAAAGCCAATTGGAAGACACCAACCACGACTACCAGGCCACCCAAATCTGCATCAACTACGACTACCTTGCCAACTTCACCTCCAACTCGTCCGCGACATCCACAATGAATTTGCCGGATTGGTGTACGGCCAGATTACATCCACGTGGGGTTGGAACGGGAACAGGACGGCCTAATCCCGCGAGGCGCAGTGCTACATAACCACCAAAATCTTCTTTTTACGGCGAGGATTACAGGTGAAACTATCCTTTCTTTCCGTGTTTCCTTCCCACCTTTCGCTCTCATCACCGGCGATGGGAAGGAGGGGAATTCAGTCGGAGGAGACCAGAGCGTTGGTTACTGGGTCTACCACGGCGGCACGTGGTGCCGTGGCGGCCGTTGTTTCTTCCTCCAATTCGCCTCGTGGGGCCCGCCGCCGAGTGAGGAAAAGGAGCAGAACGGGGACAGGGGCAAGGCCGGGGTCCGAATCATAGTGGAAGCCGTCTCTGGCGGCAATTTCCGAGGACAAAGCGGCGGCGGCGGCAGAGGAGAAAGCGAGGAGGGAGAAGGAGAGGGCTGTGAAGAGGAAAGGCACCTTGCCCTTCAATCCCTCCTTGTCAGAACCCTGAATTCCAATCTTCCGCCATGCCTCCCGCCATCGCAGCGAAAGCTGTAGCTCCCGCCTCCACCGCCTCAACGAAGAGAAAGAACGATGGGAAGAACGACGGGCTGGGGGAAGGTCATTGCTGGAGAAAGAAATAAAAGGGAAGTTGATATAGAAGGGAAAGAACGACGGGCTGGGGCCCCGGGGGAAGGTCATTGCTGGAGAAAGAAATAAAAGGGAAGTTGATATAAAAGGGAAAGAACGACGGGCTGGGGAAAAGTCATAGGGAAGTTGAAATTAAAAAAAAGGGGTCGTGGGATTCGAATCCCCGACCTCATTAAACCAAATTATCATTTTTCCGCTGGAACCGGGGAGAAACCCGTGTGTCAGTTTCCTGGAAAACGACATTTTCTTGTTTTCGGCCAGATACTTCATTCGTTGCTCATCGTTTTTTCAATTAAAAATAGAAAACAAGTGAACACATTTTTTCGTCTACGTTTTCAAATTTTTGTTTTGGCAACAATAAACAGAAAACGAAATGGGAAGTGAACAAGGCATAAAATTAGTCAAACCCTATGCTTAATACTCTACAGAAATGGACAATCCAAAAGTAAATGCTCCAATGTCTCCAACTCAACCAACACATCGGAAATCAAGCATCACAATTGACTTTCATGAGCTAAAGAGCATCTGAAAACCTTAACCAACTGGTTGAATCGATCGGTTCCAACGGGTTTCCCCTATTTTGACCGAATCTGAAGCAACTCCACACTGGGTTGTTGTTTACACGGTTAGGTCACAGATCCGGACAAAAATGGTGCGACCAGCTTGTTTACCCGTTGGCTCAGACCCTTGGACCTAAACCAATGACTTCTTCTTTTCTTTCTTTCCATCCGTCATTAACAAAAACAAAAAAAAAAGGAAAATTCGAAGAACGAGAGGAGAGTTGGGTGTGGGAATAGGGATGGCAACAAAACCCGATCCCACGGGTACCCATCCGACCCAACACGATCAACGCGGGTAAAATTGTGTTGACGGGTTTTGGGTCGGTTTTGGGTTTAAACCTGTTCACTATTCACTGGGTTGGTTGGATTTGGGTTTAGGTAAACCCGCCCCATGGGTACCCTCCCACACCCATATAATTAATTTTCTCGGTATATTTAATATTCTAAACAACTAATTTTATTTATGTTTGTGGAGACATGTCTAATTTTTTCTTTCTAATTGTGTAGAATGAAGTTGATGTTATTGAGTGGAGAATGAAAAAACTTAATTGACAAGGAGATAGAAGTAGTGATGGCAATTTCAACCCGCCCCGCAGGTATTACCCGACCTGACCCGCGATGGGGCGGGTATTACCGACCCGCAGTAGTGTGGGGCGGGGCATGGGTATCTACTTCTGACCCGCCCTGCACAGACCCGCCCCGTTCTAGACTCATTTTATCTCTATTTCTTACAATTTCTATACATATTTCTCATATTTTTTACCTTTCTTCAACTAGTTAGAGTCGCTCTTTCAACTTGTTAGACTCAATTACCCATTATATTATCACTATTTTTCATTCTTAAATTGTTTTACCCTTCATTTTATCGTAAAAGGTAAAATTTACTTGTATTTTTTTCGAATAACATGTAAGAGTGGGCGACCCGCCCCGCCCCGTACCCGCGCGGGTTTTACCCGCCCCGCCCGTAGTAGCGTGGGGCGGGGCATGGGAATTGAGGTACCCGTCTCGCCCCATTGCCATCACTAGATAGAAGCTTTCAATTAATCGTGTTATTTATGGATAATTTGTGATTTGCTTCAATTGTCTTGTGTTTTCTAGATTGGTGTTGAACAATTTGTATAGTTAATTTGTGATTTGCTTGAATTTTCAAGAATGTTGTTTTATATATGGATAATTTGTATTACGAGATTGATATTTGACTTTAATTTTGATAGGAACTTGTTATTGTAAACTTTTTGCGATAAAAACTCATGGGTACCCATGAACCCTCGGAAACTCAAACCCAGTGGATTTTATCTCGGGGTTTTTTCACGAATAAACCCATGGGTTTGGGTTTGACAAAACCAGACCCATTGCCATCCCTATCTGGGAAAGGAAAGCAGCCTTTTGTTTGTCTCGTAGTTTCCTTCTGGTACATGGGCGATGAGCCGTGCTTGAGCCGGCACGGCACGGGCACGCTTCGGGCCCATTTTATTTCGTGTCGTGCTTGGCACGGCCCGTCAGTTTTTGTATCGTGCCATGCAAACCCATTTGTTAACTTTGCTAGGCCCAGCCCAGACCCGGGCACGGTTCGAATCGTGTCGTGCCTATTCGTGCTCGTGCCATGCTCGTATTCGTGTTTAATGAAAAGGACGAAAACAAAAGAGAGAATGAAAAAGAAGGTGAAAATTGGACGGAGGAAGATAATATTAAACGATAATGTTTGAGAAAAGTAACAAATAAGGGGGAAAATAAAATTGGAAGTATAGCGAGTGTGATTTGGTTTTGTTTAATTTTTTGTCCATTTTTACTTATGTTGGTAATTACGTATATATCTTTATGACACTTCTAACAACAACAAATAATTATTTTTCTACTTGTGTTTTGTAATATTTGAACCTATAATTTCTTTTTATATTTATTTTCTATCGAATAAATATTATTTTCGTGTCATGTCTGTTCTTATACTCAATAAAGTCTTGAAAATATTAAACCCGACACGGCACACTTATATACCGTGCCGTGTCCGTACTCGTGCCCGTACCCATAAAGTTTAGGCACGAAATGACCCAGAAATTATTAGTTCTCATGCTGGCCTGGCCCATTTACTTTGTACTCGTGTCGTGCTCTAATCTAATCGTGACGGGCGTGCGGCATGGTCCGGTGCCCCACCTACATTTCCTTCCGTCCGTCCGTTCCCAATTCCAATTTAACAAAGAGACAGGGCGAGTCGCGAGAGGTAAACGACGACAGGTGCCGAGCCGGACTGCTGCTCTGCTTGGCGCTGATAATTCCGCCGGACGGACAGCCCCCTTTTATCCAATTCTTGTAATAATTACATAAGTCAATTAGTAGTTCCCACTTCATTTGCCCTTCTCTTTATCTGTCCGGCCTCTTCTCTAGTCCTCCGCCGTCGAATCCGTGACAATTCCACCGATCGGAAGCCCAACGGTGATATAGAAGCTCTAAGGTGATCATCCTCTTCCAATTCTCCCTCGCGTTCGAAATCCAATCAATTTTGGGGGTTGATCGGATTTTTAGGGCTTTTTTTTCTCCTGTTGGAATTGTGGTTTTTTTGTTCTTGATCATCGGGGTCCAGAATCTAGTTCTGCATTTTGGTGGAATTGGGGTTTGGAATTTCTGCGAATTAGCTGTAAATTCAACAGCTTTTTTTTTTTTTTTGCTATTTCCAGCTTTCATTGTGATGCTTCATTAGTTTCCTCTTCAAATTGGATCGATGATTGATTATTAGTTTCAATGAACTTGGGTTTTGAAGGCAGAGAAGATGGCATCTTCTTCAGACGCGTGGATGAAGGAGTATAATGAAGCGGCAAAGCTTGCGGATGATATCACTGGGATGATATCTTCTCTCCCTTCATCAGGACCTGAAAGTCAACGTCATGCTTCAGCTGCTCGCAGGAAGATCACCATATTGGGTACCCGACTTGATAGCTTACAGTCTCTTTTGACAAAGCTTCCCGGAAAGCAGCAAGTGTAAGCCGCTCGCCATTCACTTCCATCCATCTTGAAGCTTGATAATACCTTATATGCTGGGCAGATTCTGTTTCTATTTGTTGGCTGTCCGCGTAGCGCTGCTTTAACTTTTGAATGCAGCAGTTCATTTGAGATCATAAATTGGCCGTGTAATGTTGGCAAACTAGTGATTGATTATCACCAATGTGGATGTTCATTGTTGTATCGGTGCAACATGGTAAAAGTCGCTAACTTTGTCTCGGCTTTCTGGGTTGTGGTACGCAGATCAGAAAAAGAGATGAACCGTCGCAGGGACATGATTGGGAACCTTAGGACGAAAGCCAACCAGATGGCTTCCTCGTTGAACATGACAAGCTTTGCCAATAGGGATAGTTTGTTAGGCACTGAAATTAAGCAATCTGACATCATGAGTCGAACAACTGGTTTGGACAACCATGGCCTTGTAACTTTTCAGCGACAAGTTATGAGAGGTAATGTTGTTATTATCAGTTTATTTTCTGCATCTTGTAGGGTATCATTTGGAATTTCCTGGCTTATAGTACTTGCTGCTTTTGGTATTCTAACGGAGATGTATCCTTGAAACAGAGCAAGATGAGGGCCTTGAGAAGTTGGAGGAGACGGTAATCAGTACCAAACATATCGCCTTGGCAGTCAATGAGGAACTGGATCTTCACACCAGACTTATTGTATGCTCCTCTTATTTCTTGCATTCACTATTTGTCTTTTCAATTTAATATGCCCTATGCTTACAACCAAAATGAAGGAGAACATGCATGTTAGTCTGGAAGAATCATGAATTTGCCCTTGAATTGCAGGATGACTTGGATGAGCATGTGGATGTCACAGACTCCCGCTTAAGGGTAAGCAAGCTCGTGTCTTTGGTTGTCTTCATTAGGAACTTTTCTTGAATTGTTACCGACTGACCACCCATACCCCAAGTTTACATCTGAGGTTATGTGGCATAGTTGTAGCTTAGTTTATATATGGTTTGTGACAGAAATAACTGACACTTGAAAAGGATATTTCATTTTTTAGTCTCACTGATCCATTAGTGCCTTTTGGTCATTGCATTCATTCTTGTTGAATCTTTTTAAAGGCTTCTGCTTCTAAAATTTCCGTTTCTGCTAGAACTCTTAAGACTCTAGATTAGCTACCCTAAAACCAAATGCTTTAGCAGCAATGCAATGTTGATACCCTGAGACTAGCTAATTCAAACATACCAGCAACAGTTGCAATTTATCCGACTGTTTCGCACAGTGCTAGATCTTGTTATCTTTGCTGAGGTTGCCGGAAGTGTTGTTAGGATAGCTCCTCGTGAATTGTTGAAACTTGAAAGAGTTCTGATTTCTTTCCTCGATTTTTCTTATGAATACAGAGAGTGCAAAAGCAATTGGGAGTATTGAACAAGCGAACCAAGGGTGGTTGCACCTGCCTGTGCATGCTTATGGCCGTAATTGGGATCGTGGCTCTGGTTGTCGTCATATATATGCTGATCAAGTACTTATGATCCTGAGGGGCGTACCTGAAGCCTCTCATTTCAATTTATCTGCCCTATTCTGCCTGCTGCTCTGCCCATTCTGCAACAAGTCGCTCTTCCCTCCTGTTTTAATTTACCTTTTCCCTGTCGCTTGTTTTGAGAACCATTGTGTTTGGAGATTTTCTGTTTCCGTTCCATATGGTGATGCGATGTTGAGGTGGCAGAAGTTGTAATACGAAAAATGTCGGGGACCAACTCTGTAAATAATCTCCCAAGTGATTTGGCCTGCGTGTCATTCGTCTGTTTGGTCAACCAAAGCCAAAAATTACACGTTTTAATGTGATGTATGGTTGTGCCCTTCATTCACCTTTGGCACTGCCGATTGTCGACATTGAGCCATTGATCACTAATGTTCTGTGTCAAGAATATGCCTTCCAATTGCGCTTTTATGAAACAATGGTCCTCTCCTCTCAAATGTCTTCAACAGCGATCGAGTCTAGATAGTGGTAGACAGAGTCGTTAGGATTAACATGATTTGTCTGTGTACGACCTTACAAAAAAGGGTTAGTTTCATAGCACAATAAATTGTTCGTAGAAATGTGTACCGATTCTTGGATCCCCATCCTTGACTTGACTTATTGAGTTCATCCACAACCTGAGATTCGAACGTAAACGAACCTTAGCCCTTTTTAAACCATTATCATGTCGATACTGGAGCTTACTATTATTTGCCAGAGCTTAAATTAAGTAACTAAAACAAGCATGGAATAGAGAAATAAATTTTACAACTTGAGGAGCTTCACAATCAATACACAGCTGCATTGCAGGAGGAAACCACTCCATCTCAATAATGAACCGAAAGAGAGGAAGAAGGAAATTGAGGGGGGGAAAAGAAAGGATCAAAAGAAGAGCTTTCTTGGAGAAGCCGTGGCCGAAGTTGCAGCAGCAGTAGCTTTGAGAGGAAGAGGGTTTTCTTTGCTAGTTTCTTGGTTCCCTGCTGCCATCTTGTCAAGCAGTTTGGCTGCCTTGGGATCTGTTAGAAGCGTCTTCTGAAACGACTGTGAGAAGCCAGTTGCAATGATGGTCACATGAATCTCTCCATTGAAGCGTTCGTCAACCACTGCACCGAAGATTATGTTTGCAGATGGATCGGCCAAACTTGTCACCACCTGGGAAATTCAGAGTTGAGATATGAGCAAAACCACTAAAGTTGGAAGGGAAAGCAGCAGCAAGAGGAAGCACATACCTGCGACACTCTATTTACTTCTTGCAGCGTTATGTCCTTTCCACCAGTTATGTTGTAAACAACTCCAGTAGCCGATTGGATGGACGATCCCAACAGAGGTGCCAGAGTTGCCTGCTCAGCTGCTTCTTCTGCTCGGTTTTTCCCAGAGGAAGCCCCAACTCCAAGCATTGCAGTTCCAGAATCTTTCATCACTGCCTTTACATCAGCAAAGTCAACATTCACCAGCCCAGGTATCTGCAAGAACAGAAAGAAGTAGAAAAACTTAACTTGCTATTTTTGGGGCCCTCGATCAAACCACTACTACGGACCCCATCAGCTGTAATTGTAAACCAGTGGTTTCCTAAAATATATCAGTATAAACTCTTGGCTCTAGATAGACCATGGTACTGTGCAGAAGCGTAGTTTGAAAAGCTAATATCCATACAGGGACTGGCGAGGGAACATGTACTCAGTTGAATGTTCGATAACTCGGCATTGTGATTATAATCAAGAAATGTACAGCATGAGATGTTAGATCAGGTGGCAACGGCCCTTTGTTCACTGCTGTTTCCAGTTTACAACCCAATAATTTAATATTACTAGAAATTCACACAAGGAATGAAACGTGTTTAGTTCCTTATTATCTCTTTACTGATAACTGAAGAAAGCCTTAAGATGGGGAAAAAAAACTCACAGTGATAATATCAGAGATTCCTTGAACACCTTGGCGTAAGACGTCGTCAGCAAGAAGGAAAGCATCCTGAAGTGCAGTCTGCTCATCAGCTATGTCAAGCAAGCGGTCGTTTGGTATCACTATCAGTGTATCAACATTCTTCTGTAATTTTTCTAGAGCTTCCACTGCCTGCAAGTGCAAATTCAACATTGCCACTATGATTGCATTAAAACAGGAGAAATACATCCATCACTCAACAATCATGTTGAAGACTTCATCGAGATGGTAAACGCAGAAAAAATAAATAGAACTTGCCTGCAAAGATCTTTTCCGGCCTTCAAAACTAAAAGGGTATGTGACTACACCAACAGTGAGATAGCCTGCCTCCTTTGATATCTGAGCCACAACAGGAGCAGCACCAGATCCTGTTCCACCACCCATACCAGCTGTTATGAACACAAGATCAGACCCTTTCAGAGCATCGGCTATAGCTTCTTTCGATTCCTCTGCAGCCTGCTCTCCCAAGAGGGGATTCCCACCAGTACCTGCAAGCACCTCCGGAATCAACTCAAAGAAGCATACACAAAACAATCACTTTTAAAACAAGGAAGACGACTCATATATCCACATATATACATAATAGCAAGTGACAAACCTAATCCACGAGTCAAAAGCTCTCCAATTTGGATTGGGTTTTCGGCCGCAGATTGCAACAGTGCTTGAGAATCTGTGTTTATCGCATAGAAATCGACCCCCTGAATTCAAAAATCAAAACAAAAGCTTCATCAGCTATGAATCCCTTCCAACCAAGCAAGAAGCTGCCACAATGCAAACTTGATGGATGAACAAGTATATGATCAGTTGGTCACAATCTGCTTGCTCAATTATCGTCGTTACATCTCAAAACTACATTCATTGGAAAAGAAGAAACTTTCCAAGTGTAAGTTAACAGAAAAGAACTTGCGGAGCAATGCATAATTGTAAATGATACAGCAGATGAAGCGTCCGAATTTCCCACAGAAAATTACCCATCAACCCAATGAACTCCAAGGGCCAAAAGATAGCAAATCTAAGAGTCGGCGTTTAATCTCATTCAACGTAAAGGAAAAAAAGTGAACTGGGACCAAAATTGAGAAGCGAATTACCTGCAAGCCGCTGCCAATCATACGATTAATGGCATTGTTGCCGCCACCGCCGACGCCCACTACCTTAATCTTGGCATTCTCCATTTGAGAAAAGGAGCAGCTCACATTCCCATATCCCGAACTCCTTGACCTGTACGTACTTCCCCTCCGCTTACTTCTATGCGCAGAACATGGCCTCTGCTGAGGCAGGCACACGGCAGAAAAGGATGAAGAAGAGGAGCTGGGTTTCGCCAGCTGAAGCTGTGGCTGAAACTGAAGTGTCGCCATTTCTCACTGGTTATCGGACTGTGTGGGCACTTGTCGCGTTGAGTGAGGGAGACGCGAGGGAGAAAAAGAAGGTTTTTAGGGTTTTAGAAGACACAGTTCAGCTCCAACAAAGTCAGTTGGATTTTGCCAAACATTTTCTTCATTTCTTCCATTTTCCAATCACTTTCTGGTTGAAAACCATCCGATATTATCTCTCCGAAAGATTGGGTGGGACCCACCTCTTACTGTGCCTCCTTTACATATTGCTTAATACGGCATCGTGGAAGTGCTGCAGAACTAGGGCTGGATGTTCGGTTTGGTGTGGCGGTTTATCATAAAGCGAAACCAAATTCACCGGATATCGTGGAACCGAGAACCGCAATATCAAAGACCTGAACAGTGTTGTTTGCAGGTTAGGGTCGTTTTTCGAGTTTTGTTGAAATCGACAACCCAAATATAAGGTAAACGCAAAAGTTTTGTTTTCAATCAACTACAAACTTGACAGTGATAGGAGCGTTTTGTTCAAACAAGGATTGAAGAGATCAATCCACAGGTAATCAACAAACACCACATTTTATGTGTAAAAGAATTGATAGAATTGATCTAGCAAGAAACATAAAAATAGTAGCAGCAATATAAGGGTTCAGCATAAATGGAAGTGGCACTCTTTCTGGGAAGTTATAATTATTTAACCCCAAAATACATATCTAGGCTCATATTTGTCTGATAGAATCGTTTTGTTTTACGTGCTACATTTCCCCTTTTTAAGAATTGGAATGAGAAGACGGAACCAACCAAAGAACCAATTCCAAGTTACATAGTGATAAAATTACACACAGAGATCTCAAAATATGGAGACAGCAACCAATCCTTCAAAGCCCACCCTAAACTCAGATATCGCTCAGGCCACAGACTGCACATAATAATCCAGTAACATCCTCGGCTGGCTGGCTTCTTCATCTGTTTGAGTGTTTCTACTCCCCTTCGCTTAGGATTGGGACGATCAGCGGTTTCATCTGTGCAAGATATACAATAGCCCACCTGCTCACAACAGAGATATCAGTACGGCGCGATTGATTACGCATGAGTTGAGCCGAAAAAATAATAACAGGATAAGTAAATTTTAGGAAGAAAACTAACAAATGTCATTAACCATGATAAAATCATGACCCCCAACCAATTTAGCACAAAGTTGTTCACTGGCATTCCCAATACTGCTAAGTAATCAAATACAACTGCCTTTTATAACAAAGACAGTTTCCTACGAGTTCCTTGATTACAATTATTGAGAAGCTCATGTGGCGGCCATTAAAATTTGTGTGCCACATAGCAGCTAGATCTTACTACTCACAAAGTCGATTTGCCCTTACCGAGATATTGATGAACCAGTAAATTTATGGACTGAAAAACCATTTTTCCATTTGGAAAGAGCAGCAGACAACAAGAACAACATAGCTGCTGAAATTTGGTTTTCGGCTAACAATTTATCAGTGGGAACAGGGTACAGGTTTCAACACAAACTTGTATCCAGCTCTCTATGACGACAGCTTCAAGTGATTTTCCCATCTTTTCCAACCGTGTTTCATGGAGTTGTATAGGATCTAAACATTGGTAGAAGGTCACATGATTGCAAGAACCAGTTTAGGGTTTCTCCTCATTTGAGGAGAGGAGATAACAAACCCATTGTAATTCCCACATGTTTGCTCAGGCTTGTATCGCTTAAAAGTGTATGGCCCAAGCAACACAACACAAATAACAGTCTGGATAGTGATTCGGCAATAGGGTTCTAGAATACACTCTACTGTGTATCATCTTAATTCTTAAAGATGGACACATGGATGAAACATTGTTCACAGAATATGAAATACAATTGAAATCAAATAAAATGAAGGAAAGAAGTAGAATTAGAACTTACATCATCCAGCAGCTAACTGTTGCTGTTATTACCAATGTCAAATGCAATCTGCATCAGAAGACCAAGGTTAGCCATATTGAGGAATGGTAACAATATGTTGACTAAAGAAACGATCAAGAGAATCCACTACATCATATGATCATTCGAGTAGTTACTCAATTTACCAGATAAAATATGAAAACAATATAACAAATTCCTAAGAGATTGCTAAAAGAAAAGAGAAAGGTCAAGACACAAACATATATCTAACATGAAAAAATAAACAAGGGCCTATCATAAACCACGGAATAAGCATTCATGCCAAGAGAAACACCCGCCTAGGACTCTGCATTGCTATAACTCAGGCAATAATACCATCTATTTGATAATCAGCTATCAAACAAGCATACGACCTAAAAGAACTGCAAAAGTGGAAACTGACTAAACATGTAAAACCACTCGTATTACAAGACTGCAACACCTTTCATGGTAGCACAACTTAACCTGACCGATAAATTAGCGGGACATGTGCAAAAGCTCCTGAAGGAAGCAAAACTGGCAAACACCGGCCATGTTTCACTGCTAATAGCAGAATAATGTGTCACACTTGATTACACGAGGCAGTCGCTTGCTAGTCCCTAGGAACACAATAAGCTTATTGATCCAGACTTAAAAAGACTTGGCGCACCTAGAAGAATTACATGAGTCATGACACTGTTCAGTAAACATTTCCCCAATGGATCTAAATTCCAATGGCGCCTTACCAATATCCCAACACAACCACAATACTTGATCAATCAAGAAAACTACAGCGCAGGATCCACAATAGTAACCCAAAGAATTCCCATCAATTTCCTCTATCGAACAAAATAGGACAAAATCACGTTTCCCCAGTCAGGCACACAATTTCTGAGGAAGAGAGAAAGTAATGCAGCAAATACTGGGAGATGAGAAGTGGAGCCAAGGGAGGAAGCATACAAATTGGTGGAGGGGCCTCTGTTACAGCAGATTCTGGTGCACAGCGATGCGATTATACCCACCACTACAAAAATCAGCGTAGTTACCAGAAAACCCATCTCGATTTGGCTGTGAATTCGATCGCGATTTCTGAAAACGAACCACGATGAGTTGAGTTAGCTCAAAGCAGACAACTTTCGCGACCGCAACGGAAAATTTGGCTGAGAAAGCCAATCCCGTTTGGTTTGCCGAGGAAAGATGCAGGGGGCAAATAGGAACAAAAGCGAGAAAGCTGTACCTGAAATTGGCCAAGCTGCTGTGCTGCTTGATCTGTTCGTTAACGTTTGGTTCTCCTCTTGTGGCAAGAACAAGATCCAACTTTGCTCTTCTTCCTTCCAACGATTGTTCGACTTTGATTTCGGATGATAAGAAGCTTGGGCCTACAGATTACTCGATTATGTCAGAAAAAAGCCCACCAGTAGCTTATTGATAGTAATCAGCCCAAACCCTCCTCATGGTCATCAACTAAAAACCAAAAAACAAAAAGTTACAAGACCATCATCAACCATTCGAAAAAGTTAAAATGATAACAAGCCCTTGTTAGAAGATACTAACTAATATCCAAAGTGTATGAACTGGTATTCACCTCACAAAATTATGGTTACTGAAAATATTTTGATAAAACTAGAAAAATTAGGAAAGAAAATAGATAAATATCAAGAAAATCTAATAAATATAATAGAAGACAATAATAAACAATTAAGATCAATATTAGAATTTCAATGTAATGAAAAACAAAAAGATATATATTCAGATTTAGAACTCACGAAAGATACAATTACCAAAATAATAGTGGATATAAAACAAAGAGAAGTAGCAATGGGAAAAACAACTCCAAATTCTAAAGAAATAGTATTGTCGGTAGAAGATCTTAAAGAAATCATTATTAAAATTCAAAAAATAATAATTAAATTAGATAATAAAAGGAGCATTACAATTGAAGATATGAAAAAATATCTGAATGAACATAAATCAAGAAAATCTAGCCCATTAACTATCATGGCACCCTACAAACTTCTATGACTAGTATTGACGAACAAATTAATAAATTAAATGATTTACTAGCTGCAATTACTATTGAATCGGAACCAGAGATAGAAGAAAATATAGAAAATGATAAAATAGTTCTTGACTATAGTAGCGACGAAAACCCCTACAAAAATTACACAAATGCAAATTACACAAAAACTGAAACTGAGGATCAAGCTGAAACATCACGAAAGCGTAATTTTAATGACTATAAAGATGGTCAACTATTTTTTGATGAATATTTATATAAAAACTCGTATACACCTCGCAAAGGGGGAGGATGGAGTAAAATACATCAATCTTACATACCAAAATATTCTACCACTAGTTTTAACAGTCCTGATATATTAGATCTTGATTGTTGCATCAATCCATTAAAAGAGTTAGAAGACTGGAAAAATCGAACAGGATTATTAATACAAACTAATGAAGATCTAAAGAAATTACATCTTAACGAAATGTTTAATTTCTTAATATGTAAAACAACTGGGGTAGTTTATCACTATCTCAACAACATGGATATACCTACTAAGACAATGTTATATGGAACAACGGATGCGACGAATACCTTTGAAAAAGTCTTAAATGCAATAACTCATGAATTCTTAAGACGACATCCTCGAGAAGATAAACCAAACACAACCATAAGTCAACAAGCTATTTGGCATTTAACTAATCTTAGAATTTGCAACATGTGCTTCTTAGAATCATTTATTTGTGAATTTAGAACACACTATTATCAAGTCACCCCTTCAATAAGGAAAGAGCTAGATAAATTACTCTATGCTAAATTACCACCTAATGTCTCTGAAAAAGTCGAAGCTATCTTTAATGAATCTTTGACGAAAGAAGAAATACCAGATACATTAGGAGGACGAATATTAGTTTTACAAGAATGGCATAAACGAGCTTGTAATAAGGAAAAACTAAAGAAACAAGCTAAAATTAAATAGAGAACTAAAGAAACAAGCTAAAATTAAAATCTGTTGTGAAGAAACAATCGACGGAGTCGGAAAATATGGGTGTAATAATAATCGTAAGATTATTAAAACTCGAAAAAAATATAGAAATTATAAAAAATGAAGAAAAATACCTAATAAAGAATATAGAAAAAATAGGTTTAGAAAACCAAATAAATATTTCAGAAATAGAAAACAATTTAAACAAAAATCAAAATAATAAGAATATTTTCCTAAGGGAAAAACAAATTGTAGATGTTGGTTATATAACGAAGAAGGACATTACGCAAATAAATGTCCTAAGAAAAATACTAACACTAGAAAGCAAGAAGTCCTTAGATTGGCGTACGATTGTGGTCTTGAACCAATTGAAGAAATAGATTTTGAACTTTTCGATATAGAAATTATTGAATATATTTCAACCCCAGAGACCTCTTCAGATGAGTCAGAAGAAGGTATTAACTAAAGGAAATCCTAATGCAACATTTATTAAAATAGAAAAGAAAAAAAATTTAGCATACATTGATACAGGGCAACCTTATGTTTTGCCAAAAAATCAACTATAAAAAATGGGATAAACTTGAAAAACCTTTAAAAGTTATAGTAGTAGATAAATCTATCCATGAAATCTGGTATGTAAAACAATATGTACCAATAATCATTGAAAAACATATCTTTACAGCTAAAACAATCTATCAACATGACTCAGGACTAGATAATAATAGGAAACAACTTTCTAAAATTATATCAACCGTTTATCCAAAGGATTAGAACAATCAGTCTTAGATGTCCTAAAACAATAAATCAGGAATCTAAGATAATCACAACCAGAATAATCACGAAAAATGAAGTGCTAAAGATTATACTTTAAAACCTCAAAAATAGACTAGAATATATACAGATTACCTATAGCATTCTAGAGGATACATTAGACCAGGTGTGTAGTGAACATCCTTTAGATAAAGATAAAATCATAAAAATACCAATCAGGATTGAAATTAAACTAAAGGATCCTAAAACGGAAGTTAATGTCCCTAACAAAACTCAATATACTCAACGAGATGTAGAAGAATTCCAAAAGGAATGTTCAGAGTTAGTTGAAAAATGTATAATACGAGAAAGTAAAAGTCCTCACAGTGCACCAGCCTTTTATGTGGAAAATAATAATGAAATCAAAAGAGGAAAAAGAAGAATGGTAATAAACTATAAAAAACTAAACGAACAAACAATAGGAGATAGCTATAAATTACCTAGGAAAGACTATATATTAGAAAGATTAAAAGGTCAAACGTGGTTTAGTAGTTTAGATGCTAAATCAGGATATTGGCAACTTCGTCTACATGAGATACCAAACCTTTAACAGCCTTTTCATGTCCACCACAAAAACATTACGAATGGAATGTTCTCCCATTTGGAATGAAGCAAGCACCAGCTATCTACCAACGATTTATGGATCATGTCTTAGAAGGTTTTCAATAGTTTTGTCTAGCATACATTGATGATATTATTATTTTCACTAATCAATCAGAGGAAGATCATCGTGAAAAAATCTTGATAGTTCTACAGAGAATAAAAGAAAAAGGTATAATTATTTCTAAGTAAAAATCAAAACTTCTTCAGAGGGAAATTGAATATCTTGGTATGAAGATTAATAATTTCGGCAAAATTGAGTTGTCACCAAACAATAAAGAAAAAATCAATAAATTCCCAAACCAACTTGAAAATAGAAAATAAATTCAACGTTTTCTTGGATGCTTAAATTATATCAGTGAACAAGGATTTTTAAAAGATTTAGTAAAAGAAAGAAAACATTTACAGAAAAAGATTTCTGACAAAATACCTTGGTCATGGAATAATCAAGATACAAAAATAGTTTTATTAATGAAGGAAAAATGTCAGCATTTACCAAAATTATATAACCCATGTGAAAACAATTTTCTAATAATTCAAACGGACGCCTCTAAAGACACTTGGGCAGGGTGCATGTTAGCAATACAAAATGGCAAGGAATTATTACAAATGGACAATTTTGGAAATGTCAAAATTGAAAATAACGAGGCTACTGTCTCTGGCCAAAAGCCTAAAGATTATCAGTCTTCGGACAATATTATTGAACTTTCAAGTTCTCAATTATCAGTTCCTTTCAACAGTGATAAATATTCTAAGAAATTATGCAAATATATTTCTGGAACATTTACCGCCACTGAGCAAAACTATCCGATTCACGAATTAGAGACACTAGCCTGTCTCAGAACATTGAAAAAATGGAAGCTTGAATTATTATCTACAAGGTTTGAACTTCAAACCGACTCTAAATATGTAACAGGTTTTTGGAGGTACAAGCTACAGGCAGATTTCAACAAAGGAAGATTAATCAGGTGGCAACAACAACTCCATTATTACAATCCTTATCTGAAGTATATCAAGTCCAGCAACAATCCATTCACCGACACACTAACTCGAGAATGGAAGGATTTATAAAGACCCTCATTAATCAGCTAAAGCAGAAGCAGGAAAAGAGTGCAGCATTGGAACAACAACTTCTCCTTTACAGGGGGGAGGAAGAAGCAATAATTCAATCAATCGATGTTATTCAGCAACAGTTAAAAATCAACTACATCGACGTTAGTACACTATCAATTAGCTCTGCTAATGGACAGCCATCAACAACCACCACAGAACTTGCTCAATCATCCACTACTACCAATAATAATACACAAAAGACAACACGATGGGCAGACATCGTTGAACAAGAAGAAAAAGAAGCAAGAGATTCCCACTACGAAAAAGACGACAGAAAAGGCAGCAAGTGGTATGTCATATTCAATGGACCATATCGAGGAGTATATCACAACTGGGTTATCGCTAGCCAGCACATCAATGGCAAACCAGTCCAACATCAGTCATTTAAAACAAAAGAAGCAGCCGAAGAAGCATTTAGGCAGTCATACAAAGTGATGGCAATGAAAGAACAAGTCAAGAATCAAGAGCAACAATCGCAGAAACTTATCATGAAGATACCTAGTATCATGAGTATCCCAACCACCAAAGAAAAAGAAGAACAATTGAAACCAGTCTTTCAAAAGTTCGTATCCAACTGGGATATGATAATCAACTACGAAGAAAAACACACAACCATGGGTTTTTATCCCGTCAGTCGAGGAGGACCAAAGGCAGTAATCACAGAAGAAGCATCACCAGAACTCTCTTATGAATTCCATCAGTATGGATTAATCGACACTATCTACACTACAACCATGAAAGTATTTGAATACTTTCCACAAAAAATGAGGAACGTGATTAGAAGATATCTTGAGCTTTTCGCAAAGGAGCGAGAAATATTTCTCAAGTATACAAGCAGCTACCCCATATTTGTTGAAGACAAGCTATTGGTCGGATCAAAGGCAGTTATCCTTATGGGAGTATCAAACCATGATTATCCTACCAGAGATGACCTACGAGACTATGAGAAGAACTAGGGGTGGGCAACGGGTATTTTGGTATACCCAAATTCGTCCCCCTTTTTTTAGGGTTACGGGTACCCAAATACCCGTTATATTTGTTGCGGGATGGGATTTGTGATCAAGAATCTCAACTTTGGGTACCCGGGGTTTCCCGGTAATACCCGTTTGGGTACCCGTATTACCCATTAGAATTATTAAATTCGTTAGGACAAATCTAAAACCCAGCCAAACCCAGTCACAGTCCAACCTATTTCCTAAACCTAACCAGGCCGCCAGGGGCCAGGCCCTCTCTCTTACCTCTCCCCTCACTTGTCCCTCGACGACCACTCTCCTCTCCAATTTATTCCTTGTCATCTTAATTTTGGGAGGCAACAGTGGACTAGAAACAGTAGCTTAATGTGACAATTTCATTTCATGTAATCATGTTGGCAGTGGGTTCTTAAGGGACAATAACCTTAATTTTCATGTTGTTATTATGGAGACAATAGCTTTCTTTATCTTTTCATGTTGCAACTGGGTGATTAAGGGAATATGGGACAATATTCTTCATTTTTATGTTGTTATTACGGAGACAACAACTTTCTTTTCATGTTGGATAATTTATTTGAAGTGTAATTTTAATATTTTGTTCAATGTGATTTAGTAATTGTTCTCATATTGAACGGGTATAAACGGGTAGTTCGGGTACCCGTTATCCATCCCGTATAAATTAATGGGTACCCGTTTCCCGTTGGAGTTCGGGATTTGGATGAACTTTGGTCTCCAAATGGGATTGGGTACCCGTTTCAAACGGGACGGGTACCCAATCTCTTCCCGTTTTCCACCCCTAAGAAGAACCCAGACTAGCAAGTAAAGGGTCTTCTAGCAGTATGCAGAGCATTAACCAAGATTGAACCAGAAAGTCAGATCAAGGTCAATTACAGCAGCCTCGATGCCATCATCACCAGTAAAACTAGAGGAAATATGAACAAGGAAGAATGGACAATTATAACAGATAAAACTAAAGAATTCACTGAAATTAATGGAAATCTATCAGCTCTTCCTATCCAAATTAAGAAACAGTTGTGCAACGCACTTACTATCTATGAGGACCACTTCTGTGAATGGTGTGCATCAACTGACGAAGACATCAATGGACCAGTAGATCAAGACTGAAAGAAGCATGTGAAGAAAGAGGAATCAAACAAATATGGGATAAAACGACAAGAGAAGGTTGGCCGACTCCTTTAAAAAAGTCGTGCATTATTGTATTTTATCAGCTTTTCTTATCGTTTCACGCACTTTCTTTTGACGTGTTAGCTTTACGTCTTTGTCTAACATACGTAAGCAATTACGTCTTTGTATTCCCTCTCAGCTCTATATAAGAGCAAGAGTTTGCAATGAAATAAGGCAGAACGAGTTTGGCCATAAAAGTTGCATGTTTACTCTCTCCCTCTAGCTAGCTAGTTGTAAGGCTTGGATCCACTGATCCTGAAGGCCACAATCATCTTCAACATAATCAAACGCACGAAGAGAAGCTACAATCATCAAGCAATCATCAAAAAACTCAGAGTTTCATCAGAAGAACAAGTCAGGTATGTCCAGTAATCCTACTTCAAGTTATTTTGACTATTTAAACAAAAACGATAATGAAAATTACTTCTTAGATGGTGTTATAGACGTTAAGAAAATTAGAGAAAAAAACTAATTTTACTATTTCAGAAACTAAAAACTTTATCACTAAGTCTTTTTTATCAAAACTCTTTGATAGAGAAAACATTATTAAATGCGGTAAAATGATAGGAGAAGTAGCAGTCCCTATTGATCAAACTAAGGGCAATTTTCTAATCCAAGTAATAAACAAAGAACAAATTAGAAAAAGATTAGATAAACTAAGATAAGAAGAACGACATAAAATATCTTATATTCATATTAGTACAATTCAAATTATACTAAAATCAACCATGAAAATAGGAATTGACGCACCCATGGAATTAGAAATTTGTGATAATAGACTCATTAATGAAGAAGAGAGTATTATTGCCAAAGGAACGGGAAATTTAGGAGTATGGATAATTAAATTTGATATTAACCTACAACAAGGACTGAGTCTGGCAGATGGTAACCTTGACTCTTCTATCATTATAAAATACGAATTAAAAAGAGAAAATTTTATGAAAGAAAATAGCAAACCATTTTCCGTAACTTATCAAATAAACTACGCATTAACAAATAGTCACCACAGCTTAACCTTCAAAAATAAAGAAGTAATTACTATAGAAGATTTATTTAAACCTTTAATTCAATTAGAAGCACCACTAAAGACCGTTAAAATAGAACCTAGTCGACCATCGATAACTCAAGATCAAAGACGAATAATTAAAACACAATCAGAGAGAATTAGGCATATCCCAGTAATTGAACAAAATTTAGAACAAGAAGAGATAACCAATAATCAAGTAAATAAATTAATTAGATAACCAATAATCAAGTAATAAATAAGTTGGAAAAATTGCAACATTCAATAGCAAATCTAGAGAATAAAATCTAATATCTATAAATATGCCTACTAACTATCATATAAATAAATTAATTGAAGGAATAGATGCTATAAATATCACTTCAATACATTATATCAGTATGGTCACACAAGAACTAACTTATTTTGCTTCAGAAATCGTAGAAGAACAAATGAGTATTGGAACCACAGAAACATTAGAAGAAGCTATCTCCAAAACCGAATTAATTACTGATATAATAACTAGCCTAAATATAATAAAACAAAGATTACTAAATCAGTAAGACATTTTTTTAATAAATTAAGAGCAGTTAACATGGTATCAGAGCCAGCCGAACCGATCAGCTACTCTCATCCTCTCACATTCCCGAATCAAATCATTCCTATCCGTTCGATCTTGACTTACTCACGTGGACACCTATCTGTCCCTGTTAGTATATACTAACAAAAGACCTAGTTAGCAGCTTAGCTAGGTTGCAACAATTCAGTTAGTTCATAAACTTATAAGGTTGTTGCGGATTGGATCTGATCCTTAAGCCTCATTGTTTAAGAAGGTTCTTAAACCATTTTTATTGGCTGATACTAGATTAGGTAGTTAATGAGGGGTTGGTAGTAAATAGTTTTTTTTTTTTGCATTATCGGGAGGCCGAGGCCGAGAAAGAGAGAGTTACATAGAGTTAAAAGGAAGAGGGGTTAGTAGTTAATAGTTAGTTGGAATAAATAAGATATTATGAAAATATAATTAATATTACTCATTAATGATTCTCTTTCTCTCTCTCCCTTGATCTTCTCCATAATCCTCTCTCTCCACTACAATTAAAAGGAAATTCAAAATTAATTTAATTAAATATTATTATTTAATATTTAATAAATTCGAACTTAATATTTTTCATTTTTAAAATGAAAATTGAAATTAAAAATATATGCTCTCTCTCACTTCGTGGCAACTTGCAATACAGTATTAACATTTTGCAATGACATTATCAACATTTATGAAATGAATCGTTATTATTATATCTCATCGTTATTAACGGCTTCAATATACTTATCAATTCCTTACAATTACATTATTAACAATTTTGGATCAATTGTTACTGTTTTATAGTTTCGTCATCAACGCCTATGAATGAATCATTAAAGTTATGTAACATAGTCATTAATAGTTTGAATAACAATATCATTGATTTACATCTTTAGTACTAATGATTCACCTTTTCACATCATGTTTATAACTATCTAGTCATGGCCTCTTCCAATGATTTCTAATGACATTATTAACGTTTTATGATCAATTAATATTGCTTTACATTATCATTCTCAATGATCATAAAGCACAATACTAATTTTCAACATCTTGGGTACTTGTGACATAGTGCACCTGTGTGATTCAGTCAAACAAACATTGTCCAGAAAAATATTAGCTCAAGCAAACCAACATTCACGCCTCAACACCAAACTTTTAATAACAGTACAATAAATCATTGATAACGAAAAGTATTTCGTTGAAAATAAACACAAAACATTAATGTAAAAATGTCTGACTTCAACATTTTAAATGACATCAAAATTTTAATAAAGATATTAAAAACCATTAATATCGAATCATCAAGTCACTGATAAGGAAATAGATTTTTGTAATATAAAAATATTAATAATATTCAGATGCAATGTTTAATGTCAAATAGCACTAAAAACACATTAATACGTAACATGTGTTTAATGGATAATGCTTCCAAAAACTTTGATAATGATAGCAACTAATGATTGTTAAATACCTTATTAGATATTATTAATATCTTATTTTCAAACATTGATAATGCTTATACACGCCTATTAATGACACCAAACTACGTTACTAACTTAGACTGAAAGATTAATAACCATAGTTATATCATTAAACGTAAATTTACTTTTGATAATGTCATAAACAAATGAATATCTAACAAATATGCTTCTTGATAATGACATTTGACAAAGTTACAAACATAAAAGATAAAAATATTAATACTTCAAATCACTAAACATAAGCAATCTTACAAATGAATTAAATTTTTGCTAATGGTTGTATTGTGCTTGGAAAAAAATATTGATAATAACACTTCAAATGATTATAAATCATTGCGAACCAAATTAATAATACGATGTAATAGTAAATAAACTTCAAATACAAACAAATTGAAAACACAATTTCACTTTTACTAATGTTACAAACAAACATAACATAAAAAGTTAATAATGTCATATAAAATTATTAAAAAACATGTCGAACAACATTAATAATAACACAAACGAATACCTAACAACGAAAAATCTCAAACCCATGCAATGAAAAGCCCTAATGATGATTCAATTATATATATTGATAATGTCATTACAAAATGTTAATACTTAATACTAATCGGAAGTTGCCAAGATGTGAGAGAGGCATATATTTTAAATTTCAAATTTCCATTTTAGAAAAAGAAAATTATTAAATTCATATTTTATTAAATATTAAATAAAATTAATTTCATATCTCTTTTAATTATAATGTAGAGAGAGGATTATGGAGAAAATCATGGGAGGAGAGAGAAAGAGAATCATTAATTAATTATATTAATTTAATTATATTTGCATAACCCTATTTACCCTTAACTACCTATTAACTACTAACCCCCATTAACTACCTAATCCATTATCAGCCAATAGGAAGGCTTTAAGATTTTCCTTAAGAAATGAGGCTTAAGGACTTGAACTCAAGCCAGGTTGTAGGATGGTTTGGAGTTCGGAAAAAGGATTTTTTTTCTTTTGGTGGAGAACGCTTAAACTTTGAGACCGTCGGTTGTCAATCCATGTCACCCTCGAAACGGATTTGAGAGATGAAAGATTGATGATGAATCTTTGATAATAGGATGTGCATGTGGTAAACTAGAAAGTGTGAGCAAGTCGGAGAATGACGTACAGTAAAGTGCAACTGATATTCTATGTCCATTTTTCCACCATCTTCCAGTGAAATTTATTAGTCACGTTAGATATTGTGTCATAGTTGTGTCATCTTGTAACAAGATGATGATCCATAATTCGGTCAATTCAAAAAACTTACAAGGTTGTAGGGTGGTTTGGAGCTTGGATATGAAAATTTTTCTTATCACAGATAATCCTTAAACTTTTGAGATTGTCGGTTGTCAATTCAGGTGAGTGTGGAAACGGATTTGATAGATGAAAGATAGATCATGAATCTTTATAATGGGATGTGCATGTAGTACGCGAGAAAGCGTGAGCAAGTCGAACGGAGGAGGACGTACAACACTACGATTGATATTCCATATTCATCTATTCATCATCTTCCAATGACAATTATTGGTCTAAGTTAGATTTTACAGATCAACTTAGACATTACATCATACTCATGTCATCTCGTGACAAGAAAGGACATTACATGTATCATGCACAGCGATGAGACGAGGGAAAGTTTGTTGGTCATGTTACACATAGAGTCATAGCCATGTCCATTTGGGGACAAGAAATGACATCCCTATGTATCATGCTAACTCATTTCCCATCATTTTCGTTGTTTAGGTTGGGCATAGCACCACAGATTTCCTGGCTACAAGTCGTTAGTAAATCTGAGACAATGATAACAATTCCCCTTACAATTACATAATCAAACATTCATCACAGTCTAGCAGCTCCTATTTCATAGTCCTGCCTTCCTAACATAGCCAATACGGCTGTTCCTTTCCATCATACTCTGGAAGAAGAAAGGGTTACTTACTGCTACAAAACAGGCATCCAATTGATGGAATTGGTGATGAACAGAGAAGCAAGATGGGGGCAGTGGCAGCAAATACAGCCGTATTGGATGATTAGATTAGATCATTGAACATACAACATCGACTTTCCCAGCAGCTCAGAGTTAAATGTGGAAGACCCAAAAAAAGAGAAGAAAAAATTTGATTATAAAAAATGTGAATCAAAAAGATGTAATGGATCATCAAAAGAAGCTGGATTGATTGGTCCTTTCTTTTCTTCTCCGTATTTTCTTGGTGATTTTGCCATATTATGCTACCTTCTTTTTTTTTTCCCAAGTGGGAGGGTTGTGTTGTGTGAGCACCACTTCCCAGATTTTCCCTTCTATCAGAATCTGAACTCGGGATCAACGTCCATTGCCCAGGCAAATTTTGCCAGAAGCGACTTGTTGAATATCTGCAGTAATGGCGAAGGAAGCTTCATCACATTCTCATTCACACACACACACACACACACACACGAAAGACGGTTGACCTTCAACCTGTCACTGTTCAGGGTCAGGGTCAGGTTTAAGAATTTACCTTCTCGATGGGAACTTCATGCCTTTTGCACCAGGCGACTGTGATCCTAGGATCCAGGTAGTTGATCTTAGAGGTGCCGAGTGCCACTGTTTTCAGATCCTCCTTTGTCGTCATGTCCATTTCGTACTTCTCAATCTTTTGATTGGCGGATGCTATCTTTTTCTCTATGCTGCCACACACCAAAGTGTAAGTTAGCCCATCATAAAAACATCTCAACAAACAGTGAAGACAATCAATGGATGACTGATAATTACGCTTCTGGACTCAAGTTCCTTTTTTGCTTTCCATCTGCACCCTTTAGAGGTGGCTTTCCCTTCTTGGCCCTCTCCAAATCAATTTTCAGCTCTTTGAGTTCTTGCTGCAAAGTCATCATTGCGAAATCAGCTGACCAAGACAGAAACAGGAGATAGAAACCAATGCTTACAACTAAGGAACCCTCCATAACATATACAGGGTGTGTTGTCAAATGTCAGCCAAGAAGCTTAAATGTCTTTTTTTTTTGTCAGCTGGGTCTCCACAAGAATGAACTACCTTAGCAGTCTCAATCCTCTCAGTCAACTTCAAGATTTGGGAATCATGAGTCTTTGAGACTGTACGCTGATGATTACAGATGATTGCAACCTGCAGGAAGATAGAGGAATTACAGAAAAACAATTGGGATAACTGAACACAACTACAGATGATTCCAAACTCCATTACCTGCTTGTTTGCTTTTTGATAAACAACAACCTTCTCTGCAACATCACCCTCTTCTGTTTCCTCGTACAACTGCCAAGCGATTAGAATACCCAGGGAAAAAATCAAATCAGTGATTGTATAAAAACATCTGATGTAGTTGGAAAAACTTCATCAGTGCAGAATTTTATCTTTGAGAGTGCCATAAGATATGCATAACAATAACCACTAAGCTACAGTAATCAATTTCCAAAACCAGCCCAATAGCATAAGCTGCTGTCGCAACAATCAAAATAGTAATAGAGGCTCAAGAGATCTATAAATAAGATATTACATAATTTGTAATGCAACTTACTTGTTGATCCAATGTTATTGAAGCATTATAGGTACGGAAAACTTTCGCTGTAAGCCCAGGCATGAGTTCCTTCAAGTGGGCATTCAGTTTACTTGTATCCAGCGCGTTAAAAAGGAGCTCATTTTCCCCTTTTCCTGAGGTAAAGGAATGAGAAATGTCATTAACACAAAATGATATTCCCTTAAAAAAAAAAATATTCCATCTAATTAGAGTTAAACTGGACAACTACATTCGTACCAGCTTGGAACTGCCCAATTGCTTTGAACACAGGAAGCTCAACTTCAACCGTGTTCTCATAACGAATTGAATCTTTACCAAGAAAGTCAAACTACGTAAGAAGATAGAACAAAACCCATGTCAGGATTACTACTAGCTAAAACACATGAAATTGACATCACATAGTGGGGATCACGCAAACATAAAACAAAACAAATCATTCGCAGGGAATCGGATTTGCTGCGTGCTTGGAGTACTGAAAAGATATGACCTTGGCTTCTCGCACAGATAGGGAAAAGAATATCATTCATTATTTTATTTTTTATTTTTTTGCGTAGATTCGTGCATTTCTTTCAACTCAGCTCAGCTCAAAAATCAAAATATAAAGCATATCAATAAACTCTTATATTAACTGCCACACCTTTATCATGTTGGGAGGGATGCACTCCACGTTCGATACTTTTAATGTACAGCAACCAACAGTATCAGCTTCTTCCTCATCCTGCAGATAATCAGTCATTGTGCATAAAGTCACTCTAAATTTCCAACAGAGATGGTATTTAAAAGCTATTAAGGTAAAGGACAGATCAAGGTACTACAATATCGGAGCACCCAACTAAACGATACAGCAGCAGGACATCATTCTTAAAGGTGACATGCAGAAACAAAAGGCGGTAATATTAGGGAACAAGATAATAAAGGAAAGGCAACTCCCAGGGCACTTATTCAGCCAAGAGTACAAAGAACATTAAAGTACACAGCCACAGGTCATTGAACAGTCATCTGATTCATCACTCTAGACTCTAAGCATGAGATAGTCAGGATCCACATAGCCATTTGCAGCATCTGTATGGTAATTGCAGCCTTTTTAAGGGCCACATTGAAACCCTCGTCACAAAATCATCAATCTTCCCATAACATGCATTTAGGCTGATGAATGGCAGCAGAAACAAAGCAAGTAACATTTGTGTAGATTGGTCACATTACACGCCATAACTGATGGCTTATTTAGATTCCAGAACCTGTACCTGGTATAAAGGAAATTAAGGGGGAAAACAAAGAAAGAAGTAGATGAGGATGTTTAGAAAGAAAGAACTCAATTTACCTTCTCATTACCCGCCCTTAGAGCTAGCTTATCAATAAGATATGTAGCAACTGCTATTTGCCGTTTTGTAGGATCCTTGTCCTTGTTATTGAAATCCTTTGTGTAAGCTGCCCTGATGTTGTGTATGTAGTCCTGCAACAAGATATCACAAAGACTCATTGCTTCACATAACTTACTATTGTAAGAAGCAAACAAGTGAATAATATATGATGATTATGACCACACCTTCAGCATCCTAGCTTTTTCATATTTCTCCTTGTCACTTTGTCCTTTTAATGAACTGCTGGCTGCCAAGAACACATACTTGAATTCTTTGGGGTTGATAGGATCATTCCAGAAAGCCAACCATGTAACTGTGCTATCATGTTTTATCTCTTTCCAGCTGCCAGTTATAAGTTAACAAAATGAGCTCATACTTCAGCACAAACTGCAAAGTGTGAACATGCCCATTCAACCCACAAGAAAACCCAGCTTGTAAAAGACTATACGAGAAGCAAACCTTTCACCAGCAATTGGACATTCTGGAACAGGAGCATCCTTCCCTATGTTTATGGTGATATCTCTAGGACGAATCCGTCTCTTCAGCTTTCCCATCTGACAATTCCAACATGGATTTGAAATAAATATACATTTACAACAACAGAAATATAGTAATGTCACTCCGAATCTAAATTCAATTTATAGGTATCAACAAATAACCTTCGGATGTTCTCCACGGCCTCGAAACAACCCAGGGGGCTCAACTCTAAAGTTCCCAACCTGTGATTCCACAATCATCAGAATCATGGAGTAAATGGAGGAATTGGAAAACACATATTAAGACACCAGCAACAAAGTTTGTGAGAAAATTTTACTTTTTCCTTAACGCCATCCACTATAGCCCACATATACTTCTCTTCTTGCTGCATTTTTTGTTCTTTGATTGCCTTCTTCTCCTATACAAACAGCAAAACTTGTCAGAATTTCTGGTAACACAAAGGAAAGTCTTATCATTATTCAAAGGACCTGGCAGAAGTGGGCTACTGAAGTTAAAACTAAACATCAAAATGACCATAACGTAAGACGAAAAGCAACTCAATATCCTAGAAGAAAGCTAGATTCCTATGCAAGAACTAAAGGAAATCACAATTCCGTGTCTCATTGACATTGAGGAAAAGTGAAGTTGGGTACTTCACATGATGAATTAGCAACCCACTAAAATCCCTGCTTGTTTGTGGAAAGCAGCAAGCAGAGGAAAACTAAAATGGGCCCTACAAATTTGGTTCTGAATGAACAAAAAGGAAGAAGATTTCTCATCCCACACACCATAATTAGAATGTTAGAAATCTCGATGTCAGAATGTCCATGTGCTTCAGATGATTCTGTAACTATAGATAGAATGTTTGAAAACCAAACAACTTACTTCTGTACTCATTTGTTTCTTCTTCTCTTTCTCCTGCTGATGCCATTCATATATTGGTGTAAAATCACAATCATCCAACTTCTGTATTACATGGTTCCTCCCGAGTATCTTGCGCCAATCATTCCAGAAATTCTCAAGGAACTTTGGCTTTTGCATATAGTCAGTATCTTTCATCACGGCATACATAGTGGCAACCTGCACATATAAAAGTTCAATGTGAAACTAAAAGTACACACTCTATAAATTAAAGCAACAGCTCAAAAAATTTACCGAGATGTAGACATAAAGTGAGAGGCACCTCTTCTTGTTCGGGAGTCAAATCAATTGGCTTCCCCTTGTACAGTATCTTAACCCCATGAGGCTGGTATGGAGGAGGAAAAATTACACCATTGTGAACCAAGGTAGTCCATTTTCTCTGGCCATCAGTAGAGCCAGGTTGGACTTTTGTTGACTTGGAAAACTTGGACTTTTTCATTTGTTTTGTGTTCTTCATGTTGGCCTTCTTGAAAGAAGAAGAGACAACTTTTGTTGCTTTTGTGTTTGCAGACGATGGTTTTCTTGCAGACACTGTCGCCTTCTTGATCCTCTGGGAGATTGGGATATCATCATCATCATCAGCCTTCTCCTCTGCTTTAACTGCTGCAGGTTTGGCTTTTGTGGTGGAAGATGGAACAGAAAGCTTTTGCTTTTTAGCAGAGGATTGATCCGAAGAATTACTCTTCTCCATAGGTCTCTTGTTTGGCACAACAGGAGTTCTCATCTTGTTCATATTAGAAGTTGAGCTGCCATTCTGCTGAAGTTTTGAGGCTAGAGGTTTCTTTTCACTCAAATGATTAGGTTTAGTTGACATCCTTGAAGCCAAAGGGAGATCATCGTCATCATCATCAGAGTCCTCCTTTTTCACATGACTGGGACCACCAACTTCTTTCTTAACATTGTTGGCAGCTCCCTTCAATCTGGAACTCAAGGGCTTGTCATCCTCAGAATCCTCATCATCTACCTGGGACTTCTTCTCAGATTTAACAGACTTAATCTCGACCTTGACAGCAGAAGAAGCATTCTGCTTAGGCATTTGCTTAATCTCTGAGGACATAGGGGATTTAGAATTTGTTATAGGAGACCGCAATGGAGAAGCCTTCATAGAAGAAGTTGATGCTCTGGGGCTCCCTATTGGAGACTTAACCGGCGGTGGCTTGGAAGAAGCAACTGGAGCTTTATTCCTCTGGCCATTTGAGCTTTGGCCATTGACATTGTGAGATGAAGATGGCGTCCTCTTAGCTTCAGCATTCGATTGGCTTTGCCTAGATGCTGAGTTCCCACCCCTTCTAAAAACTAAAGGGGCATCATCATCATCCATATCATCCATGACAGGCCTCGCAGGTGCTTGAACAGCCATCACCATCCAAATTCGAGCTGTATTTGTACAGATACTACATCAATACCCGATAAAAGTTCAAAACTCAAAACCATAGCCAAGAATTCACAACTAACATTCACCATATTAAACCCATTTAACTTGACCCACAAAGTCTGACACTTTAACTATGCCCACAACAATCAAAACTAACAAATTGCAGATAGAGAACTGCAAATGAAACAGTTGAGCTAAAGCTAAAAGGAAGGGCAGGAGGCAGCACGAATTGGAAGCCGAAATAGGGCTCCTACTATGACCCGATTCAGTAAACAAAATGGTAGGGCGCGGCATTCAAAATTGAGGGCGGCTTATATTAAAGCCGCCACAAAGCGAACGAGAAACTTGTGCATGCTCTACTGATAGATGACGTTAAGAATCAGTGAGAAGGGAGCTGGAGAGAAATTCAAAGCTGGAGAGGCAATATCAGCTTCAAGCAAGCAACCATGGGGCGGGAGAAGGAAGTAGATAAACGGAAGACGCGAAATAGGGATTGACATTGAGGAAGGAAACCAGGATAAGTTCAAATAAACTAGTTGGGCGAGGAGGAGAAGAAGCATAAATTTTGATTGGGTGTAGGGGGGAAGGAGTGGGCAGGCAAGAGAAGCAGGAAAACGGACCTCAGGCGTCGGCGGAGGAGGAGGCGGCGGCGGAGGCGGTGACGGAGCAGATCGACTTCTTTTTAGTTTCGTTTTTTGTGTAATTGTTAAATTTTCTTACTTTTTTCTTCTTCTGGGTTCTGTATCCGCTCTCCTCTCTCTCTCTCTCTCTCCTGATTCTCCCTCGCTCTGACCCTTTTATGGATGTTCGAAGGCTCCGTTTTGTGTTGGATTTTGCAGGTTTTAATTATTATTATTTTCATATTTATTTGTCTTTCTTCTTCCACGAGAGAGATGGGTCATGGCCTCAAGGGATGGAATGGAACCGATAAAGCAAGCAAAACCCAGAGCCAGACAGACCAGACCAGCCTAGTATTGCTTCTTGCCAGTTCCTATCGCAACTGGGCCTTTTACTCATGAGCTCTCTTTCTCTTTATGGGTTTGGAATCGAATGAGGACTTAGAACCAAGGACTGAAACTGTATGGGAGGTTGTATCGAAAAAGTCAATGATATAGTATTCTATGTTGAAGTTGTGGTTTAATCATGGTTCAAACGTTTCATACCGCTAAATGAGAACATCACTATATAAATTAAGTGAGAACCTCGCTTTCTCTAATAATTTAGCTTCAAAGATCACGGCCGGTGACAACAATTAACCACCCATGTATAGTTTTTCACAAAATCCAACTATATCTATTGATTATGGATAGGGTATGAGTAAAGTATATATGAGTTTGGAATTTTGTAGATGAGTTTTGGTAGATATGAGTATTTCTTCCATATTCTAACATTTCCGTTTCCCTTTCATTTTCATTTCTTGTGGTTTGATAATCGGTTTTAATATATCGGATTCATGAGCTTTATGTGACTATCTCATGGTATGTTTTAGCCGATTGGTGCTATCTTAGGAAGAATTAATCTGTAATGGTTGAAAAGGCATTACCATTTTGTGTTGGAGTTTTGGTGTGTGTTTAGGTGAAAAGATAGATAAAATGGCAGCACTGGAACTTCCGAAGCAGGAGATGGCGGGAGGAATTGGATCCATATTTCTTCCACAACAAGTAATTGGGCCAAAGCCCAATTGATGGAAGCAACTAATGGGCGGCCTTGAAATTGATTTGGGCCAGAGAATAAGCTTGGCGGCGAGAGGACGGAACTCAGCTGGGGAGAATTGTATTGGAAACGAATTGCTTTGGGAAAAAGGAGGGAGCAGGAGCGGAACTATTTCTTTGGAAGGCAATTAATTTAAGAGGCGGCTGGCTTTTCTACAGAGAAAAAGAAAGGATTTGGCGGCTGGGACTTGTGAATAAAAGCAAGGAATTAATTGAGGGGAGGGAATCTCTTTTTTTGGGACGGAACTCACCTGGGGAGGAGAATTGCAAAAGGACACGGAAATTGGGACGGGAATTCTTGGACGGGAGAAGAGGAAGCAGCATGACTTCTTGGTAGTTAGCTGGGGGTCGGAACAGCAAATGGGAAGAAAATCTCGATATTCTTTTTCTTTATTATGATTCGTGGCATGATTATTATGAACATGATTATATCTTTTGATTTCGTCATGAACTAAACCCCGATTTCTGGGAGAAACACCATAGGATGTAACTATTTCTAGAATTGATGGATTGATTCGTATTTCTTTTCTTCCAATCTCTATTGCATGAAATTACTTAATGCTTTGTGTTGACTGGCCACCAATATAATGAATCGTAGTTAATTAGGTTATTAGCGACAGTGAAACCCTAATAACTGAACCTATTTCATGTGACATAGTAACTTATCGAAGCGACAGTGGATTAAATAAGGTGTTATGCGGTCTTAAATAGGATATCGATCTTCAGGCTAAATAATTAAGTCATTGAGCTACGACAGTAGGATTTGATTTAATTGTTTAGTACGTAGTAATTCCCGACAGGGATAGCTAGCACAGTGGTGATATCCTGGCTGTAGAGATATGGATTAAATTGATTGGAATATGTTAATTAATTTTGACGTGATAGGTAATGAGTCCCGGTGTTTCTCCCAGAGCTTTCTCCATTGAATTTCTCCCGACCAGTTTACTTGCTTAATTAGTTTTATTATTTTGCTAGTAGTTAATAATCTCATTAAACCATTTTCACATATAGTTTGCTCAATAAAATTGATAGAACTTAAGGTTGTACCAGTCCCTGAGAGACGATACCCGGACTTTCTGGTTTTACTACAAGATAGGATTAAGGCATATACGCTTTTGCCCTATCAAGTTTTTGGCGCCGTTGCCGGGGACTGCCATACCTTATTTTTGTTGATTTTTGTGAGTGAACTATTTTGATCTGGGTGTTAGTGTGCAGGTGAATTTTTCAGGTTTATCCTCCTCGTGCATGCCAAGGAGGACGACTGGCAATTTACTGCTACTAGATCCTGAGATCGAGAGGACCTGCCGACAGAACAGGAAGCAGGTCAAGTTAGGGAAGCAGCCTACCACATCCACAACTCCTAGGCCTTCCCTAACTCAGAATCGTCAACCAAGAAGGCAGGTTTCGCCACCTGTCATTCCTACACCACCGACACCGCCGCCGCGCATCATCGAGCCTGTCATCATGGCAGAACAGGATCGTTTGATCAGAGCTCGTCGTTTGAATCGGAGGACTGGAGCCCGAGCTTCATGTGTTCTCATTCCAGCTGGGGATGCAAACATGGAGATTACCCCAACATTCATTAATATGATCACTAATGGGTACACCTTCTCAGGAGCTAGCACCGAGGATCCTCACGAGCATCGTCGCCGGTTTGCCAGCATATGTGATATGATGAAGATCCCAACTGTGTCTGATGATGCAATTCATCTTCGGATGTTCTCATTCTCTCTGATAGGGAATGCATCACACTGGTTTCAGAACTTAACACCACATTCCATCACGACATGGGCTCAGCTTGAGAAGGTCTTTCTGGATAAATACTTCCCACCTGCCTTGGCAATGAAGAGGCAAGAAGAGATTGTTACTTTTAAGCAGGCTGATGATGAGAGTCTGACTGAGGCATGGGAGCGCTATAAGGGGCTATTGATGAGATGCCCAAGCCATGGTCTTGAAGATTGGAACGTGATCATTATTTTCTTCAATGGAATCAGAAGGGAGTTCCGGGATGCCCTGAATAATGCTTCTCGAAATGGCTTCACAAGCATGGAGGCACCAGCATCATATGATCTGGTAGAGAAGATCTGTTCAGAAGCCACTGAATGGGGTAGTGAGACCAGTATTCGAAGAAGAGGAGGCTTGCATGAGATAAACAGAGTTGCGAGTCTAGAAGCCAAGATAGATGCCAAGTTGGATTCTAAGTTCGATGCACTCAAACGAAGGCTGGCTAAGATTGCTCTGGGTAGACAAGAGGAGGTTGCTTCATGTGAACTTTGCAAGGGTCCTCATCATAGGGATATGTGTCCACTGGGAGCTGCTCAGTTGGAAGATGTCCAATATATCAATAATCCGCGAAGTCAAGGCCAGAGTGGTATGTATCAAATACATACAACCCTCAATGGAGACATCACCCCAATACGTCATGGTCAAACAATAATCCAGCTGGTGTTCAAAACATCCCACCTCCTGGTTTTCAACAGCAGCAACCTCAACCAGAGAAGAAGCCCCAACTAGAAGAGTTGATTTTGGCTCATATGCAGAAAACAGACAATAATTTCAAGGGTCTTGATCAATTTGTCACTCAACAGCTAGCCATCAACAATCATATGCAATCATCTATGCTAGCTATGGAGAGGCAAATAGGCCAGATGACTCAAACTTTGGCAGATATTCAAGGTGGGATTCCGAGAACTTTACCAGCAAATACCGAGAGGAATCCGAAGGACGCCATGGTTGTAGCTGTCACATTGAGGAGTGGAAAGGCCTTGGAAGATCCAGAGAGTTCAAGGAAGTCAACAAAATCTGAAAAAGAAGGAGTTGTAGAGGTAGAGGATGAAGAAAGTGCAAAAGCCGAAAAGTCTGACTTGCACAGGCAAACTGCATGCAATCTGCCTGTGCATGAGCATTCTGCCCGTGTACCTCAAAAAGTGGAAAAATTGAAGAAGGAAGAGGTAAAGCCTAATGAACCTCCCGCACCATACCCTCAAAGGTTAATGAAGCCCATGGAAGACCCAAACTTCAAGAAATTTGTGAATATCTTCAAGCAACTTCATATCAACATACCGTTGGCGGAGGCACTTGAACAGATGCCTACATATGCTAAATTCTTAAGGGAGTTGCTGACAAAGAAGCGTAAATGGGCTGATCTAGAGAAGGTAACCCTTACTTCTGAATGTAGTGCCGTGATTCAGAATAAATTGCCAGAAAAGAGGGATGATCCAGGAAGCTTCACCATTCCATGTGTCATTGGAGGTAGAGAGTTTGATAAATCACTCTGTGATCTAGGAGCAGACATTAATTTGATGCCATACTCAGTCTACAAGAAATTGGGATTGGGAGATGTTCTTAAGCCTACTCGGATCACTCTCCAATTGGCTGATCGATCAGTGAAAATTCCAAAAGGAGTGGTAGAGAATGTATTGGTGAAGGTGGGGAAGTTTATTCTCCCAACAGATTTTGTCATTCTAGAGATGGAAGAAGATCAGGGAGTGCCTCTAATTCTCGGCAGACCTTTTCTAGCCACTGGCGATGCACTCATCGATGTCGGGAGAGGCAAGTTGACATTCCGAGTAGGTAAGGAGGAGGAAATTTTTAAAGTCTTTCAAGTTGATCATAATCACGATGCATTTGATGACTTTGAAAGTGGAGCTCGAGAAAGGAAAAATCCCTTATCCTGTGATAGTGGACAACCTGAACAACTATCACATGTCCTATCTGCTCAGATTCTGAAATCAAAGCAAGGACAGATTTCCTTGCCAGATCACCTCAAGTATAGATATTTGGGTAAGGATTTCAATCTTCCTGTTATTATTCCTTCTTCACTGACATTGAAACAGGAAGAGTACTTGCTTGAGGCGCTGCAATACCACCTACGCCTCACTAAAGGGTCCAACATGCAAGATAAGAAGGTCATACCAAATTTTCGTACACCTAGCCCTGCAGAGGTGACTCATATGTTAGATGGAGGCTATGCGTTCTATCATTGCTCGGGAGGGTATGCTGGATACCTTTCCATACCCATTGGTTGAAAGCTCCATGAACGTCAGGCTGAGGACGTTAAACAAGCGCTTCTTGGGAGGCAACCCAAGGTAAGTTTTCTTTTCTTTATTTTTCTTTTTAGTTGTGTCAAACCCGTGCATGTTTAGATTAGGAGTTGAACATTAGGGGCAATGTTCCATCCTGAGTGAGGGGTGGCGAGTCTTAGTGTTTGTTTGTTCCTTTTGTCATGTGGTCGGTAAATAGAAAATCCAAAAAAATAATAAATAAAAATTTTCCATTAGGTTGAGCACAACCAAACTGCATGCAGTTTGCCTGTGTAAAAAGCAGGCTGCCTGTGCAAAGCTAATGGCTAAAAAACACCTAAAAATAAAAAAAAACAAAAACAAAACCTTGTACTCTTGTGGTAACATGATGTAAATGACTGTGATGCATGTGAAATGAGTTTGTGCTTGAATGAAATCATCGAAATCACCCTACTAGTGTTGAATTGCAAAGTTCTTCACAATGAGCTTGAATGTTTTGACTGACTTGATGTGCTTTGAATGGGCATTCTTTTAGAAACATTCTCTTTTGTGAGGATAGTGTAATGACTTTTGGTGAAGTAGTTAGGTGGAGAACATTGACCATTCGACATGTTTGGATACCGTGCTTACTTGCATCAATTGTGAGCTTTTGATTTGGCAACGAGTCTCTCTGTTTTGATTGTTTTATGATGGGGTGAACTGTATCTTTATAAAAGAAAACACTACCTGACAAGTAAAATATAAGAAAGTTGCCATAACAATTTAAGTGTGGGTAAAAATGCCAAAATCGTGTGAGGCAAGCACTCATTGCACATGGGGATTAGGAAAGATTCAATTGAGAATCGGTTCGCGACCGTACGATGTTGCTTATCAAGTACGATCCCCAGTTGAGTGAAGTGCCATTAGAGGATGTGCAATGACCCTCCACACGGACCGAGGAAAAGGAGTTAAAAGAAGCTCTTATGCGAGTGCTAAGAAGCAGAAATTGCTCTTGCTCGGTCACCGGTAGTAAGAAACAAATCCCACTTGTACTAAATACGACCACTCGGCAAGCAAAAGCAGGAAGAGAGAAAGCCTCTCCTTGTCAGAAAGGTAGTGATGTGCTTAAAGTTAAAATCATGTTTGTGAAAAGCTTCCCCCATTTTGGTTTTGAGACTCTTGCCTCGTTAATAGCTTATGATTGGTGTGAGTAAGCAAGATTGTCCTCACGAGATATGCACCTCACTGATGTGGTTAGATTCTCCTAATAATTGTTGCACCATAAGTTATTAATCACCCACTACCGACGATCGGAATTGAGTGTTGCTATTTGAGTTTTTGGTGGATTCGAGTCAGTCATTGGTAATGGTTGCAAAGAGCTTGAGTGTGGGGTGAAAGGTATGACCATTAAAGCACAACTTTTCCTTTGAGAAAGAAACTACTGATTACAACAAGAGTACAAGGAAAATTTTGTTTTGTTTGAGTGTTTGGTTAGTGAGTCTGTGGTGTGTCATTGTTTTGGATGGTTATGTGTTTGTGTTGTTTGAGTCGTTCCTTAGGGACAAGCAACAATTGAGTGTGGGGTTGTGATAATCGGCTTTAATATATCGAATTCGTGAGCTTTATGTGACTATCTCATGGTATGTTTAAGCCGATTGGTGCTATCTTAGGGAGAATTAATCCGTAATGGTTGAAAAGGCATTACCATTTGTGTTGGAGTTTTGGTGTGTGTTTAGGTGAAAAGATAGATAAAATGGCAGCACTGGAACTTCCGAAGCATGAGATGGCGGGAGGAATTGGATCCATATTTCTTCCACAACAAGTAATTGGGCCAAAGCCCAATTGATGGAAGCAACTAATGGGCATCCTTGAAATTGATTTGGGAAAGAGAATAAGCTTGGCGGCGAGAGGACGGAACTCAGCTGGGGAGAATTGTATTGGAAACGAATTGCTTTGGGAAAAAGGAGGGAGCAGGAGCGGAACTATTTCTTTGGAAGGCAATTAATTTAAGAGGCGGCTGGCTTTTCTACAGAGAAAAAGAAAGGATTTGGCGGCTGGGACTTGTGAATAAAAGCAAGGAATTAATTGAGGGGAGGGAATCTCTTTTTTTGGGACGGAACTCACCTGGGGAGGAGAATTGCAAAAGGACACGGAAATTGGGACGGGATTTCTTGGACGGGAGAAGAGGAAGCAGCAGGACTTCTCGGTAATTAGCTGGGGGTCGGAACAGCAAATGGGAAGAAAATCTCGATATTCTTTTTCTTTGTTATGATTCGTGGCATGATTATTATGAACATGATTATATCTTTTGATTTCGTCATGAACTAAACCCCGATTTCTGGGAGAAACACCATAGGATGTAGCTATTTCTAGAATTGATGGATTGATTCGTATTTCTTTTATTCCAATCTCTATTGCATGAAATTACTTAATGCTTTGTGTTGACTGGCCACCAATACAATGAATCGTAGTTAATTAGGTTATTAGCGACAGTGAAACCCTAATAACTGAACCTATTTCATGTGACATAGTAACTTATCGAAGCGACAGTGGATTAAATAAGGTGCTATGCGGTCTTGATTGGGATATCAGTCTTAAGGCTAAATAATTAATTCATTGAGCTACGACAGTAGGATTTGAATTGATTATTTAGTACGTAGTAATTCCCGACATGGATAGCTAGCACAGTGGTGATATCCTGGCTGTAGAGATATGGATTAAATTGATTGGAATATGTGAATTAATTTTGATATGATAGGTAGTGAATCCCGGTGTTTCTCCCAGAGCTTCTCCATTGAATTTCTCCCGATCATTTTACTTGATTAATTAGTTTTATTATTTTTCTAGTAGTTAATAATCTCATTAAACCATTTTCACATATAGTTTGCTCAATAAAATTGATAGAACTTAAGGTTGTACCAATCCCTGAGAGACGATACCCGGACTTTCCGGTTTTACTACAAGATAGGATTAAGGCATATACGCTTTTGCCCTATCATGGTTGTGGCAACAAATAACAGATCATAAGTTGAAATGAATTATTGATTCATTTGGTTACAAATGGGGTATACAGGGTACACGGTGAAAAGTTTGTCGAATAAAAAGAGAAAAACTACATAATAAAAACATTAAAAATAATTATGAGTAGGATACAAAATTATTCATCTTAGTGATAAGAATAAAATTATTTTTTGTTGAAAATAGAAGAATACAAATGTTGAAAACCAGTAGAAACAGTAGGAAGCTACCAATTTCTATATACATAGTCGAAAACGAACATAAAACAAAATGAAAAATAAACATGTTTTTTTCTTTTTATTTCATTACCGAATTTCTGAAATGAAAACAAAAAATGGAAATGAAAGTGAACATGCCTGAATAGGGAGGTAGTTCAAGTCGAAGACCAATCAAACAAAGTATAACGGATCAATATCAAAATTTACATTCCTATTGTTGTTAGGCCACAACCAACTCGCAAAAAATAGAAAATGGGAATGGCAAAATCTCCCGCAAAAGCACCAACAAGCATGTAAAGAGGTCAAGTGATCCACCCTCTTCTTGTGCTTGGCAGCTAAAAGAATGAAGAGATCCAAGTGATCGATCTATCTTTGCGTCCTCCAATATTCTGGCAAGCATTCCATCACTGAATAGTAGCAGAGGATCCAGTAATCTCTGCTTGGCATGGACACCCACGACAAAATTGATTGGAGTTTGGAGTCCAGTCTGGAGTGTATCCAGGAGAACATGGAAAAGGACTAAATAATAACTATGAACTTCATGGTTAAGTAAGATATATCTGACTGATTAAGGCGCATGATGAGTTTACTCGCCTTTTACCAGTTAGAGCTCCATAGGATGATGTAGTGAGAAACCCAGAACCTCAGAGAAAACTTCCACGTAGTGAGGCAAGACCAAATCTCCTGCAGTTGTAAGATTATAAGTTTGTCAAAAAAGGGTCAGGCTATCGATCCACTAATGACTGTATAATTCGACTGGATGCCGTATTCATGACTATGGTCCTGAATTCCAAAAAGGAAAACTCAATTGACCAACGCAAAGAAAGGCAAATACCTATGCTCAAATAGTTGCTGTGAAGAACTGAGACAATAAGACTTGATGTCATAGTATCTTTCCCCTGCTTGGAACGCAAATCGACTTCCCTTGGAGATGCAAATCCCCGAGAATCACTACATGGTGTAATTTTTTTTATGGTTAATCAAAATTGTATTTGAAGCCCGTGAAAGTGCAACTCGCAGCTTCAGAAAACAATTGGAAATTTATATGACTCCCACTAGAAATTCTTGCTTGATTTTGGACTCCACTTGGAACGGAGAGTTGACTGCTACTGATCCATAGAATCTCGCAATGAGCTCTCTCCATATGCCACTCAATCCCATCAACCAGAGAACCCTGCTAACAGCTGCCGCATCAGAAGCTGCAGACCAGTTGTTTTCTGCCCAAGTAAGGTGTCCCTGCCAATTCAAGAAACCTGGAAATGACCAAACCCCTTTAAGCAGCTGTTGCAAAACTGTTGTTCCATACGAACAGGAGCCAAACAGGTGCTCCCTATTGTCTTTGCCTCCAGGGACATAAAACACAACTTTCATCACATTCCACACCCCAGTTTGCCAACTTATCTATAGTTCTTATTCGACCCAATATGATCAGCCATACTAGAATGCAATGCTTTGGATAAACTGGCTTGTGCCACAAGGTCTGAAACCATGACACAGTAGGGGCAGGCGCTCGAATGGACTCCCATACCTTTTTAACTGAGTACTTTGCCAAGTAGCAACCATCCCACTCCAAAGAGTCACCCACTCCTGCAATGTGATGTTGTGCCAAGCTTCGACACTTAAGAATCTTCCTCCAAACCCACGTACTGACAGAGTAAGGAGAAAGGGACCATAGGTCCCTCCCTTTGATCTTATACTTATTCATCCAAGCAACCATAAAGACTCAGCCTCTGCCAATATGTTCCATAAGTGCCTAATTACACATGCTCTGTTCCAGGTTTTAAAGTCTCGAATACCTAAACCTCCCTCTTTTTTGGTCAAAGCCACCTGTGACCAAGCAACAGGAGATTTCTTCCTTCTATCCCCATCCACACCCAACAAGAATTTGTTACAAGCATTCTCAATCATCTTAAGCACCTTTAGAGGAAGCAAGAAACTCGACATCCAATACTGGAATACACTTGTAATCACTGAATCAATCGATTGCAGCTTTCCAGCATAGCTCAAAGAACGATCCTGCCAGGTTTGGATTCTTTTAATGATCTGCGCCACAAGACACTCACAATCAACAGATGTTAGTTTTCCAGAAAGGAGAGGTACGCCCAAATAACGGACTGGAAGAACCACCAATGGAAACCCAGATTGCTAAAAAATAGCTTGCTTATCATCTTGAGAGAGCCCTGAACAGAATAGCTGACACTTCTGTGGGTTGCATTTAAGACCCGAGACTATATAAAACTGATCCAATAACTGCTTAATTCTAGTAATTGCTTAAGACGATCCATTAGAAAAAACTAACAAATCGTCTGCAAAACAAATATGTGTGATTCCAAGGCTCTTACATCGTGGATGAAACGGAATAAGCCCACTATTGACTGCCCTTGTTAACAGGCAAGAAAAAACTTCCATTGCTATGGTAAAAAGGCAGGGGGAGAGTGGATCCCCCTACTTCAATCCCTTAGCAGCTGCAAAATACCCACACAAACCTCCATTGAAGGAGACACTCAACATTGGAGAGGTTACACAAGCCTCAACCAACTTCACAAACTCAGCAGGCATACCCATAGCAGTCATCACTTTAAACAGGAAACTCCAATCAACCGAGTCAAATGCTTTCATCAGATCTATCTTAAGTGCACATCTTGGGGATATTCTATTCTTATGATAATCTTTTACTAGTTCTGTTGCCATTAAGATATTGTCACTAATTAACCGACCCTTGACAAAGGCATATTGGCTTTTAATGATTAATTTTGGCAAAATCAAGGACAATCTACATAAGAGCAACTTAGAAATCCCCTTGTAGATAACATTGCAACAAGAAATAGGCCGAAAATCCTTCATCTTTTCAACTATAGGAATCTTAGGAATGAGAGATAAGACTGTAGAGTTTACCTGCCTAGGCATCCTCCCAGTAGTAAAGAAATCCAGGACAGTGTTCTCCACATCAACCCCCACAATATCCCAATCCAATTTGAAGAACTCAACACAACAATATCAATAGCTAAAGCAGCAGGTATAGTCAGCCCAAAAAGAATTCCTAGCAGAGCAAGTGCTTTGATGAAATAAATGATGAGGAAACCGATGAAGACCCAGAGCGTAGACCTTTTTTGTATCGCATTTAAGGAAACCATGCCGAGAACTCCAGCTAGCTCTATGTTCAACCTAAAGCCAGCTGGTACTTACATCAACCACACACAGCCAGATCGCAATATCTCATTTGTAGTGCCTTGGCGAAGAGCGAAACCCACAAGCACACATATTCTGCATGAGAGAAGAGCACTAAGCCAATCAAGTTTCCGAATAGAAGATCAACTAATAAACCAGTCCACATAGAATGCATATGTAGTGCAGATTTTTCTGCATACTCCACACATGCTCGTGACCTGAAAGATACCACCCAAAAAATGAAAGTGAGGATAGAGAGGAAGAAAGAGCACCTAGGCAACCATCAGCGGCTAACAACGACCCAAAGAACACTATGAACAGAATCCTGGTACAAAGCTAGATAATAAATTTATCAACTAACAGAATTGATATGATCCCAATAGTATCAATCCACAATTCACAATTGCTTGCCAAAGAAGTCATCTCAACTCACTTGAAGAATTGTGATTTTTGGCTAAGTGTTGAAACAGTTTCAGGTAGCCTACTTTGGAAGCTTGTATCTCACAAATGGCTCAATGGAAATGGGAGGTCAAGGGAATGTTTTAAAGATAAAGTTGCCATGTTTCCAATGGTATGCTTTTTGGATCCATAAGATGTCATTAAAGTTGTTTTCCAATGTCTCAAAGTTGCTACCTCAAAACTGGAAAACTGCCTGAAAATGGCTAAGGCAGAAAACTGTTTTGTGAAGCCTACTTTGGAGCTTAATTCGAGGAGTATGGATCTGATTCAAGTCCAAAGGCTTCCACAACATGAAACTAGATATGTTTGTGAACAAAGGAAATTAATTGGATGAAGAATTGGAGTTCGGGAAGGCCTTGAAAGGATTAAAGTTAGTACGAAAGGTGCCTTTTGACTCTTTTGCTGGCAGATTACTTGTGCGTCAAGAAAGGAAATTTGTGGCCGAGTTTTGTACTGTTTTTAGAGTTTTTTTTACCTTAATTGTTTCCTAGGTACATTAGGTTTTTATTAGGTTTATTTGCCTTTAAATACCTTCTAGTTTTCGTTGTAAAAAACGGAAGACTTTTAATTAATCGAAAAACAAACCCTTTGGTTTTGTGCAAGTTGCGACTTGTTTGAGTTTGGTGGATTCCAAGCTTGTGAGCTTGGTATCGATTGAATATTCTCTTCAATCATGGTCGAGCATCTACCCTTTTATACCATACGAGCTTTCCCCAGGTGTGGAATTGTCCGTTGGTTCCGTTTTATCCACTTTTCGTATTAAGAACATGTTGTTCTTGATTCGAGTTCAATCCATCTTCGGATTGATTGTTTGTTGCGCGACTTTGGTAAAAATACACCCCCAGGGTTGTATTAAGTGGTATCAGAGCCCGGTTCTACACAACGGCGAAGGAGATGAAGCAATTGACGATATCTGCACAAGTAGAATTCGTGTTTAAAACAGGGCATCCCCTGTTCGTGTGTTACAGTTGATGTTTCGTGTGCAATCGCGATGGAAAACTCCCTTCGAGCAAAGGAGTTGGTAGAGAGCAGTACCAAGGAGCAGTAGACACAAGTTCAAGGCCAAAAGAAGCAGCCAACAGTCGTCATCAAGCATAGAGAGTTCGACGAGCAGCGGGACAACCTATTTCACAATCGTTGAAGGTAAATTGGTGTCGTTAGTAATCGATGGAGGCAGCTGTGCAAACTTTGTTAGCTTAGACGCCGTCAAGAAGCTTGGATTGACAACGCAAAGACATCCCCAACCTTAGCAACTCAGTTGGATCAATGAACACAGGACAATCAACGTGACAAAACAAGTTTTAGTTCGTTTTAATCTCGACAGTATGAAGATGAAGTGATTTGTGACGTTGTACTAATGCATACAGCTCACATATTGCTTGGACGTCCCTGGCAATTCGATCGGAAGGTTACACACGAAGGTTGGACGAATTATTACCGATTTGCACATCAAGGAAAGAAGATCATTCTGAAAGCTCCTTCTCCGGACGATGCTTACAATGATCAGAAGCAGATGGAAGAGAAGAGAAACACGCGCAAGGAGTCTCGGGCTCAGTTGTGGGTTCAACGACGTGTTGGATTCAAATTTATGAGCTTTCACAAGCTCCAGAAGGCCCATCCAGAGCTCGAATCTGCAGCCTGCAACAAACTCTATTTTGCCCCTGCAAAATAGAGTCCTGAGTTCCGCAGCTTGGACGACGATGGAGGAAGAGAGTCGGAGCACGAACCAGTCAAAGAAGAATTCCTAGAGGCTGCCGAAAGGTTGGAGAAGAGAGGGGAAGGTCTGGATCATAGTGATGATGGACAAATCGTCCCGGTGACGAGCGTTGCAGAGTTCACCTCTGTCCCGACGATGCAATTATACCATACGAGCTTTCCCCAGGTGTGGAATTGTCCGTTGGTTCCGTTTTATCCATTTTTTGTATTAAGAACGCGTTGTTCTTGATTCGAGTTCAATCAATCTTTGATTGATTGTTTGCTGCGCGACTTTGGTAAAAATACACCCCCAGGGTCGTATTAAGAATATTGCTTAGCTGTCACATAATGCATGCAGAAAGAGCAACAACGAATGCAGCATAAAAAGGTTTTGCACCAAAAAAAAAAAAAAAAGCAAAACTTAGACAAAGTTGCAAACTACATGGTTAATTCAGCTCTTGGCGTTGCTGCAAGACAAACACATAAAAGGAGATAACAAATATAAGATCAATTTTCACCAGAAAGTAAAATCTTATTCATGCATCCAGGACCTAAAATGTGAATAGAGCCCCTTTTTCCCTTCATTTTATTAAGCAAAGGATTTCATTGTTACCTGATGCTATTATCTTGCAGAAAAATTGGCCAATAAATCATCTGACCGCAACGAATGCGCACATTTTTTTGACATAGTGGGAACAAGCTTTGCAGATCTGGTGCAGATCCATAGTCCATATCCAGACCAAGAGAGGTTATGTAACAACTGAAGAATCATATACATTATAGTGGAAAGCAATGCCAAGAATAAAGCCAGTGCTTGCCATACTAAACCAAGACACCTGAGAATGTTAAAATGAGAAACAAAGTTGTAAGATCAACTACCATGAAGCAAAATAAGGTAAGAAAACAGTAGCAATTCACATACATGCTCTTGATGCGATAGCTGGTGCAAGATCCATTAGACCCGATGTGTCTCTGAAGAATCTTTCTAGCTGTAGAAGCACTGTTCATCGCCAAAATGAGTGCATCCTAGTCGATGAATCAAAATACAATGATAACCAGCAACATAAGCACATGATGCAAATACATAAAGTGGAATCTGGGAAACTATGTCACCATGTCAAACTCTGGTTGGAATGCTTGAAGCTCATCCACCCACTCAGGTTTCCTTAAAAGAGCCTCCTCTTGTTTAGAGGATCTCTAGAAATTCATCGCAAGGTGTTGTTTGCCTAAACAAAACAGGAGAAGGGGAAAATAAGCTAAGAATAGGCAAGGAAGCTTGCCAAGATATGTACCGGAAAATAATGGCACAAATAGATGACTTACATACGTGAACATCACAATGAACTACTACTTGCCCATTCCAATGAACATGATGCAACTGAGGAACACAGTTAAAATCTCTACCGGATTGTTCATGAGACTTGTGCATCCAATGGATCCAATGGCCTCCTTCCACACCATTCTTCCAACAGTGTTGAATAAATCCATCAAGTTGATTGCACCCACAAACACTTTCTTTGCTGCATTGGCTAACTGAAGGTTGTCTCTTTCCAGCCACATGAATGTCAGAAGAGGAACCTATCTCACCATCTACTTCTGATCCAACTTTAAGACCATCACCATTAATGTTCAGGGGCGTAGAACAATGACCCAGCAGGCAGAAACGTGATTTTTCTTGAAGCGACATGGTCATCCTCCTATTTACATCGTCGACGATTTCCTGTTCAGATAAATGCTCCACTGTTACATATTCTAATCAACACTAAATATCATGTACACATCCGCCCAAATTGTGCAGTCAATCAGAAATTTGAGCTCCTCACCTGTTATTTAATTTCTCGTGAAAACCACCCCCACCCCACTCTCTTTTACCTTAACTTCTGCAACTTTCAGAGGAATTACCAACTAAGCAAGTTACAGGCGACTTATCACTTGTTTATACAAAAGAAATACCGGCCATCTGGTGAAAAAAGATGACTACTGTGTCTCACTACTTTTCTATGAATGGGTCTGCTATTGAAGCATGCCAAATTACCCAGGATGAGATAACCTTTTACTTATGCCAAATTGGAACAATCTTAACAAGCAACAATAAGGAATTGAAGAGAGAATCAAAGTATTAATTAGGGCTCGTACTTGAATACCAGATTGGCAAGTGCACAGTGGTACCTTGCTGCACCCAAAAGCTACCACAACATCAATTGATACGGCAGAGCAAGAAACAAACCAGCCAAAGAAGTAGCAATTATTTGAGAATGGTTTATTTGAATGCTGCTTTGGCCACCAAAGCTTGCACTTCCTTCTCATCTTCTCCAACTTCACAGGAAATTCCTAAGTAAGATAGAAAAATGATAACAATTCAATGTTTGTTGCTTTGCAGAGTTACTTTAAAAGTATTTTTCCGGAAGCTAAAGGGGAAACAAACAGTACAAAATTATGAATGTGCCTTAGTACTCAACCCAGAAAATCAGGTTGATCCACTGAAAAGAAATAATAGAACAAGTCTTTTCCAAAACATTATAATTCACAATAGATGCTTCCAATGACGATATAAGGTTGTACTGCCAGAAATAATACTCTCTGTTACCTGAATAGAAAATACCTCCATTGCGACATACAGTGGAAGGGGGTCCTGCGCTAGCAATTCCCCGCTTCCGGGAGACGAGAAATCGTCACTTCTAAATGAGTAGGATTGGGACATAGACACACATGAATAGAAAATCAGAAAGAGCTAGCAATTCCCATTGCGACATACAGTGGAAGGGGGTCCTGCGCTAGCAATTCCCCGCTTCCGGGAGACGAGAAATCGTCACTTCTAAATGAGTAGGATTGGGACATAGACACACATGAGACTGATGGGAACTGAGCAAGCATGGATCCAAATCAGAAAGAGCTAGAAAGGAATCACCGCAAAAGCTTACGGGAGGTTTCTTTCTTCTTCAGCTGGCCAGGACGAGACGGTGGAGGACGAGAGGACATAGGGGATTGAGAATTTGTTATAGGAGACTGCAATGGAGAAGCCTTCGTAAAAGAAGTTGAGGCTCTAGGGCTCCCTATTGTGGGAGCAAATCCGGTGAGTAACACCTCATGCATAACCCAATAAGAATCTGTCACATCAGCGCCTCCTTCTCTCTCCTTGAAAAATCATTAATTTTATTTCTCTTAATCTTTAACGAACGATTTCTTTTGGATAAGTATTGTTATATACGACATAAATATCTTAATTTTCTCATAAGTATTGTTATATACGACATAAATATTTTTTTGGATACGAACTCATACCAATAATTGGAACACCGGTTGGTTCGGGTTCTACGAGTTGTGTAATCCAAAATCCAAACCTAACCCAAAAGAGGCGGGTTATACAAAAGAAAATCCTCACCCAACCCAAAACCTTTGTTTTAGTGACAAATACGGATGGGTTGGACAGGCGGGTCGGTTTGCGGGTGTGTTTGTTCACCCCTAAATAGGGGGACTTCATTTTGGTGAAATTAACTAATAAAAGAATTCATTTGTTATTTATTTTATAAAATTGAAAGTTAAAAATAGATGTTATTTGTTGAATTCAAGTATAATAGTTTGGGTGGTGATATTAAATATTGAATTTAAATATGAGTATTTATTATTTTGTTTGAAATATTGTATTTTATTTAAATATGAATATAGATTGTAAGTAAGTTGTTTTCAAATATATTTTATATATGCTCAATTTCATTTGATCTTAATAGCTTTTCATATATTTTCATATTTTATTAAACTAGCATGAACCAACACAAAAAGGTTGTACCACTGGTCAAACTATTTCACTTGCTAAAATGATACAACAGGATAAACCGGCTTGACAACCTTTTTATCATAGCATTGTTGTCATGTCGGTGGCATGCTGGAAGGTACAACCGGGTTCAACCAGTACTAGTTACAAAATTATTGGAATGCCTCTGTTATGACTAGTATGATCGATTTTCGACATTTAAAGAAAATTATGATCTTTTTTAATTTAATTAACAAGAAAATCATTTGAATCTTGAATTTAAAAGTATAAACTTTGTTAGATTCAAGTATGAGAGTGTGGTGTCAAAAATTAGTACAAAATATTTAGATGTTTATGTTATTTGTTAGATTCAAGTATGAACTTTTGGATGTTGGCGCTAAATATTGTTTTTAAATATCATGACTTTTCATTTTGTTTGAAATGTTGTATTATCTAAATATGGATGTTGATTATAAAGATATATATTATCTTGAAATATATACTTGCACATATATTTAAGGTGAAATGAGAAACCTTTTTCTAGTTTCAAATTTTCTAGCCGGAAGGCCATTTTTGTAAATCCGTCCAGTTTTCTTTGTAGATTACAAATAGGGTTATAGGTATATTTTGTCACTCTACTTTCCAAAGTTCTCAAACATGTCCCTTTGTAATGTTTTACATAAGTTTAACTCGGAATTTAATTTTTTTTGCACAGTTAGATCAGATTAATTGTGCTCTTCAAGATGATATCCACTTTGATATTTTTTGGAACAAAAAAAATTTGCCAGTTATTACCAGTCAATACCATATGGTATTGACATTGACTGGCATTAAATAACAGTATACCATATAGTATGAAAATACCACCTCATACCAGGGTGGTATAGTATGGTATAGAGTTGGTAACGATTCAAAATGATATCCACTTTGATATTTTTTGGAACAAAAAAAATTTGCCAGTTATTACCATACTATATAGTATGGTATGGAGGTGGTAACGAGAGATATGGAATTTTTTCCCCCAGAAAATTTTGAAATCCAATAGATCGTCGAATGTCCAGCTTCCCCCAAAAAAACTAGCCTCCACCAATACCAGTCCGTCTTCTGGTCTGCGTGCGTGGGAGCAGCTCAAAGAAAGAAGAGTCTGGTCTGATATGAATTCAGGCCCGTATGCTGCTAGGTTCGGGAATGACGCCAGGCGAGGGCGCCGCTATGTCCCTTAATGAATCGAATGGTCCTTCGACCTTCATGTGACTCCGACGGCCGACAATGATTAAATCGTTCCTTTTGTGCAAAAATTTCCGAAAATGACTAAACAACGAAGGAGATACCATATGGTATGGAGTTGGTAACGAGAGGGATGAAAAAAAAATTCTCAAAAAATATTGAAAATGAATATCATTTTGTAGAGCACAACGAACTCGTTCCATCTGTGCAAAAAAAAAATTGAAATTCGAGTTAGAATGAAGAATATATGATCCAATTAAGAAAATTAGGAAAAATAAATTCCTTTAGTTCTTCACCCTTAGATCTACATCCGCTTAAAAGTAGGGTCCAAATTTGATTACTCATTGTTACTCACACTAAGGTTATTCACCCTATCTTGAACCCATATTTGGGGACTTAGCCGGCAGAGATTTGGAAGAAGCAACTGGAGCTTTGTTCCTCAGCATTCAATTTCAATTGGATTTCCCTAGCTGCTGAGTTGCCACCGCTTCTAAAAACAAACATCATAAACTAGACATAATACGGTCTGAATTTTATAAAAATAGACTTTTTAACATGTGAATTCAGAAATTCTTATTGTGGCTATATATCATTTAGACTATTTTGGCCTGAATCATGAGTTGATTGTCAAATTGGACGAGCAACCTCTTTTTGTTAATAAATCACCCAATATAATATAACTGACATGAATTCACGTAGTCAATAAAAATTTATAAGAAACTCAATAACGGTATCGAAATAAAAAAAATTAAATAATCCAAATATAATTAAAGATAAATTTTCTCAATAATTTTTATTTCATTATTATTTCAAATTAACCAAAAATAAATAAATTTTTTTATTTCTTTAGTGTAATATGCATTGTTCGAATTGGAAAAGTGTAATTAGGAAGTTCAAAATTTTATTATTTTTTGGAATTTTGGTCGATGATAGGGAAGAGGAGATAAGGTGACACGTAAATGGGTATAAGTAGAGGTGACAAATGGATTGGTGGATTCATGGATTTGATCAAGTGGATTGGTGAATTATCCAAGAATCCAAATGACATCCTCAACCTTGAACCAATATGTAAAATATGAAAAGTTTAGGTATTAAAATGTCATGATGAAAAAATTTAGGTACCAAAATGTAATTTTCCAATGATATTTCGTATTAAAATTAAATTTTATGTACCAAAATGTAAAATATAAAAAGTATAGGTACCAAACTGTAATTTATCATTTGAATCCATGAATCCACCAACCCAATTGGATTTGGATAAAATGAATTGAATTAGGTGGATATTTTTAATGGATTGGTGAATTGGATTGAGAATTGTCACCTTTAGGTATAAGTAGTAAAAAAAATAAATGTGGGACTAAGTATGGATTTGGGATGGAGGCATGGAGCAAGGAGATCTAAACATTGGGTCAAATAAAGGTTGAACATTCACAATTGTAGTTGTAATTGTCATTTCTATCTATTATAAATATCCTAGGTACTTAAGATTGATAGGACTAATTAATTCTCGACAACTACAAATATCTAGAAGTACTTAATAAAAAAAAAACATATTCACTCTCTATTTTACGAAAAAGGACAAGTTCATTGTAAGGGATCAATTCGAAGTTAGCTTCCAAACGAACTACAATTGGTTCGAAACAAAAGAGAACATACACAACATGTTGTGAGTTGATTTTCTTCTTTGATTATGCGGCAACATTTCTCCTAAGGGTTATGTTGATGAAAAGACATTCTTGCTTTCAAACAATTGATTCCATCCCCAACCAATCATCTCATTGAAAGAAAAACTCGAGCAACAAGAACAGAAAAGCACCCATGATGAACAACGTCCACACAAACTAAGCCAGTGGAAACTAAGCACGAACAGAAACAATGGTTACAGACAATCTTATATCTGTCATCAACAACCTCAAACATTCTTCACATTCATGAATTCGATACTTCAAATTTCATCTGCCAAATTAGGATTTTCGATGAAATTCTCGTCTCAAATCCAAATACCAAATTCATTAGCCAAATCCCCAACATCAAATCACTCCCACAGTACTACCATTCAGACTTTCTCCACCCGACTGAAACTGCACAAACCCACCCAGCCCCACCACGAAGTTCGAAACCATCATAATCTCCTCCACCACCCTGTCCACAACTCCGCTCCTGATTACCGGCGGGAAGAACAGCCACATCGACGTCGGCATCACGAACCCCATCGTCAAGGCCCACTTAACGGCCCAATGAATCCTGCTCACTCTCTTCTCCCCTAAAAGGGCCCCCAGCCCAACCTCCGCGGCCAGGCCCAACCCATGGAGCACAAAGAACCACGTGACCTCCCACGTGGGAGACTCCCGGATCGTGTGGTAGTACACCATCTCGTGGGCTAGCCCGGATACGAGGAAAGTCGTCAGGAGGGCAGGCAGCGGGGCCCACTTCTTCCCAACGACAGGGGACAGCGTCGTTTTGACGGGGAAGTATACCATGCTCCGCAGCATCTCGGTTACCATGAGGTTCCACCTCCTCCCCCAGAAATCCCTGAGCGAGGTCGACAGGTACGGCTCATCGGACGGAGGGTGGACCTCCACGTCGATCGCCGCCGTCAGGATGAAATTGCACGCGCCGAAGGACACATCGACGAACAGGAACATCATCCCGCAGTACATGAACCGCAGGGCAAACGGGTGGAGATTTTCCATCATCTGGCCGTGGGACCCGACCAGGATTGCGAGGAGAAGGGCCTTGGTCGGCCAGTTTAACGGCAGAATCGGTAAAGGCGGAGACTTTCCGCCGTTTTGGGAGTTTTGACGACATGGGTTTTCCAGTTTGGGCTTGATTCTGGCCGGGAAGACGGCGATGACGATGAAATAGAAGAGGGAGACTGGTGGGTCCCTTGTCGTCAATGGGCCTTTGTCGAAGGCGAAGAGGAGGAGCTTGAAATTGGCGAGCCAGGAGATGAAGCAGGAGGTGAAGGCAATTGGGAAGATGTAAGTGAAGAGGAGAGGGAGGTAAGCGAAGAGGGAGACGATTGGAAGGATGGAGAGAAGCCTGATTTTGCCTTTGGGGAGCTTTGATGAGATGAAATGGCAGTAGGAAAGGGATGCAAGAATGGAGATGCTGACGGTGACTGAATTATGGATCATTTCGTACTCCATCGTTTTGGAAATCCGTCTGTACGTGATTTCTTCAGGGGATTGCATTTGCAGACTAGTGTGATCCTCAAGTTGGAAGGAATGGCTGTTGTTTTGCTTTAATGGGTTGTGGAGGGAGGAGAGGTAGATGCTTTTTCTCTCTTCAATGGCTTGATTGTTGTTGTTCTTTATTTTGCAAGTTTCGATATGAACTTTTCCGAGGCATGATTTTTTTATGTTGCTGGTGAGAAAGTGGTCAAAGTTGGGAAGTTAGTGAAGGGTTTCTTTGTTTAATAGTATAGAAAAGTGGTAAGGGAGGTCAGGTTATTATTTCGAGTTCCACCATTAACAGTTGTTTGCAGTGTTATTAAAGCTGAATCAAGCCGCTCGGCCCGACCGGTAAAATTGTCACCCGGTCACAAAACCGACTAGGAATAGTCTAAAAGCCGCTCTGGTTTTATGTAGCGGCTGAAGAGCGGTCGAGGCGGTTAACCGTTCGAGCCGATTGAGCCGCTCGTCCGGTTTTTGCCATTCAGCCACTAAATTTAATTAAAAAAAATTTGCAGAAAATTGAAAATTGAAATAAACCAAAAACGTCGGCCTCTTAAACTGAATCCTTATTTCCATTTCACAATTTCGGAGGAAAGAGATGAGCTCTGATTAAGAAATGTCCATTATTTATACTGATAACGTTTATTAGGTACCGGTTCTTTAACGGTTTTTAAACGGTCTAATGCCGGTTGGACCACTAAAGTGCGAGCCGTTCGCATTACCGGGTCATGCTCCGGTTCGGTTCTGACAACATTGATTGTTTCTGAAAGGTATTCAGTCGGTTTTCAAGTGGGAGGATTTTTCTATGCAAGTTATTTGTTCAGATTGCGGTTGAGATTTGAGAGTGTGCTTGTGACATCATTCCAGAATATGGGTGTAACGTTTGTGTATAAGTGATTGTGAGTTGGCTGACATGATGCTGTGGAATGTTATTTTAACAATTGTATGATGTTTTTTTCCCCCTCTCACTTTCTTTCAGTTTCGCATCTCTTTCTTTATTGCAAGTTGTGTATCTATTAGGCAGTATACGAATATTCAATTTATAAAACACCGTTTCTCATTTACACCATATTTTCAGCAGATGACCCATGTTAACGTTGGATTGTTAACCTTTTTGCACTATGCATTACAAGTTTACAACCCAACGTACAATCCGCATTCATCAACCGAATAGATCCTTATTCAAGTGGCTCAAATACATAATTGGTTGGCCTATGTGGGCTCCTTTTTGACTTTTTCATAATTTGCAAATTCTTTTGGGTATAAATAATGTCCAACTTGAGCTTCATTAAGATGTAAAGGAAAGTGTAAGGGTCGACTAAAACGGGTATAAATTTTATGTGGCAATTTACCAAACAAATGATAATGTATGTATAGTTGCAAATGTGAAAGTGGCCAAGTTGGCTAAAGTCGAAAACCATGTGCTTAAATTAAAAGTTGCAATGTACCAAAGAAACAATGATGTTGCCACTCAAAAAAAGAAAAGGAATAATGATGTAAAATTGCAAATGGGATTCATCATGCATGAAAAGTTCGATGAAACACATAGAAGAAAGGATTTTCCACGAGTGCCGTGACTCGTGGTACCTCTATTTCTGTTGTTCAAGAAAGTGGTTACCTGTTAACTCCATTTTGTGTGGACGATATTGTTGGAAATGTATATGAATAGCTTTGAAAACTATAGAGTCTCAAGTGAAATGTGTATAAAGATAGGAGCCTCTCTTCTAAGGGCATGCCTTTGGGGTAACCCATTTTTGTGGGAGAGGGAGGACCTAACGGACCACCACGCGCGCGCGCCGTCCGTCCGACCGACCGGTTGGTTGGTTGGTTCACTTGAGACTATCTATATATATATTTTTGGAGAAATTCCGAACAAAATTAATTATCTAATAATTAATTATTAATCGGTTATTCTGAGGAATATTCTAAGGATAATCGACTAAAAAGGAATATTCGAAGGATAATCCCGCAGGGTTTATCTTAACCGACGGTTTTAATTAAGGAAGTAATTATCTTCCTTAATTAATCCGACTTATTCCCCAAGCAAGAGGGTATATTCCTAGGGGTTCGGCTCCTATAAATAGCCGCCTCCCCAGCCCCTCTAAACACATCACAACGAGCATAAACATTAAACCAATGCTGTCAAAGCCGAGCCGGAGTATGACCCGGTAACGTGAACGGCTCGGTCATTAGTAGTCCAGCCGGCATTAGACCGTTTAAAAACCGTTTGAGAACCGGTACCTAATAAACAGTCATCTGTAATAGTAGACACTTCTTAATCATGGTAAACCACAAGTAAATTACTCTCTTAAACCATTCTAGAACATCAGTACTTAAAGATCTAAAATTCAATTCCAAACCACCACATTCTAGAACATCAGTACAGAAACAAACTTCTTTGTTTCTTGTAGGATGTATTTGGCCCCCAAAAGACATTAAAAGAAAAACCCAATATATTCATCATCACCAGCTTTGTTGTATACAAATAGAACTTACGTATATAGTACTGAAAACTGTACAAACAGTACTAGACTTTGGTTACAATCTTTTACATAGAGAACTATATCACATATGATACAGCATCGTGATAGTGTTGATTGATGAGAAATGCACATTGGCTGTGTTGGATTAGAGGGTTGGAAAAGAGGAATCCATAGCGATCCCGCATAGACCTTCCTTGGTAGGGATGGGAATCCAGTCCCGGTTTTCCGGTCAAACCGGAAACCGGCCAGTTTAAACCGTCCCGGTTGTAACCGGAAACCAGATTGCATCCAATCTGATCCCGTCTCCGGTCTGTCTGTTTGCCAACCCGGTCCAATCCGGTTAAAACCGGAAAACCGGATTAACTTAAAAATAAACTTCTCAAGCCCAGCCCACTACCACAACCCAATCCCTCAGGCCCACACTATAAACTCGTTCAGCCCAGCCCAAAGCAACATAGCCCACAAGAGTCAAGACCCACTCAACCCTAAACCTACCCCTCCTGCTCTCACCCACCAGTGGCCACCAGCAGCCGCTCACTCACTCCTCCCCCTCTAATCTCCCTCGACGAAACCCACAAGCCACAACCTCAGGCGATCTCCCTCCCCCGACTCTCGTCGGCCTCCGACCAGCCAAGAACACAGACACTCTCCATCACTCCTCCCCACTCTGCCCCATCCGCCGCCGCCGCAATCTCCTCCGCAATCAGCTCATGCATGGATGAAAAGGAGACGCCGACCACAACTCCGGTCTCTTTCGCCGGCGACGCGGCGACCACCACCCCGCTCCCAAGTCTCGCCTCTGTAATCCGCCACTTCGCCATTTTGAAGCCTCGTGAGTCGCTCCCAGCTAGGCGTTCGCCAGAAGAGGCAGGTAAGAAGAAGAAGAAGCAGAGGGACATCAGAAAATGGATGAATCGAGAAGAGGAATCGCGCTAGGGAAATAGGGATTGTGAATTTGTCGTCCCAGGAGAAGTAGAAAGATGGAAATTGGAAGGAGAAATAGAAAGAATGAGAGAGAAGGAAGACTTGGGTTGTAATGAGAGAGAAGGAAGATTTTGAAATGGCGTGGGGATTGGGGGGTTGGTGATTTTTTGTGTTCAAACTTCAAACGACAGTGTTTTGAGATGGAAGAAGGTGATCCGGTTTTTGGGTTGAAACCGAATTCAATCCAGTTCGGTCACGGTTTAACCGTGTAATAATCCAATTCCGTCTTCGGTTGTGGAGTTGGCCAATACGGTTGTAAAAAACCGGGTCAATCCGGTTCGGTTTAAACCAAACCGGACTGTTTCCCAGCCCTATTCCTTGGCATCGATGTCTCTCAGCATCCTAATGTACCCTTTCTCGCCCCAAGTGGTTCCCCACGAGTTTTTGACCAACCAATATTTGGTTCCGTTACTGGTCTGACCATACCCAACAGCGGTAACCCCGTGGTCAAGGTTCGTCCCACAGTCCCCTGAAAACACCCCGCTGGAATAGAACATGAAGGAACCATCCCCTGCATCTACCGACACCGAAATCGGCTGGTTGGCCACTGCCTTCAACAATGCTTCCTCGCTGTTGGCAGGGACCTTCTGGTAGCCGGTGATTCTGGCGATGTGGGAGCTCTCCTTCTGTGAATTGCAAGTTCCATCGGTTCCCTGGTAAGGGTAATTTGCTTCAGAGGTGATCCCGTGGTTACCAATTATGAACTCGAAAGCATTCTCCATCTCCCCTCCATTGCATCCTTGGTCGACACTCTTGGTATCGCAATCGACGAGTTCTTGCTCGGAGAGGGAGACCAGCTTCCCGGTGGATAGCTGGTTGATCCCTTCGGTGGCACCTATGGCGGAGAAGGCCCAGCAGCATCCGCGATGGCGACGAGGAGGAACGGCGACGATGGATTTGAGCGACGAGGAGGAACGGCGCTGGGGAAGTTGGCGATGGCGACGACGACGGGGAGGACGACGATGGAGACGGGGAACGGCGACGAGGAGGAAAGGCGACGATGGAGACGGATTTGGAGTCGGAAGCGGCGCTTCCTTGTCTCCACGAAGAAGAATTAAAAAAATTAGGGTTCTGCTTCTACAGAACAGCTCGACCCCGACCCCCTTTAATTTTTGAACTTTTTTTTTAATTAAACCAACCGGTCGAATGTAAAAAACCGGACGACCGAGCGGTTAACCGCTTCGGCCGCTCGCCGGCCGCCCCAAAGAACCGGTCCGGCTAAATAGCTCATCCGAGCCGGTTTTGTGCCTGGTTGGTGGTTTTGGCGGCTCGGCCGGCCGGCTCGGCTCGGTTTTCACAACACTGCATTAAACACAATAGAGAGAGTGTTCAGAGAGCTCCAGTTTTCGCACAAAACCGCGAGTATTGAGAGGAGCTGTTTTATCCTGGAGACGACCGGTTGATATTCTGCCGTGCGCATCGAAGGCAGTGCCGCGAACGTCTTAAAGAGAGCAACCTAGTCCGCGACTCAGCTCCAGATTTGGTAACCTCGTTCTTCTTGTTGTTCCGTTCCTAACAATTTTAAGACTTTCGGCTGCTGCTATGTCGAATGAACAGAACAACATGGCCGGATCTGGTGCTGTCGATATCAATCGACCCTTTCGCTTCTTTGGAGTCAACTTCCGTCGCTGGAGACAAAAGATGGAGTTCTACCTGACGACCAAAAATTTGGCACACTGCCTCACCATCATGCCCGTCGAGCTGCCGGAAGAAGCGACCGATGAGGAGAGGGCTGCTTCTGCCAAAGAAAGAGCGCATGACTTCTGTGCAAGAATTACATCCTCAACAGCCTGGCAGACGATCTCTACGATTACTATGCGGACAGTAAGAACACCGCGATGATGATCTGGGATGCGCTCCAAAAGAAGTACGACACGCAGGAGGCTGGAGCTAAGAAGTATGCTGTCAGCCGCTAACTGCGCTACCAGATGGTGGATGACAAGTCCGACAAAGTTCAGTCCCACGAACTTCAGAAAATAGCTCATGAGATCGTCTCTGAAGGTATGCCTCTGGACGATCAATTTCAAGTTGCTTGCATTATTGATAAGATGCCCCCTTCGTGGAAAGATTTTAAGAATATGCTTAGGCATAAAACCAAAGAATTTTCACTGGAAAGCTTGATTACTCGCCTAAGGATTGAGGAAGAGTCCCGCAAGCAGGATATGAAAGAAGAGGTGATGGTCGTCACTGCTAAACGACCCACCCCTAGAGCTCTTAAACCTAAACCAGAAAGGGTTTAAGAGTAAGAACCAGCAGGTCCGCCCCCACCAGAATGGTGCCTCTCGAGGTAACCAAAGGGTCATGGCCCAAACCTCTAAGAATGACCCACCGTTTATCTGCTATAAATGTGGAAAACCGGGTCATATGGCAAAGAAGTGCCGGAACAAGCAAAACTCTGCCGCTGCGGCCAGGGTTAACTTGACAAAAGAGGATTTGATAGCCATGATCACAGATATGACGCTGAAGTTAACCTCACTGGTGACTCAGAAGGATGGTGGCTGGATACAGGTGCATCGAAGCATGTATGCAACAATCGTGTTATGTTTAAAACATATACAGAAGCACCTGCTGACAAGAAAGTGTTGTTGGGGACTACTCACACCACTATGGTTGCTGGTTCTGGTGAAGTGGAGCTGAACTTCACCTCTGGGAAGAAGATGGTGCTCAAGGATGTGTTGCACACTCCATAGATAAGGAAGAATCTTGTTTCGGGATATCTTCTTAATAAGGCTGGGTTTAATCAAACTATTGGGGCAGACTTGTATACCCTTACTAAGAATGGGAGTTTTGTGGGAAAGGGATATGCATGTAATGGGATGTTCAAGTTGAATGTCGAAATTAATAAGATAAATTCTTGAGTTTACATGGTGTGTGATTTGAATGTTTGGCATGCTCGTCTTTGACATGTGAACACACGAATTGTGAAGAATTTAAGCAAGCTAGGACATATCCCTAAACTCTCAATAAATGAATTTGATAAATGTGATTTCTTCTGTAGCCAAGCTAAAATAACAAAAACGCCCCATAAATCTGTGAGTAGAGAATCAGAACCCTTAGATCTGATTCATTCTGATATTTGTGAACTAGATGGGACGTTAACTAGGTCTGGCAAGAGATACTTTATCACTTTCATAGATGATTGCACTGATTATTGCTTTGTTTATTTGATGAAAAACAAAAGTGAAGCCCTTGATATGTTCAAGGTATTTGTGGTTGAATTTGAAAATCAGTGCAATCGAAAGATAAAAAGACTTAGGAGTGATAGAGGATCATAGTATGACTCTAATCCCTTCAAGGAATTCTATAGCTCATATGGTATCATTCATGAAACCACGGCACCATATTCACCAGAAATGAATGGTAAAGCTGAGCGGAAAAATATGACGTTTACAGAATTAGTTGTGGCTATTATGCTCAATTCTGGAGCTGCTTCTTCTTGGTGGGGTGATATTTTGTTGACGGTTTGCTATGTGCTAAACCGTCTTCCAAAAACAAATAGAAAAGAATCACCCTATGAGATCTTGAAGAATAAGCCACCTAATCTGTCCTATTTAAGAACGTGGGGATGTTTGGCCTACGTAAGAATTCTGGATACTAAGAGGATTAAGTTGGCTAGTCGAGCATATGAATGTGTCTTCGTTGGCTATGCGGCTAATGGTAAGGCATATAGATTCTATGATTTGAATGCTCGTACTATAATAGAATCCATTGATGCTGATTTCTTTGAGACACGATTTCCATTTAAAAGGAGAAATAGTGGGGGTAATGTACTACCCGCTATTAGAGATAACGGAACTAGTGGGGGTGTTGGTTCTGAGGATGAACTCAGAAGAAGTAAAAGAGCTAGAATCTCTAAAGATTTTGGTGATGACTTTACTACATTATTCACCCTCGAAGATCCAAAAAGTTTGCAGGAAGCATTAACTTCCATAGATGCAGATTTTTGGAATGAGGCCGTTATAGATGAAATGGAATCGTTAGAAGCTAATAAGACTTGGCATCTAATAGACTTACCTCCTGGCTGCAAAGTCTTAGGTAATAAATGGGTTCTAAAAACGAAACGGAAACCTGATGGTGCAATCGAAAGGTTCCGAGCTCGCCTAGTAGTTAAGGGCTACAGGCAGAGAGAGAATATAGATTTCTTCGATACCTATTCACCAGTATCAAGAATAACATCCATTCGTGTAATGATTGCTTTTGCTGCCTTGAACAATCTCGTGGTACACCAAATAGATGTTAAGATCGCTTTTTTGAACGGAGATCTGGATGAAGAAATCTATATGGAACAACCTGAAGGGTTTGTTATCCCCGAACATGCCTCGAAAGTCTGTAAGTTAGACAAATCATTATATGGTTTGAAACAAGCTCCAAAACAGTGGCATGAGAAGTTTGACACTCTCGTTCTCTCACATGGCTTTATGGTGAATGAAAGTGACAAGTGTATTTACTGCAAGTCAGAAAATAACACTTGCACTATCATATGTTTGTATGTAGATGACATGTTGATATTTGGTACAAATATTCACGTGGTCAATGAAGCAAAAGCCATGTTGAAAGAGAGCTTTGAGGTGAAAGATCTGGGAGAAGCAAAGTTTATGCTTGGAATCCAGATAACCAGAACAGCAAATGGTTATTCTCTAGATCAATCTAGCTACATAGAGAAGATCTTGAAGAAATATAACTATTTCGATTGTAAACCTGCGTGTACTCCGTATGATGCTAGTGTAAAGCTATTTAAGAACACTGGAGACAGTGTAAGACAATCAGAATATGCTAGCATCATTGGCAGTCTCCGTTATGTTGCGGATTACACTCGACCAGACATTGCATATGTCGTGGGATTGCTTGGCAGGTTTAACAGTTCTCCTAGTAGAGAGCATAGGAATGCTATAGAGAGGGTCATGAGATACCTCAAGAGAACAGCAAACCTTGGTATACACTATCAAAGGTTTCCTGCTGTACTAGAAGGGTATAGTGATGCGGATTGGAATACCCTATCAGATGACTCCAAGGCAACCAGCGGGTATGTTTTTAACATCGCTGGTGGAGTTGTGTCTTGGAAGTCAAAGAAACAAACAATCCTAGCTCAATCAACTATGGAATCAGAGATGATAGCACTAGCAACGGCTAGTGAAGAAGCAAGTTGGTTGAGAGGATTGTTGTCAGAGATTCCCCTATGGGAAAGGCCTGTCCCTCCGGTATTGATCCATTGTGATAGTACCGCAGCTATCGCAAAAGTTGAGAACCGGTTCTATAACGGAAAGAAACGACAGATTCGTCGTATGCACAGTACTGTAAGAGAACTCCTAACGATAGGAACAGTGAGGGTGGATCATATAAGATCCGAACAGAATCTAGCTGATCCTTTAATGAAAGGATTACCTAGAGAGAAAGTCCAGAATACCGCCAAGGGTATGGGACTTATGCCTACCGAACCACGGACTACAAGTGATGGTAACCTGACCCAATAGACTGGAGATCCCAAGAAATGGGTTCAATGGGTAATAACAAGTCATGAGTAGTATGCGAAAAGTTCATGCATAGTGAAGCATGAATCCCAAAGCAATGGAGGTTGAGTTAATAACTCTTAATGAGATCTATACCATATGTGGGGTGGAGTACTTTACTTTGGGGGTACTCCTGATAGACTCACCTATGTGAATGTGGGAGTGGGGCCGCTCCCTATGGAACTTTGGAGGCACAAAGTTGCTAGAGCGTTCACTAAACCAGGAACGTGCATGGCCACAAACGCACGGGCTAAGAAGAGAACACAACTCAATGAAAAGATCCGGTGTGCTACACTGTTTAAGATAGGGTTCAAGACTACGAGTCACCCTTATGAAATCGGAAGTGTAACCACTACGCTAAGGTTCAAATCTTCGCGATACCTTAGCTTATGCCCGATCTTATGGAACTGTTGATGCTCAGAGATAGTTTCAAAACTATTCAAGTGGGGGATTGTTGGAAATGCATATGAATAGCTTTGAAAGCTATAGAGTCTCAAGTGGAAAAACTACCACATTGGTAGTTTTACTTGGTGAAATGTGTATAAAGATAGGAGCCTCTCTCCTAAGGGCATGCCCCTTGGGGTGACCCACTTTTGTGGGAGAGGGAGGACCTAACGGACCACCACACACACGCGCGCGCGCGCCGTCTGTCCGACAGACCGGTCGGTTGGTTGGTTGAGACTATGTGTATATATATTTTTGGAGAAATTCCAAACGAAATTAATTATCTAATAATTAATTATTAATCGGTTATTCTGAGGAATATTCTAAGGATAATCGACTAAAAAGGAATATTCGAAGGATAATCCCGCAGGGTTTATCTTAACCGATGGTTTTAATTAAGGAAGTAATTAGTAATTATCTTCCTTAATTAATCCGACTTATTCCCCAAGCAAGAGGGTATATTCCTAGGGGTTCGGCTCCTATAAATAGCCGCCTCCCCAGCCCCTCTAAACACATCACAACGAGCATAAACACAATAGAGAGAGTGTTCAGAGAGCTCCGGTTTTCGCACAAAACCGCGAGTATTGAGAGGAGTTGTTTTATCCTGGAGACGACCGGTTGATAGTCTGCCGTGCGCATCGAAGGCAGTGCCGCGAACGTCTTAAAGAGAGCGACCTAGTCCGCGACTCAGCTCCAGATTCGCTAACCTCGTTCTTCTTGTTGTTCCGTTCCTAACAGATATTGTTGGATAATACAAAGTTGAGGTCTCGAGGAGTAACAAAGCAAATCGAAACTGAGTTTTATGTGATTTTTTATTGTTTAGAATGAATGAGACTATTTCACAGTAAATAATAATTATTCGACTTCCTTCAACAATGTCATGATACAATTAGATTTAGTGATATATAATTCGACACAGAACTTGTTTCATCCTAATTACCCTAGCCGAGATGGATTTTGAATCAAAAAGCATCCTAGACTCGACTCAAGGCCCTAATTAACATCTCCTAGGTATATATACACGGTCTAAACTCTGATTGCATGTAATTATTTAACTCAACATCATCCCCCAACTTGATGGGGATATCACATCATCAATTTGCCAGTAAGATGCGTAGATGAATAGGAAGAAGCTCTTCTTGGTGATAAGATCTACAAACTAATCATCCGGAGCAATGTATAAGATACAAATGGTGTCATGCATCTCGAATTAAGTCATGAATATAATGAACGTACACCTCAATGCAAATGAGGAACATGATTCGTAGCAATACGAGTGTCACTTGTATTACCAACGGAAAGCTCCACATGTACTCATAGTGCATTTTGGTGGAGAGAGGAAGAGTCATGGACCATTCAAAATAATAACAATAAATTTAAATACTTTGTTCAATTATTCACGTCATCGTTCGAGTAATTGTTGATAGCTAAATAACATTTAACTGTTCAGACCAATCTTATTCTAATGCAATAATGGTATATGGTGGAAAGTACTGGAAATCATAAGAAGTTCGACTACATCTATAAGCACTAATCCCTAATTTTAAGTAATTTTAAGTACATCTTAATTTTAAGCACTAATCCCAACACAGCAACAAACAAAACAGCGCCCGCAGATAAAAAATTCCAAACAAAGCACCTGAACAGGAAGACCAGAAGCCAAAACGGAAGTCATGGAATGAAGCTATTCATTCTCCACCACCTGTCTTGGGAAGCAGACCCCCTGAATGTCTCCTTGAAGAATTCTACTTAACTAAGTCGGAGGCTCTTCCAACTCATACGTACCGAAGGGATAGACGAGACTGTGCTTCGAGAGCCAGTCCGCGACTATATTCCCTTCCCTGTACGTATGAACTAGTTGAACCACCCAACTTTGAGCTATCAAACGACGAATAGATCCAAGTATCGTCGAATAAGGATGAACAGAATCCGTACGTTGCTTGATCAAGTCAAGAGCTAACTGAGAATCCGACTCCAGAATAAGGAATTGAGCTCCCTTTCGCCACGCCAAATTCAGTCCTTGCATGATTCCCCACAACTCAGCTAGCAGTGCCGAACCGGTTCCAAACTTGCTGCAAAAACCGCCTATCCAATCCCCATAACAATTGCGAATGACTCCCCCTGCAGTGGCCATACCAGGATTGCTTTGGGCACCACCATCCGTGTTCACTTTCCACCAGCCGGTAGTCGGCGCCGTCCAGCCTATCAGAGTTTCGACCTTTGTTGGCTTGGAGCAGAGTTCAAGGTTTGAGTTCGCTGATTCCCAGACTTTCACCCACTCGGTAGCCTTGGCAGTGATGTAGTTCTGACGTGTTGACATGGCAATGTGAACGCCGTTAAAGGCCTTGTCATTGCGAGTCTTCCAAACGTACCTCATCACCAAACAGAAGTAAGCCGCCCAGCTTCCTTTCCAATTACCGAGAGAGTCATCTGCAATATTAGCGGAAATCCAATCTTCAAAGCTATAATTGAAAAAGGCTGTATGGCAAGAACTGGGAACCACTTTGCTCCAAATCATCTTCACCCCTTGACAATCTCTCAGGCAGTGTAAGTGCGTCTAAGGAACCCCTTCGCAGTTCGGGCAAGAATCGTCCAGCGTGAGATGCCTAATTTTTCGGACAGTATTAGTTGTCACCTTCCTTTTAGCTATCATCCAAACAAACATTCGCACTCGCTCCGGCTCTTGCAGTTTCCATATTCTTTTCCAGAAGGACTGTTGCTCTGTATTTGTAGGGACTAGCGCCCTATACGCAGAGCTCGCAGTGAATTTTCCATTAGACGTCAAGCTCCAGATTGGCCGATCATCAACCGTAGCAAGAGGATCCACTATCACAGCCCGGATCCGATCAATGATAGTGGTGGGCAGCAAGGATTCAAATTCCTCCACTTTCCATCCGAGCTCCTCATCCCAATAGTCCACCACTCGACAGTTTCGCTTGTCTTCATCGATCTCTGCCGTAGCAAGTTCAGCGAGGGGAACCTACAAAACCCACGGGTCCATCCAAAACTTAGCGATCCGCCCATTCGATATATTGAAGGCATAACCTTTTTTAACTACATTTAAAACAGAGGCGAAACTTCGCCAAGCAAACGAACTTCTCTTTTTTTTTTTTGGCAAGAGACTCTAAGTCTTCCTTTGACCGGACATATTTGTTTTTCAGAACCTTAGTACATAGCGTGTGATCATTCGTTGCTAATCTCCAACTTCCTTTAGCTAGCATAGCCTGGTTAGATATTTGAGTCGGCCTGATCCCCACACCTCTCTCACTCTGAGGGAGAGTTAATTATTCCCAGGCTATGGGATGGAACTTAGTTTGCCCCTCCTCTTCTCCCCACACGAACTGACGGTTGATCTTGTCTAAAGAATTGCAAACAGAAGCCGGAAGTGATTCTGAAAACATCGGGTATACAGACATTGATGATGAAACTGATCTAACCAGAGTAATCCTGGCAGCCAGCGAAAGGTGGCGAGTTTTCCACATTGCCAGCTTTTTTTGGATCATTAGGCAAGTTTCTTTGTATCTGGCTTTCGTTACCCGCCCGTTAATGACATTAATTCCCAAATATTTTCCCAAGTCGTTGGTTAAAGGAATGTGTGCTCTGTTGCTGAGTTGTTGAGCTCTCTAGCGGCTTATGTTGGCCGAAACAATCATGGCCGACTTTGAAAGGTTCACTTTCTGGCCAGAACTTGTGCAAAAATCATCCAGGCATCTTCTAATGACCTCTATTTGATTGTGTTCTGCTTCTGCAAACAGTATGAGGTCATCTGCGGAAAAAAAATGAGATAGTTTAGGTCCATTAGGAGAAAGAGATAGGCTTCCATTGTTTTTCATCAACTGCTTGCTCGATTTGTTGAGCCAATCTTTCCATACACAAAACAAATAAGTTGGGAGAGAGGGGGTCTCCCTGTCAGACTCATCTAGTTGGAATGATGGGTTCAGAAAGTTGCCCGTTCCAGATAATCTTCATGTTGTTATGCTCAACACAATGCATGATCTTATTGATCCATGTGCTAGGCAGGCCCATTTCAGCTAAAGTGTCTTTGATAAACTCCCAGCGAAGTCTATCATACGCTTTTTCTAAGTCGACCTTGATTATGATGCCTCCCTTTTCCCCTTGTTTCTTGCGAAGAGAGTGAAGAACCTCTTGAAGGATGATAATATTATCATTCGTTTGCCGCCCTGGTATGAAGCCACTTTGGGTTGGCACAATGAGCTTCCTCATCACTGGATTTAGGCGATTGGTGATGGCCTTGGTAATCGCCTTTAAACCTACATTATTCATTCAGATAGGACGAAGTTGAGCAGGCGATTCCGGATGATCTGTCTTGGGGATGAGAACTAAAGATGATTCCAACAAGTCATGAGGAAGGACACCTGTGTCAAAAAAAATTTGAGACCATATTAGTAAGGTTCCTCCCTACTGTCCCCCAAAGTTTCTGAAAAAATAGCATAAAAGCCATCAGGGCCAGGGGCCGAGAAGGGTTTCATGCCAAAGACATCATTGTGAATATCAGGAATGCTAAAGGGGCGTAAGAGGGTAAGGATTTCATCCTAACACAGCCTTGGAAATTTGCCTTTGGGAATCAGATCCTGATACTGAGACTCATCCTGAGTATAGAGCCTGCGGAAGAAGCTCACTACCAGGTCCATAAGATCCTTCGGGTCATTGATCCAGTCTCCATTGTTGTCTCGAAGCGTTGAGATTTTATTTCTTCTTCTTCTTCTGGTAGCCTGCTGGTGGAAGTAAGAAGTGTTTTGTTCTCCGAGTTTCATCCATTTTTCTTTTGCCCGCTGATACCAAACAACTTCTTCTTGAGCAAGTAACGAGTCCAACTCGGCTTCTAATCTAGCTTGCAGCTTGACCAGCTCTCGATTGAAGTGAGTAGCAAGCCTGACTTGGACTTCGTTCAACTTCGCAAGTAATCTTTTCTTGCGACGATGGAGGATGCAAAAACCTGATTTGCTCCAGTGTTGCAGCTTTGGCACAATGTCTTGAAGGGCCTGCTGGAAGTCCAAATCTTCTCTCCAAGCACCTGCAAAAAAAAAATTCAAACTGATCGTGCAAAAGCCAGGCTGCTTCAAAGCGAAAAGGCTTGCTGCCACTATGAAGAGTAGAGGCGGCAATGTTGGAAGTGAGCACCGGGAGGTGATTCGAATGAAGCCTGGGCAAATGCCGAACTGAACTGTTAGGGAAGGTCTGATTCCAATTGGCGTTACACAAGGATCAGTCAATTCTACTGGCCTTGTGCGTTCTCTATGTATCACCCCGGAACCAAGTAAAACGAGGGTATGAAAACCCCAAGTCTAGGAGGTTGGCCGCATCCATCCAATTAGCAAACCGCTGGCAACGACGTAGAGCAGCAGAGGAGATCGAGCCCGTTTTTTCGGAGGGCAAGCGAGAAGCGTTGAAGTCCCCCGTGACCAGCCAGGGATGTCCAAGTTTTCACTGGTGGCACAAAGTTGCTCCCAAAGCATAGAGTGGTATTTGTAATTGGGGCTTCCATAGACTCCTGTAAGGATCCAGTCAGGGGCATCTTGACTCGACACTTTCACCATGATGTGTTGTTTACTGGCGTCAATGAGTTCGACTTGGAAGATGTCGGGCTTCCAAGCTAGCCAGATCCCTCCCTTGCGCCCCTCGGCGTCAACTCGCAACATCTCTGGGAAACCCAAGCGACTGAAGACTGTGGTAGATCTGTCTCCACTGATTTGGGGCTCCAAGAGAAGAAGGAAATGGGGGCTATAACTCTCCACGAGGAATTTGATCGAGCGTCTAAACTCTTTACTACCTGCACCGCACACATTCCAGGCAAGAGCTTTAAAATTTAGGTTAGTGGACAAAGACATAAAGACAAAGGAAGCAAAGGAAACGAGTGACACAAGAACACAATCAGGGAAGCAAAAAATCCAAGTTAGAGATTGGCGGCCGATCCGCTATCACACTCCCTGGTAACCGGCTGGGCAATGGTCGAGACATCCACCGGGTTTTCCGTCATCACAATATCACCCGATTTCCCTCCTTTTTCCTGCGAAAATTCGCTTTGCTTGTGCTAGGATTGGGTGATGAATTCCTCAATAGCATTGATCGTGACGGGAAAGGCTGCCTCCTTGATCTTATTCGCCAGCTCCCGCTTATTGATGGAAACCTGGATAGGCTTTTTAGTGGTTTTGAGACAGATCCCTCGGTTTCCCTCTTTCACCTGTGATTGATCATCTTGTTTCTTTCGGTAGTGTTGTTGAATTGATGAGGGAGGGTTAACATTGGGGTCTCTGTTTTCTTTTAGGTTGCTCGGCGGGGGGGGGGGGGGGGGGGGGGGGGGGAACTGAGATGATATGCATGGTCGTATTGTTGGCTCCCACAATCGTTTTGGTTTCCAACTCGGGCCTTCCTGAAGAGTTGATTTTGTTGACTACATTGGTCCGGTCCAAAGGAGTTGCTGTACTCTCTACCGGCTGGGCCTCCCTAATGGATATACCTCGTTGGCCCACAAGCCTCCACTCTTTAGTTGGTATGTCCGGGTTAGCCTTATTGCTCGCCGCTTGATCATCTACCGCTATAGCCTTTCCCTTTTGGGTCGTTGACGGACCCCTCTTTGCTCCCAGTTTCCCGTCCGTTTTTCCTTTAGGATCAGAAAGAGTCGTTGGCTTGAGATAACTTTCTCTTTCTGTGTTGATTTGGTTGAAAATTTCCCCGTATCCGCTGACCCCAACAAAGGAAGGTTTGCCCCTCTGCCTAAATTAGTGGATCCTGATTTGGAAGGTTTCCTGGACTTTCTCGTAACGTGCATCCATGGCCCAAAGCCGGCCGTAGGTTCTGCAGGAGAAGATTCCGATGAGATTTGCGTTGTATGACCCTTCAGACCATTGGTGATAGCTAGAGCTTGGCTACTCTTCAACGTCGGACAGTTATCTTCCAGATGGCCAATTCTACCACATTCAAAACAGATTTGAGGAATATTTTCATGTAGCACTTGTTGCCAAAATCCGTCTAACCTAACACGCGTGGGCAGAGGTTTCGTCATGTCGAGCTCGATTGCTAGCCTGGCAAACTTCCCTCGTTCCAGTTTTTCAGTGTGGTAGTCTAGCTTCACTGTTCTTCCGATCAAGTTTCCCAAGGCGAATAGGACTTCCCGATGATAGAAGTGAACCGGAAGCTCTGGCAATTGAACCCATGCAACGACTCTCCGGTGAGGTTTGTCTGATGTACGGAACGTCGCTGACCACTGATAAACCAGAAGGTAGTGATCTAATATCATCCAAGGACCACCATTTAGCGCCCGGAGATAATCTTGATCATTCCCAAAAGTAACCAAGAATGTCTCATTGTTTAAATCCATGATATCTAGCGAACCCATCGGTCGCCACTTCCATCGAAGTTGTGAGCACAAATATGCGTATGAGACAGATCTGCCTAAAAGGCGAACTACCTGGGTTTTCTTCCATGGGTCGCAGAGACGTTCTTTGAACTTTGCTGAAATTTTCAGCTCTGGCTCGCCGTTAAAGGACCCCTTTTCCAGATCATGTTCGCCCACAAAAGACCACTTGTTCAACTTCGAAGCCGGATTGTTAGATGTCCCCGCAAGAGCGTTCTTGTAAGATAGCAGCGAGTGGTGGCGTTGCCTGGGGTTGGGATTCCAAGCCCTGAACTTCTAAGTCTGGTGGCCGTCCCGCTTGAGGCAGGGCCGTCGCCGACGATGGATTCTCAGAGAACGGAGTCGAGAGCATTTTCAGAGAGCAAGGAGATGGGTTATTACTTTAATGTATTTGATTAATGAAGTTTCAAAAATGACAAACAACGTCCAACTACATTAACATACATACATATTTGCAAACAAAGTCATATCTATATAAAAATGTCTAAGAAGAACAATGATAAGAGTTGTTGTACATCATACATGCATAATCAATTTTCATTATACGATAAATTTTTTTGCCTTTTCCATTGGTTTTAGTGTATTCAATGATATAATGAAATAAAGTATATATTTAGAGTGTCCTTAAAAAGAAACTAACTAACTCACACAGTCATGGTTTCATTGACTTTAGTGTATTCAATGATATAATGAAACAAAGTATGCAGATCTCCAGGAAGAGATTTGTCATTATTTTTGTAACCAGCCTGGCTTTAGTGTGCGTTTTGTAGGTCGGGAGAACAATAGGGTAGCTCATTTGGTAGCTAGGAAAGCCCTCTCTTTGTATCCAACTATGAGTCGCTTCTTTGATTTCCGGACCTGGCTGGTTTCCAGGGTGTAACTATCTTTTCATTCAGTATATGATATCTTTTGACAAAAAAAGAAGAAGTTAGGAAGACTTTGATTTAATGGTAAGTAAACAATGATATGTAGTGCTTAAGAGGGAAGATGAGACCTTACATTGTTTATTAATATGCATCTTAGTTTCATAAATTCTACATTATTAAAAATTTATGTGTTGAATAGAAACACATCCAAGTTTGGAGCCAATGTAAAATGTAAGTTATGAGGCAAATGAGAAGTCTCAAGCATCCACATGCTTGAAAAAATAAATCTATATTATCAAACATAAAATCATATCTTGCATCAGAAAAAGAACAAAAAGTAGTAATTCGATAATCAATATAAGAATCAATATGAACACAATATCTAACCAAGAGAAGAGAAAGCGAAAACATAAATTATTGTGTATAGATTCTGCTCACGATATTCAAAGTGAAAAATATCATAAAAATTATTAACCAATAAAAGAGAACGGTAAAGGGGAAAATGCATCAATTTGAACCTAAAACGAGAGGAATTAATATTCTACATCATCATATATAATGATATATTATATCCTAGAACATCATAAAAAAAACTATCTAAACGAAAAAGTATACTAAATTGAATCCAATGTAAAAGTAACGATGAAGATAGATATTATATCCACCTAAGGGATAATAAAGTAAGCCATGTTTCTTAGGGACCTCTCTCGATAAACCACTCTATTATAAAACCCATTTCATCAGACAATTGTATCAACTTAAATTTGAAGTGCTTATAATTAGCTATTTCAGCTCATGAATGATTTAATTATATTATTTGGTAAAAGAAAATAATTTATAAACTTGAGAGTTATTTCGTTTGTTGTTAAATAATTTGAACTAAAGTATATGAAAGCGTTTCATAACTGTTATTTTATTCATTATTATTAAAAATTGCTATTTTTATGATAATGTGTAAGCATGTCTAAGCGAGCTAGGAGATAGAAAAATGGCCAATAATCGTCGTACGCCTAACGTTCTGTTGAACCTCAATAATTATAGAAAACTTTGAGAACATCTTATAAATTTGGTCACTTTTATTTTGGTATAATTGATTACATCATGAAAGCGATCATTCAAAGAGTCTTTCTTTACGATTATGATAAGATGTCCCCTACTGCACAATTAGTATGACTAAATTGTAATAAGATAATCATATATTGAATTTTGAATTGATAGCGCAAAAGATTGAACTAACTCAAGCAGAGTTTTAGCTACTCAGTACTTCATATTCGCATGTACATAGCTACTCCAAAGAGTTCGAATATTGATTGAGTTTGTTGCCTTTACCTAACGAAACTATGATAACAATCTCAAGATATGATGTCTTTTGGAGAAATTGGGAGAATATGTTGGTGACATCAAATCTAACATGGATACCGTTGAATTTAAGTGATAAGCAACATTTATGGTCAATAGATTATACATAAAAAATATATTGAGCATTTCCATAAGATGGTATGAAACACTGAATAATTAGAAATTGAAAGCTAGAAACAAAGTTGATTTAATAAATAACTGAAAATGATATTTTGAAAAAGAAAACAAATGCTTAGAGCATAGCTAGGGATGAGAGTGTTACATTAAACTCTCAAAGAGAAAGCAAGTAACCATTAATAGTTAGCTATGTATATTGAAATAGTTAACTATGATGAATACTATATACTGGTGATTAATACTTGGACCTTAGCTTGAACATTGCATCATTGCATAACACTTCAATTCAATGCGCAATATTCCAACCAATGATATTTGTGTTGAGATTTTAAGAATATCCTTCATTTATAAGTTAGAAAAAATTCTAAATTAATTATTAAAATATGAAAATAGAATTATCAAACACCGCAAAATACTTACAGTAGACTTAGCAGGCTAAATAACCGTGATAGAAAAGTACTATGTTTTTCATAATTTTAACTTCCTCGATGTTTTGTATTAATAAAGTATAAATAATGTGTCTAGTCTAATTGGTTATAATTCTTGTCTTTGATGGAGGAGACCATGGTTCAAACCCTAGCATTGATATATTTTTAGATGAAATAAAAAATTGATTGTGTAGACGAAAATACCCTTCCTAATTTTACTCTCGTTGCATGAAATTTGAAATTGAGCAAATCAAACTCTTTAAAATGTATTATAATTCATATAAAATTGATTGTGTAAACGAAAATACCCTTTTTACTTTTACTCTCGTTACAGGAAATTTGAACTGAAGCAAATCAATCTATTTAAAATGTATCATAAGTAGTGTATCTCAGCATGATTAAAATAAAGAAGTTGAAGGGGCAAATCTTGTCTAAAAATTGCCCACGTTCAATAAGTTATGGCATGTAGGGTTTGGTGCCCCATCTCTTCTTCCCACGTGATGCGGGTGCTTAATGATGGCATGTGATTACATTTTCCCGTGCAATTAAGTAATTAAAACCATAAAAGAAACACAGTATCTAATTAACGCATAAAGAATATAATATATAAGATTAAGAGATTGATCGGATCTATCAATGAAGTACACATTGACTAAAATCTAAGACTCGGAAAAAAAGAGAGAAAAAACGGTGTTAAATCTACTCCACAAAAACCCGACGAAGATCGAGTACTCCCCGACGATCCGCTCAATCACCCCGTTCCTCACCACCTGAGGGAAGAAAAGCCACAGCCCCGTCACCGCCACAAACCCCACAGTCAGCGGCCCCGACACAACCGGCGACAACCACAGCCACCCCCACCCTTTCTCCCTCTCCCTCACCCACTTCTTGACCGCCACCTCGGCGGCCACGCAAACCCCGTGAATCACGAAGAACCACGTCACCTCCCACGTCGGACGGGCCCTCGTCAGGTAGTAATAGATCACCTCGTGCATCAAACCGGAAACCACGAACGACGCGACGACAGCTGGCAGCGCGGCCCACCTCCTCCCGACCACACCCTCACCGACACGTCTAACGGGAAGGTAAACTGTCGGTCGCAGGATGCCGGTCACGATGAGGTTCCACCTCCTTCCCCAGAAATCCTGGAGGGAGGTGGAGAGGTAGGGCTCGTCGAACTGCGGTTCCAGCTCGAATCCTAATAAAGTTCGAGCTGGAACCGCGACGAGAGTCAAGAAAAACTCGAGCTCCAGGTAGAGGTGTAGGCAATGGAGGGCGTGGATCAGGAGAGGGTGAATGAAGGGGCGGTAGTCGTAGACGTTAAACAACGCGAGGAGCAGGATGAACTTGAGAGCGAACAAGATCGACGGTCTAGGCAAGAAGGTCGTCTGTTCTTTGGAAGATCTATCCCGTATCTGGTACTGTATGGTTTCAGTACTCTGCAAGAACTTCGAATCATTCTCTCGAGGTTTGAGTTTGACGGGGAGGGAGGCGAGGGAGGTGAAGTGGAGGAGGGAGGGCGGCGGCGGGGAGAGAGGGGGGAGGTCGAGGGAGAAGAGGAGGAGCTTGAAGGTGGCGAGCCAGGAGAGGAAGAAGGCGGTGGGTGCGCCGAGGTGGACGGAGTGGAGGGAGAGAGGGAAGGTGACGGTGAAGAGGTAGAGGACGGGGAGGAGAGAGATGAGGCGGAGGAGGCCTTTTGGGAGCTTTGAGGAGATGAAGTATGCGTAGGTTAGGCAGAGGAACGCCCATGTCCATACCTTGGTGAAGTTCTTGAGTTCGTCGTCCATGGTTGTGTCTTTTTTCTACGGTCGATCTGATCAGTTGAGGCTTTAATTTTCTGTGTGTTGTGTACAGTTTTGATCGATTGGGAAGGTGGGGAGATGGGAGATTTAGGTGTGGATGCGGATGCGGATGGTGATGCTCAGGAGGATAGATAATAATGATGAATATGGGCGGGGAATTGAATGAATCGATCCCCACCGGGTTGATGATCGATGGGGTCGATGATCTTTAATTGACTATTCGGAAAGCAATTTGCAGCTCGATATATGGATCTCTAATGTCACCTGCACTATTTTAATTGATAAAGCAATTAGTTTTTAATTAGAAAGAGAGGAACACAATTATTGAAAAAGGTACTGGCTGGCTGAGGGTCCACAAGATAACCATGGAGGATTAATTATGCTTATGCCGCTGTTTTATAACCCAATTCCCACCATCCATTCTGAAGGAAACATACCTTTGTATGTTTAACAATTAAAAAAATATTACTTTTTTGGCCTTCGCTCCGCCACGATAAGAAACTAATAATATAGTTTAAATTAAATAATTCAAAAAATTATTTAGATAATATATATACACATTAAATGATATATATGAGTTTCACGTAATGTTTTGATCATTACAAATAACATATGTAATCATTTTGTTTAATTCAACAGTTTCTACATAAGGTTTATGGAGTGTTTAATCATTATGGAAAACTAAATATTATGTTTTTAAAATTAATACACATTAAATGATTCTTTTTCCGTAAACTTTACATAGTGTATAAATCATTAAGGAAAATTCATGTAACGGTTATAGAAAGTTATTACATAAATATTTTATAATGTGTGGTCTAATAATAAAATTAAGTTATAGTAATTAACATTGATAAATTTTTAATTTATGTAATTGTTATAGAATTTTGTTACATAACTATTTCATAATGTGTGGTCTAATAATAAAATAAAATTTTAGAAAATAACATATGATTAAACTGTTATGTCAAAGTTAACTAATCAAGAGTTTATGGTAAAATTGGATGTAAGAGATTAAGAACTTTTATAGAACATGGTTACATAAATATTTTATAATCCGTGGTCTAATGATAAAAGCAAATTTTAGAAAGTAACGTATGATTAAACTTGTTATGTCAAAGTTAACTAATATTGCATAATGAGAATTGATTACATGTAAAATATTTTAGTTAAAAATAATAAAATTTGGGTTAATAGTAAAGGAATAATTAAATATTGTTCATATTATTTCCTAATAAACATAAAAAATAAATGAATTTTAGTTAATAATTATATATTTGATAACCAATCTATGAAATGTGTTATGTAGATCTTCATTAACCAATATACATGAAAATGAGTTTATGGGGTGAAATATTATGTAAAATATAATTGATCTTACAAAATCATGCAGTGCAATGACAGAGGCTGATGGTAAAATTAGGGCTAGCTAGGGGCAGAGGCCAGAGAGAGTGACTATCCATCATTATGAAAAACTTAGTGTTTAGTAATGTGTGGTCTAATAGTAAATCTAGTTATGGTAATGTTTGTAGCGATTGTAACTACGATAGAATAGTGTTACATAAATCTTCACTATTTTGTGGTATAATAATAAAATTTAGCTAGGGAAAGTGTTACGTAAATATTTAATAAATGGAATTGAGTACATGGGATAAAACATTAGGTAAAAATAATTGATCTTACAAAATTATTGTGTAGTGCAAATGACAAAGAGGCTTATAGTAAAATTGGATGTAGTCAGGTGCGGAGGGAGAGTGTTAGAGGATGGGTCACTCGTTTGGGAGGAAAATGGTTAAACTATACACAATAACCTATTGATACTGAAAATTAGGTAGTGACGTAGCGTACATTTGTAGTGGTTTTTTTCTAATGGAGAATAGTTGATCAAGAAATCTTGTGTTCAAATTTTGGCAGCGTCATTTGTTAAGCACATAGTAGTAAGGTTTGTGGAATCTTTAATTCCATAGAAATTGTCTTTCTTGTGATGGGGAGTGTTAATAAATTGTATAAGATATATTATTGAACGTATTCCAACAACTCGAGTTATTGATACTAAATTGTTCTTGACAAAGAACATCATTCGAAACTCAAAATCGCGCCTCTGCTCGTGCTCTCATTTCCATAAAAAAAAAAATGAACATCAGTAAAAATGAACGAATAACTAAATCATGAATAATTATTTGGGATAAGATTCAATATTAAAACTCTCTCAATAACTCGAATTATTGATACTTAACAGTTCTTGACAAAGAAGATCATTCGAAAGAGAGCGACTAACTAAATAATGAATAACCGTTTAGTACACATAGAGTGATAATCTTGATTCTTTCGACTACTAATGTATTTAATTTACCAAATATAAGATTATATTAAAATAATATTAAAATTTTTAACAAAATCTATTTATTTAGTGAATAGTACTCATTGGGAATTTCATTAGATGAAATTCTAGCTATGCCCCTGGATGTAGCGGATAGAAACTCTTGTGAACAGTACTCGTTGAGAATTTCTTTTATTCGGTGAGTCATATGCAATACTAACGTGTGGCTTAATAATAAATCTAGTTACAGTAATGTGTTTATTTTATATAACTGAAGAAAAATGGGTCGAGTTGACAATTGTATCGGATAAAACCGTATCAAAAGGATTGTTGGTTCGATCCTTAGTCCTAAAATGTCTTTCATTATTGGACAACGATTCTCTTGAATTTAGTCGATCCAGACTAGACCGACCATTGCAAAAAACTAATGCGAATGATCCAATTGAAAGGGCCGATGATGCCTTAAAAGAACTGTTGGGGGAATGAACATGGGCCAGCCCAAAAGGGAAAGCCCCAAAGAAGGTTGTTAATGGACCGGAGACGCGGGCCCAACCAGGAAGACTGAGAAAGCCCATGGGGGCAGGAATCTTGGGCTGAAGGGCGCATGGGCAAAGTCCTGGATGGCCAAGATGACGTGTGAGACAGGTGGGACCGGGCATCTAGTGAAGGGCGTATGAGACAAAAGCAGCCAACGGTCGAAAGTGTAAGAAAAGCTGATCGTGTGATGTCATGCGCCTCCAACCTCTGACCTAGGTGTCAGGTGGTCGAGGCGCATGTACGATGCATTTATGGCGGACCTGACACCGGGCGAGAGTGACGGATACCGGTCGATCTCGCCCCGGGTATAAATAGTGGAGTAGGTAAACATCATTTACTCAGTTTTGCTTCTCTTACTAGAACTGTTACAACTTCTCTCTCTAAAAAGAAGGGCTCTCACTTGGGCGTCGGAGTGCTAATGGATCAAGTCGGTCCGCTAGGCGCTTGTGTGGGTGCAGGAAAGCAGGCGGCGAAGGGCACGTCGGAGATCGGAGTGCGGAACGGAGAAGGAAGGCTTTCTGGCATAAACAATTGGCGCGCCAGGTAGGGGGATATAACCTGCAAGACGCGTGGAGGGTCCAGGAAAAGGAGAGAAAGATGGAGGCGCCGAGCGGCAAGAGCATGGGACGGAAGTGACGAAGGGGGCGGACGAGCACGACGAAAGGGGGAGTCCAAGGATCGAGGAGAGCGCACAAACGAAAGGCGCCCAGCTCACGAAGGAAGAGTTGCTCCAGATTATCGAGAGCCAAGACCACGCACTCGAGATCCTGAAGAAAGAGGTTAAAGCGCTCAAGAGGGGCGCAGGCGACCCACCCACACCTGGGTCGAAGAGAAGGGAGCGAGATGAGGAGGGTGAAGGGGCGTCTAGCCTCGCAAGGCGCACGGAGGAAATGGGGCACCTAACCCGACACTTGGAATCGGACTATGATGACAACAACGGTTGGGCGCATAGGCGTGCCGGGAGAGGCTGGGGCGTTCGGCAGCCTTTAGCCAGAAGCATTCTTACCGAGCAGCCGAGCTCAGTCATACCCGCCCTGCCGAGCTACGATGGAACGACGGACCCAGAAGACCACCTGAACAATTACTTCACAAAGATGCAGTTGTACAGCAGCACGGACGCCATGATATGCCGCGCATTCCCCTCCACGTTCACGAGAGTGGTGCTGGATTGGTACCATCAGCTAGAGGAAGGAAGGATCGACTGCTTCGAGCACTTCGCTTCCTTGTTCCTATCAAAGTTCGCAAGCCGGAAGCGCAGGACCCTAACGATAAGCGCCTTGTTCAAAGTCCGTCAGAGAGAGAACGAGCCGCTTCGGGAATTCTACGAACGATGGATGTCCGTAGCCATGGCGGTGAAGGATGTCAAGCCTCATGTCTTGGGGTGTTGCCTGGACGAATGTACGACGAGTGAAGAACTATGTCGGGCGCTTTGTAAGAGGGACGTCACGTCCACCGAAGACCTCGACAGAAGGGTGCAGAAGGTTATCATGCTGGAGGAAACACTTGCGGCCAGGCGGTTCGACATACGCAAGAGCAAAGCTAAGGTGGGGGAGGGCTATTGCGCGCCTGCGCCCTGAGTCCCTACCGCAACTCCAGGCGTGTTACCGGCGCGCAGAATGGAGAACCAGAGGCCAGTACCAAAGAGCGCGGGAAACTTCACGGAACTCAACGACACGCTGAAGAATGTACTACAACATGCAAAGGACAAGGGATATCACTTGAGGTGGCCAGGCCCCATGAGTGGGCGCCCGAACGAACAAAACCTTGACAAGTATTGTGAGTTCCACCGGGAGCGGGGACATCACACCGCAGACTGCTATCAGCTGAAATCATAAATTCAAGGGTTGGTGGATAGAGGAATGTTGAGCGAGTTTGTGAAGAAGGACGATAGGGCGCAACGGACTTTCATGGCGCATGAGGCGCAAGCAAAGGCGCCCGACGCAGAGCAAGAACGGGCGGAAGCCCGCCCCAAGGAGCAGGCTACCCCACCACCGCCCCTGTTTGATATAGAGCAGGAAGTCAACCCGAACCGCGTAAGGCTGACCATTGAAGCTATCACCGGCTCAGTAGATTTGAGGCAGAAGCTAGAAGAGGGGAGGCGACTGAAGTCAGCCACCGCAAGTGCGAGAGAGGCAATACAAATTCATTTCAACGATGTGCCCGAAGAGGCGTGCCGGACGCCCTCCACGGAGGCTCTGGAAATCCGGGGAGTCGTAGCCAGATGCGAGGTTAAAAGGATGCTGGTCGACACAGGAAGTTCGATGGACGTATTGTTTTTGTCCACGTTTGAAAAAATGCAGCTGGCGCCCAGCATGGTGAGGCCGGCGGACACTGTGCTAATAGGGTTCTCGGGGGCGCCGGCCCAGGTGCTTGGGCGCGTGCGCCTCCCGGTAACTTTGGGCGATGAGACGCACTGTGTTACGCATACTGTAGACTTTGGTATAGTCGACTGCCCTTCGCCGTATAATGCGATCCTAGGGCGCCCCCTGCTGGCTCTGTTCAACGGGGTGGCCTCATCTTGCCATCAGGTGCTGAAATTTGTTACATTGGAGGGCATTGGGATATCAAGGGGCGAGGCCTCCGCAGAAGCGCGGCTCGCCAAAAGGAGCCGAATGTACAATATCGACGTGCGCCCCGAGGACTTGCCTAGGACCGAGGCGGCAGATGAAGAAATCCATGTGCCACTGGATGATCTTCGCCCTGACCGATGCGTGCGAATTTCGACACATACAACGGGTGAGGAATTGGAGCCACTGATCGATCTGCTGAAGGAATTTGCAGACTTGTTCGCGTGGAGCGCGAAGGAGATGCCTGGGGTAAGGGACGAGGTTGCGGAACATCGCCTCGCCATAGCGAAGGGCGTGCGCCCCATCCAGCAGAAGAGGCGTCCCATCTCTCTTGAGAAAGAGGAAGCGTTGAAGAAGGAGGTAGGGAAGTTGCGAGAGGCGGGATTCGTTGAGGAGGCCAAGTACACAACTTGGCTGTCCAATGTCGTGTTAGTACCCAAGGCATCGGGGGACTGGAGGATGTGCGTAGATTACACAAGCCTAAACAGAGTCTGCCCCTCGGACGCCTACCCCATGCAAAGGATCGACCAGTTGGTGGACGCGACTGCGTACCATGAGGCGCTCAGTTTCTTGGATATGTTTTCGGGTTACCACCAGATACCCATGTGTGAGGAAGATAGGGACAAGACGGCATTCATGACTCCATTCGGGAACTACCACTACAAAGTGATGTCATTTGGGCTAAAGAATGCAGGGGCCACGTACCAACGCATGGTGAACAAGGTTTTCCAACATCAGATTGGGCGAAACGTGGAGGCGTACGTGGACGACCTTGTGGTCAAAAGCAAGCAGAGGGGAGATCGTCTGGCAGACTTGCGTGAGACATTCCAAGCGTTTCATGCCCATGACCTGCGCCTGAACCCCCTGATATCTGTTTTCGGTGCGGAGGCTGGGAAATTCTTGAGGTTCATGATCACCAGGCGTGGCATCGAAGCTAACCCTAAGCAAGTGGAGGCAATCAGGCGCCTCCAGCCTCCACGCACACCCAATGAAGTGCAAAGTTTGAACGGACGATTGGCCGCCCTAGGGCGCTTCATACCCCGCTCAGCGGATAAGGGCGCGCCCTTCTTCCGGGTGATAAAGAAGGCCGCTCGGTTCAAATGGACAGAGGAATGCGACGCAGCGTTCGAGCAGTTAAAGACCCTACTAACAGCACCCACCGTAATGACAACATCGAGGCGTGGGGAGACGCTATACTTATACATCGCGGTTTCAAGGACGGCAGTGAGCGCGGTGCTTGTCTCCAAAGAAGAAGAGGGGAGAGAAGAAAGGCCGGTATACTATGTGAGCAAGGTGATGGCGGGAGCTGAGACTCGCTATGAGCCCATTGAGAAGGCGGGGCTAGCAGTCATTACGGCGGTAGAAAAGCTACGTCCCTATTTCCAGGCCCATCCGGTGTCGGTCCTCACAAACCTTCCGCTAAGGAACACGTTGGGATCCATGGATGTGGCAGGGTGCATGGTTAAGTGGGCGGTGTAGTTGAGCGAGTATAACATAAGCTATGCGCCTCGCCTTGCGATAAAGGCGCAAGTGTTGGCAGAGTTTGTGGCTGAGGGAGTGGTGAGCGAAGGAGAAGGTGCATAAGAGGTCTGGCAAGTCTATGTGGACGGCGCGGCGAGTAAAACGGGCGCCGAAGCAGGGGTGGTAGAAGTGAGTCCTTTGGGGGAAACGCATGAGTTAGCCCTTCGATTTTCAACATTAAAAACCAACAACGCTGCGGAGTACGAGGCAGTGATCGCGGGGCTTCACACGGCTCGGGAGCTCGGTGCTCAAAAAATCCAACTCCGATCGGATTCCGCGTTGGTGGTGAATCAGCTGAACGGAGTGTACGAAATTAAGGAGGAGGCCCTAAGCACCTATGCCACTATGATAAAAGCAAAAGGCGCATGGTTTAAGGAAGTCGAATTCATACACGTCCCCAGGGAGGAAAACGCTCATGCGGACGCCCTCTCCAAGCTAGCCACCTCAACCGACTTCGATGAGGATAGACAAGTCATTGTCACCAAGGAACATTCTGTGCGCGAGTCAGTCATAGGAGCAATTACTGAAGAGACAGAGGGCGAAGACAGCTGGATGGCCCCAATCAGAGCATACTTGGTTCAAGGGGTTCTCCCGGAAAACGACAGGGAGGCGTGGCAGGTGAGGCGTAAGGCTGCGCGTTGCACGTTGATCAACGGCCAGATGTACAAGCGATCGCATTCGAGCGTCTACCTAAGGTGCTTCACAAGGGCAGAAGGGAAGCAGACAATCGAGAAAGTCCATCAAGGGGCATGCGGCATGCATGCGGGGGCGCGCAACTTGGAGAAGATACTATTGAGACAGGTGTATTACTGGCCGACCATCCGCGCGGATGCGACGAAGCACGTCGCCACCTGCCACCAGTGTCAGATACATGCCAACGACATTCACGTTTCTGCTGCGCCTATGCGGGGAAACGTGGGCGCATGGCCGTTCTCGCAGTGGGGTATGGACTTGCTGGGACCATTCCCCAAGGCGCCCGGGCAAATGAAATACCTGATAGTGGCGGTGGACTATTTCTCTAAGTGGATTGAGGCTGAGCCCCTAGCATCCATCACGCAGGCACAGGTGCGCCGGTTCACAAACAGAAATATCTTCACTCGGTTTGGGCTGCCGGAAGCTATAGTGACGGATCATGGAAAGCAGTTTGATTGCAAGCAATTCGTGGACTTCTGTGACGAGAAAGAAGTTATATTGCGCTTCTCGTCAGTGGCGTATCCCCAGGTGAATGGACAAGCGGAGGCCGCAAACAAGAGCATACTGCATGGCCTACACACGAGGCTTCTGGAAGCGAAAGGCAGGTGGGTCGAAGAGCTCCCAAGCGTGCTATGGGCGCATCGGACGTCATACAAAGTGGCAACAGGGGAATCTCCGTTTGCACTCACATAAGGAAGTGAGGCGGTCATCCCGGTGGAGCTGCGCCTCCCCACCTTTCGGCTGGCAAACTACGAGGCGCAAGCCAGCGAGGAAGAGAGCATGCATGACCTGGACATGCTTGAGGAGAGGCGCGATGTCGCGGCCATCCGCTTGGAAGCTATGAAGCAGCAAGTCGCTAGATATTACAACCGGAAGATGTGCCCCCACCAGATCAGGTGTGGGAGCCTGGTGTTGAGAAGGGACTTCAGTCCTGGTTCAGCCGCTCCACCTCGGCCTAGGACTTCTTCACCTCACGCTTGTAATGCGCCCGAGACTTCTTGGTCTTCTTGTTCGCCTCTTCCAAATCATCGACATTCTGGCGAAGCACGCTCTTCTCCTCCAGTAAAGCGTCGTGCTCCCGTATGAGTGCGGCGCCCCTCTCCCGGAGCTCCTTGGTCACCTTCTCCCACTCGGCCCTATCTGCCTCGGCCTGCGCCTTGATCTCCCTCTCCAACTCGGCTCGAGCCTTGAGGCGCTCGGCCGCCAGCTTCACCTCCAAGTCAGATTTGGCAGCATCCAAGTCTGCCCGCAGGCGCTCAGCAGAGATGGCGGCGTCCGTGCCCTCTCACGCAATCGAGGCGATTTCACGCGTGGTAGCCTCGGAGAGGAGCATCATTTGAGGCGCATAAACACAAAACACGAAACTATTAGTACCGAGTAATCAATTGATAAAGGGTGCGAAGGAAAGTAATATGCGCCTCATTACCTGGACGCTCATGTTCGTCAACTTCAGCCAGGGCTTATCGGAGATCAGCCACTCCGGATGCTCCACCACGTCGTAGTGCGCCCTTGCCATTTGCACAGACGCCGGGATTTCTTTGGCTGCCCGGACGGGGACGTCCACCGGCACCTTGACGAGAGGGCGCCTGGGTTGGAAGTATGGAGGAATCACTTGACCAGTGTGCTCCCCAATCGTGGGCTCCACAAAGCTGGGAGGCAGAACGGACTCGCGCGCAGTGGCGGACTTGGTTTTCTTCCCCGGACCACGCAAGGCGCCGCCAGCTCTTTTGCGAGATGCGGCGGAGGAAGGAGACGGAGGAGTGCTCACCCCGCCAGTTTCCCGGGGCGTGGAGTGGGAGGACGGAGTCAAAACGGAAGAGGTGCGGCGCTCTGAGGCTGGTGAGTCACGGCGGCCGCTTCACCTTCTGGGGCGGCCTGTTTAGGGGAGGCGTTGCGCCCCGTCAAAGAGACACTTACGACCGCGGCCCTTCTCACCCTTACCCTTGTGGGCTGCACTCTGGTTGGACGAGGCGCTTGGTTGGTCGGAGCGGCCTGGCCGACGTTCACGTTGCAGAGAAGGTCGAGCTTCGACCTTATCAGGTTGGTCACCGAGGTGAAGTCGTTCCCTGCACCATGCAACGAAACGAAAGTGCGTTAGAGCAATAAATCACAACATTAGTAAAAGCGCACGGGCAATGAAAAGGCGCATAGCTAGTACCATCGCCGTAGAAATCGGCGAGAACACGAGCATACTCGTCCCCTGCCTCGAGGTCGATAGACATTATCCAAAAATAGGTTTAGATAAAAAATAGACATTATCCAAAAATAAATATTAGGTACCAAATTATAAAATATAAAACTATAGATGCTAAACTATAATTTGTCAACAATTCATGAATCTCATCAAATTTGGATTAATGAATTCAATTAATCTACACAATAAATAAAAGCCAAATGAGAAAACTTGAAGCCCCATTTCAAATTTCCTGCATCCAGAGTGAAAGTAGGAAGGACATTTTGGTCTTCACAATTAATTTTTTTATTCATTAAAAACACACTTACTAGGATTCGAACCATGACCACTTTAAAGAAAAGCAAAGATCATAACCAATCACACTAAGTACATTTGTTGTATTTTTTTAAATTAAAAACGTATAATCGCAGAGATGAAAAAACCTTTCCCCCATTTCAAATTCCTTGCTCTATGAGCGTTTGTAGGAAATGTAGAATAGGGAGTGTCAATTCTTTCTTTTTCCTCTGTGGAACGGGCCAACTTACCGTACACATGCAGATTTAAACGGGTCCTGGAGTGTCAATTTTTTTCTTTAAGTACTTTTATTTCTCCGTGGTGGTAAAATATATATGAAAAGAAAAAAACAATAGTCTTTTTTGCTAAAAAGAAAAAAAAATTTAACAATAAACTAATGCATGAATTCTAATGGCTAACCGCTAATCATAAAATAAAGGGTTAATACCCTAATTTGGCACGAAGTTTAGCGCGAGTGACAGTTCTGGCCCCATTTTTTAAATAAGACATTTACAGCCTACTTTTGAAATTATTCGACAGATTTGGCCCAAAACTTGTGTTGACCGTTAATATTAACGGTCAAACACTTATTCCGTTAGTAATTCAGAAAAAAACTGCTGATGTGGTTATACATGTGCCACATCATCAAATAAGACATTTTTTATTTTGTAATTTAATTAAAATAAGACTAACAAATTAAAGAAATAAAAAAGATTTAAGGATGGATTTATCGCAGCTCCATTTCCTCCATGTTTTAGCCTAAATCCACGCATCACCAATCTCCATTCTTCACCTCCATTCCAATCCCTCCGCTACCAGCAACCGGTGGCCAAAATGTGCACCGCCCAGAACAAGATTGGAGCTCCTTTTGCTTTTACCCTTCGCTGTATGAGATCTGTTGGGTTAAACTTTTTTTGCAGGATCCAGATCTGGTGGTGACACACGATTCCCCGGACGAGCTTTCTTCTCGAGATTCCCTCTCTTCAACGAATCGACGTGGTCTCCGAACAAGTTCGTGACAGCGATTGCATCTGATCCGCCATGGCCAGTACTGATTCTCTCTGTTTGCTTCGCCGGTGGACAGGAAGAAGGGTGGTTCAGAGTCTCTCCGTTCTTAGTCTAACCGGTGGATTAGAGCCCCGATTCTGCAATGGCGGCGGCGGATGCTTCGGACTTTGGAGTCTCTTCGTTTCCGAAGATGGGGTGGTTCAGCCTCTGATTGCTTACGACACAGTAGAGGAAGAAGGGGATGAACCAGTGGGAAGGAGGCGGCGGGATGAAGAAATGAGGGTCGGAGGATTGGGGTTTGGGGATTTTGGGATTTTTTATTATTAATTTAATTACAAAATTAAAAAATATTACTGTTTAATGACGTGGCAAGCCACATCAACCATTTTTTTTGCTGAATCACTAACGGAATAAGTGTTTGACCGTTAATATTAACGGTCAACACAAGTTTCAGGCCAAATCTGTCCAATAATTTCAAAAGTAGGCCGTAAATGTCTTATTTAAAAAATGGGGCCAGAACTGTCACTCACGCTAAGTTTCGGGCCAAATTAGGGTATTAACCCTAAAATAAAAGAGTTGAATGGACCTGACCTACACGGGATTTGCCCATCAAGTAAAACAAATGAACATCATGGGTTTGCCATTCTAAAACAAACTATTTTCTCTAGCATACTATATATTATGCTATTAGTTTATATCTTAGTGGCTAAAATATAATGTATTTTAAAGTTATTCAATGGTGCAACCTCGACCAACCCAATTAGTCCAATTTTTATAATTTCAAATATATATTATGTAATTATTTGATATCATAATGATTAAATTATAATGTATATTATAGAGAATCGTTTGGTATTTGTTAGTAAAAAAACTAAACAGAAAGATCTATTTGGTTATTTTTAACATTATAACGATCCTAAACATTTTCAGTTTCCTTTCGAAATTCTATAGTTTTATTCCCGAATCAGTGATGTGCAAATGGCGAGCTCCAGTCATCTCTTTTCTTTCATTATTTTTTATTTTCAAATAGAAAGTTTAAAAGTAAAGAAGAATTAGAGTTTGGCATGGGTCGGTCAAACATGCTGAATTTCAAGTTTTGACCCGTTTTGATCAAGTCTAATTCATAATCACATGGTTCCCTGATACCCAATAAAAATCTCAATCCAAACCAGTTTGGCAGGTGAGTCCGTGTTTACCACCATTTTCTAGGGATACAAGAACGGTGGTTCGTATCCCAAATCGTGTTGTTCATTCTTGATTTCTTTAGATTTTATCATGGCTTAGCAAAAAACCAGAAAGCACAATGATGAGAAGATGAAACTTTTATAAAGCAAATTAATTGGCCAACAGGCCGAGTAAAAGCTAGCAACGATTGTGAGATGCTCATTTCCGGAAAACCGGTGGGATAGGCGATTTTTTATTCGATTTTCTGGAATTCGGTTTCTATAAAACTTACTTCACCTCATCATATTACCAGAAACAATATTGTTTCACAAGGTAACAGATACTTGATTTTGGTTCATAAGACTGATTTTTGATTCGTTGCATCATTCATGTCTCTTTTCTACTAAAATTCACTATTTTTATCATGTGTTTCCCAATAAAAACTATACAACAATAAGCTATACACCCCATTACATTATCAAATTCCATACCTCACCTTCTTCCGGCCAAATGGCCGGGACCACGCTAGTTATACCTTTAAATAGATGAACTGAATTGGATTACAAATTACCACTCATAATGCAAAACTAGCAATGCCAACATGAACTGGTTTGACAAGTGATAACCTTGTTACAAATTCCAAATAAGAAATCTGTGGGCTGGTGTGTTTGTAAATTCTGTTGAAAACATTTTTTTAAGCTATTGATTCATTTTAGAAAACAATATTATTCTGGGTAAATTGCAAGCTTGGTCACTAAGATTACTAAAAATGTTTATGTTTAGTTATTGAAAATATTTAATTCCATTTATGGTCACTAGATTTAGTCAAATATGTCATATTTGGTCACTCTCCGTCCAATTCCGTTAATTTTGTCTGATGTGACAGTCAACTTTTATAGTTGACCGTTAAATATATGATGTGGCAATTAAAAATTAAAATAAAAAATAAAAAATTTGCACTTCATTATTTCCGTTAAAAAAATTATTATTCGTTCTAATTCTCCCCGCCTCACGAACTAAGCTCATCCCTCGTTCTAAGACCCGAGATTTCTAGCCCTCACAAGTCACAAAACTCAAATAGTGGCCGCGGCGAAGGGGAAGGATGGCGAGCAGATGGAGGGTTGGTTGCGCCGGAGTAGCGGTAGATGGAGGGTCGATTTCTGGAACCTCAATAAGCCGATCTTATAAGAAACAACGATGCCGAAACCTTATCAGTCGCCGCCGCGATTTTCCCAGAAGAGGCCTCCCCCATGGATTTCCAATCGAGAAGGCTTCCGTTGGCATCAACGATTTGAGCGTCCACTGACAACCCTAACTTCGTACCCACTGCCGCGGAAGTGACCGCCGACGGCCACCGTGGGGCATACTCTGGCGAGAAAGCCGTGAACTTTACTCTTTTCCCAAATTGCATAGTAGAGTTCACCTAGAATAGCACCAGAGTGAACCCAGGCCGACGTCGCCTCGATATCAACCTCGATCTAAAGCGGATTGGACATGTCAAGAAGGAAGATCGGAGAATCCGAGACGTAGGAAAGTCCCTAGATAACATGGCCGCCACTGCGGATTCTCAGTCGGTAACCGATCCTTCTTGTGCATAAAACGGTGTACTGGACGTTGGGGATACTTGTAGGCGGGACGATAATTAGAGGTTTGAGGGGGGACATTGAAGCCGAGATTCCACTAAACCAGAATCCATCTCGCCTTGCGGGTGTCACCACTGCTCCGGCGGCCGGCGCAACCAACTCTCCATCTCCCGCTGCTCGCCATTCCTTCCCCTCCGTCGCGGCGCAGGATTTGGGATTTGTGAATTGTGAGGGCTAGAAATCTCAGGTCTGACTAAGAATGAGGGGTGTGGTTAGTTCGTGAGGGGTTGGGAAATTAAAATGAATACATTTTATTGTTAATGGTATTGATTAGGTGGAAATTCTAATTCTAATTATTTTTATTTTTTTAATTGACACGTCATACATTTAACGGTCAACTATAAGAGTTGACTGTCACATCACACAAAGTTAACGGATTTGGATGGAGAGTGACCAAATTCGAACTGTTTTACTAAATCTAGTGACTACGAATGAAATTAAATATTTTCAGTGACTAAATATGAACGTTTTTAGTAATTTCAGTGACCAATCTTGTAATTTACCCATATTATTCTTGTCAAAAGTTGGGAAAGAAGAAAACCAGTCGTTCTCCTCCCAGTTCCCTCCCTGTAGAGGCGCAAATGGTCTCCGCAATCGCACAAAAAGTCGAGACCTTGACCTTCTAGACTGATAATGACTTTTACCAACCAGACCTTTCATTCATTCAATTAGTCAAATTACCATTGTTATCATTTACAAATCTTCTCATCCCTTTTTCCAAAACCAAACCCCTGTAACTCGAAACCAACCAGAGAAGAAGAAGAGGAATGGAATCAGCGAAATCCGCCAGTCTGGGCAGCTCTATGCTCGTGCCTTCCGTCCAGGAGTTGATCAAGACCGAAATCGGCGCCGTCCCGCCCAGATACTTGCGCCCTGATCAAGACCAGCCCATCGTTTCCAACGCCGATGTTCCGATTGTTGATTTGGGTAAGCTGGTTGATGAAGCCACCATGGATTCCGAGCTCGCCATCCTCCACTCCGCCTGTAAAGATTGGGGCTTTTTCCAGGTTCGACCAACCCTTTTACTCCTTCACGCTTCCGTCGATCAAATTTTTTTCTGAGAATTTGCTTCTGATCATGGATGGAAAAGTGGGACTGGGTCTGTTTCTTTCCTTCAATTTCTGGAACTCGAACTGGGTATTGCAGAATTTGGTTAATTCCCTTCACTTCTGCTCTTGTCAGCAAAGAATGATGATAAAAATCTCGACCTAGAAAGTTCTTTATTTTGTTGGTATCACTGATAAAGCACCACAGGTGAAAGTAGAGAAGGGTTATACAATCAAAACCCATCATACCAAATCAGTCAATTTGCCCAAATGTAAAAGAGAAAGAAAATCCCTTATGATGAAATTTGATATTTGTATTGTGCAGCTGGTAAACCATGGAGTAAGCTCTACTGTGTTGGAGAACATGAAGACACAAGTTCAAGAATTCTTCAACCTCCCCATGGAAGAAAAGCAAAAATTCTGGCAATCCCCAGGAGAAGTGGAAGGTTTCGGACAGTCATTTGTTGTCTCCGAGGAGCAGAAGCTCGATTGGGCCGACCTCTTCTTCCTCGTCACTCAGCCTCCACAACTCAGGAAGCCTCATTTGCTCCCGAAGCTCCCCCTTCCGTTCAGGTCTCATACATCATTATCCGCTCCATTGGATTGGGGGTTGAATTTCTCACATGTTTGTGTCTGATTTGTTGGGCCTCTTTCCACAGGGACACGTTGGAGAGCTACTCCCTCGAGGTAAAGAACCTGGCAGGCAAAGTACTGGACCAAATGGCAAAAGCCCTGCAGATGAAACCAGAGGAAATGAAGGACATTTTCTCAGGGAACATTAGGCAGACAATGAGGATGAACTACTACCCTCCGTGCCCCCAGCCCGACAAGGTCATCGGCCTGACACCCCACTCCGACGGCACTGGCCTCACCATCCTCTTACAAGTGAATGAAGTTGAAGGCTTGCAGATCAAGAAAGACGGGAACTGGGTACCGGTCAAGGTCCTTCCCAATGCGTTCGTGGTCAATGTCGGTGACATCGTTGAGATCATAACCAATGGGGTGTACCGAAGCATCGAGCATCGGGCAACGGTGAACTCGGAGAAGGAGAGGCTGTCGATTGCTAGCTTCCATTCTCCTAGGTTTGATGGGGAGATTTACCCTGCACCGAGCTTGGTGTCTGGAAAGACGCCGGCCTTGTTCAGGAATGTGAGCGTTAAGGAGTTCTTTAAGGGGCTCTTCTCTCGTGAACTTCAGGGGAAGTGTTACCTCGATACCTTGAAAATCTAATGAGGATTGGAAAAGGCCCTACGAGAGCATCCTTTTGGCTGGTTTGCTTTCTGCTTGTTCATGCTCGAGTAACAGATAGTATTTCGGATTTGGATGTATAGTATTGGGGTAAAATGCAAGAATGCCATTGAACTTTTCGTTTTAGTAATACTACGTGGCGATGCCGCGCCTTGTTGTGGGCGGAGATGAACTATGGGCATGTATTGTGTAGCCCGTTTTGTTAGTATTATTAGCCTAAAATCAAATTTTTGTTAGCAATTTTGTTAGTAAATTGACTGAGAAGAGATATATAGCGGTCAACTTCCAATTAAATTTTTGTTAGAAAATTTTGGCTAGTATATGATATTTACCTAAACCCAAGTAGACCTATTGATCATGTGTAGAGTATGAGTGACATAGATATGGGGTTGGAAGTTGGTAGATGGGTTTGGATAGGATATGGATATTTATTCCATAATCTAAATATGTATGAGTTGGCTATGGATACCCATCTATTCGAGGGTGTTTTAATTACACGTAAAAAAATTAGACCTATTTGTAGAAATTCAAAAGTTTAGGTACCAAAATGTAATAGACAAAAAATTTAGGTGCTCAATTTTGGGTTTGGGATTATCACCCCAAAACATTTAATGTATAATTGTTGAAAATTCTAGTCCCGGTGAAAAAGAAAAACTTTAGAGAGAAGCAAAAGGAATACAAATTGGAACTCGCTTAAAATTTCATGCCTTCAAATCCCATAGTGGAAAATGACAAATTTCTAATAAGTAATAACCATATATATTTATTTTTACTTGGACTCGACATTGAGATGAAAAAAAGTTAGTGGTTCATGGTTCAATTATTAGTTCCCTAGACTGTTGGTGAGTCGTGTATGGACCCGTTAATGCATACTTGTGATTGGAATACATAAAAATAGTATCATAATTAGGGTTAAACGAAGAAGGCAAAGAAAGAAATAAAGAAAGGGTTATGGAAGGAGAGTGAAAAAATGAAACGAAGAGGAAGTAGATGATGGAAAGGTTTTGTCCGATTCTTTTAGTTGGCCGTCAATACAACATTCAACTCTTTTCACCGTAGCAATTTATTGGCACTTGCTTACGTAGATGTCGCATATTTTGTTACAAGTAGTTAGTAGAAGTTTGTTTAGTACCCTGTAAATGGACTAAATGAGATACCAAAACATATTTGTTCAATGATTTTACAATAAAATTAAATTTGGGGTATCAAAATGTAAAATCTACATTATAGTGACTAAGTTGTGATTTAATTGAATTTGGGGTAGTTAGTAGAAGTCTGTTAAGTACCACCTAAATGTACTAAATGAGATACCGAAACATAATTATTCAATAATTTTACCTTAAAATTAAATTTGGGTATCAAAATGTAAAATGTACCTTATAATAACTAAGTTGTGATTTAATTAATTTTGAGTATCAAAATGTAAATTTTTTAGCAACAGTAACCAAACTTTTGCTTTATATATATTAACATCACTTTACTAGTTTTTTGGTTGCAAATATCAGTTAAGTTGTCGTTTTGTTTCTCCATCTAGCTTTCTATCCAATCAACGACAGGATAAAAAGAATATTATATAACGTGCCAGTTGCCACATAGGCATTCCGACTAGGCTGATTTATGCTGAGCCATCAAAACAAACAAGATAACCCATGGCCATCCAATAGAATAGAATAAGGGCTAATTATAATACTCTATTTTGACCCGAAGTTCAACGTCGAAGACAATTTTGACATGAAATTTCGAATAATACAGTTATGATCAACTTTAAAAAATGAATAGATTTTACCCGTATTTTGAATTGACCGCCAACTATTTTTTTTCGGGTAAATTGTAAGGTTGGTCACTGGAAGTGCTAAAATATTCAGGTTTGGTCACTAAAAGAATTTTATTCCATTCGTGGTCACTGAAAGTAGTTAACGTTTCACGATTGGTCACTCTCCGTTAGTTTCGACTAACACCGTTAGTGGTTTGATGACGTGGTAAGTAAAAATATTGATTCATCCAATTTTGACATGCCACATCTTAAAGCCGGAGGCTAGCCACCGCTAGACCTGGCAATCGGATCGGGTAGGGTAATTTCGGGTTGAGAACATCGGTTACGGATTGGGTCATGTTTGGTTGGCTTATTTCGGGTCAAATATTGACCCAACCCATTCGGTTTCGGGTAAGGTTACAGGTCATTTCGGGTTATGATCGTTCTCAGGAACAATATCAAACATGCTTCATATTTTCTTAAAGAACACAATTTTCACATATGCATGACAATAGTTTACCTAACACATGTCAATTAACATATTCTCAAATCCTCTCACGCTAATGAAATGAAATGAAATATAAATTGCGCAAATCGTTAAAAAACAATCACAACAGTATTACTACTATAAGAAACACATAATATTTGATTATCCTTAAACTCCAAACATGTCATTCAAACCCCAAAAAATCACGGGTTATCGGGTTCGGGTCATTCGGATTTTGGGTTACAAAAATTCCTAGTTTTTGGGCTGTTTCGGGTCGGGTCAACGGGTCGGGTTGTAATTTGTCAGGTCTAGCCACCACCCTTGGATTCGGGCCCCGACTGTCCTTGGAGTTAGTTTCGCTCGCCGAGTCTGAAATCGACGGGGCAAAGAGGCGATTCTGCCAGATCCAGCTTGACTAGAGAAGGCTGCGAGATATTCTTGAAGGTCCAATTGACGTCGGCGTGGTGCAGGACTGGAGTGCGGAGATGAAGTTGTCGATGGTTGGGGAGACGAAGACGATAGCAACAGCACTTCTGGGAGAGACGGGTTACAATTTCCCCTGCCCCTGGGAATCCCATCTTGAGAAGATGATGAGCAGCGCCGGAGGGAGGTCGCGCGACAACGAGGAAGAGTTGCAGAGAAGGATGCTTAGGTGACGGAGGGTAGCATACGAAGGCTAGGAGGAGGCGCGTCACAAACAGAGAAAGAAGAAGAGGAGAAAGGCTGAGAAGAGATGGGGGAGATCGAGGGATGTGTAGAGGAATTAAAGAATTGGGTTCCTTCAATTTTGTTTGGTCGGGTCACAAGTTGAATTGGGTTGGGTCATGATATGGCAGATAAAGTCTTATGACATGGCAGGTCAAAATTGGATTAATCGGCATTTTTTGTTGCCACGTAAGCAAACAACTAACTATGTTAATGAAAACTAACGGAGAGTGACCAATCGTGAAACGTAACTAATTTTCAGTGACCATATATGGAATAAAATTCTTTTAGTGACCAAACTTGATTATTTTAGCACTTCCAGTGACCAACCTTGCAGTTTACCCATTTTTTTCGGGGATTGCTTTTCGTCGCCCTAAAAATCCTTATTCGTCGCCCTAATTATCTAAAATTTACTCTAATGCTCTTAACATTTTTTTGTCTTTCGAACATTTAAACGCTAATTTTACTTTTGTCGTCCTAACTTTAAATATAGAATTACTTAATAACCAAATCAAAATTAAAAAAAAATCGGAAATCCCTAATCTTCATCATCTCAACGAGAGCAACATCGCTCTTCAAAGCACCTCCGCCGTCGGGAACTAGCTTGCACTCTAAACCCAATCCGCTTGATTGTGATCATGATCAAGTTGCAACTACCGTGACATCCAGAGCAATGAGCCCCAGAAATCACAGCCACAACCTTCCTAATCTTCTCCATGGCTGCAAATACACTCCTTCAGTGAGCATTTTTTGATTCTCTAATGGAAAATTTAAAAGCTTTTCAAGACCCAATTCTGGGGACAATATAAAGAGAAAAACAACAAAAAGGCCTTTCATTTATGTGCGATGTGGCGGAAGAATGGGTTGGGATTAGATAGATGGAAGGCCAAGGAAGAAGCTATGTTTCTCTGGCGGAATGGGAGATGCGGCAAGTTGCGTGAACAATGGCGGCGACTGGAATTTGGCTGGTTGGGGAAGTTAGGGGTTGAGGATTGAAATTGGAAATAAGGGTATAAACGTCAATGTAGTATGATTTAGGGCAAAATTTTTTAAATATTAGGGCGACGAATAGCAATTCAGTTTTTTTCCTTAGGATTTTCCTTATAAATTTATTTTTATTAATTTTTAATTAATAAAGTATGTGGACAGTATTCCATTCAAAACACAGGCCAAATCTGTCTATTTCTTTCAAAAATCGGTCATCACGGTACTATTCGAAAGTTTAGACTAAAAGTGTATATTTTACTTCGTGCAAAATAGGGAATTAACCCAAAATAAAGTACCAAAAGGAAAACTTTCATTTAACTAACCCCTAGATCAGTTCCGCGCCGATCCCCTTCCACTCTTAATTCTTAAACCCTTTTCCCGTCTCCACCGCCATCTTTAGGGGACGCCAGTTTTAGAGGCGCTTCTCTGTTCTTGGCGGCTGCGCGGTGGTTAACGAGCGATTCAACCAGTATGGCGGATAGCTTTCTCCGCACTGATTCCCAATTGATCGTCGCGGAACTTAAGCGAAAGGACAGACTGCTGAAACTCAAGCGAAGGTGGGCTTATTGCTTTCTTTTTCTGTTCGCCTTCTTGCATTTTGCTTCTTATTCTTCTTCTGTTCTATCTCTCTATTGATTGAAGCATTGAACTGTGGGTATTGAACCTAAGAAGCTTTTGGGAAGTCTTAGAAAGTTTTAATTTTTTTCATTGAAATCATTCCTTGTTTTGGAGAGCTACCTCCTTTGTCTATTGGATAATGTAGAAGCAGGACCAATGATTTTAGATCCTTAGCTTTCATCACCAGTAGTTTCTATGGCGTTTGTTGCTTCACAAGTTATTTTGAAGGAATTAGTCATTCTCTTATTCACCATGTGATGCTTTTTGTGCAGGTGGCTAATAGGAGCGCCATTGTCAGACCTCAAACTGAAGAGACTTTTGAACAACGAGTAAGTTATTTTTGCTTATACCCTGGTTTCGTACATGATGATGTGTTTACTGAGCAGTCGTTCTTGTGATCTTTCCAGGTGCCTGCCTGAGTCATTGCTTAGAGAAGATGATGTAAGTTATTCTCTTTAACAATGTATGCTTCTACTATTAAAAATGTAGTTTCACAAGCTTTCACCACTATGACTGTTTCATCTGATCTGGAAGTCTATAACTGGTGCGTCTTACCAATTATGCATTAAACTTGAAAGCCTATTATAATTGCATAGATTTCAGCTATCTTGATTTTTCCGTGCCTAGTTATCACATAAGATGCTTAAAGTATCCCAGGTCACCATGATGCCAGTTTGCATTTAGATTCTGTAGGTTTGGTGACGAAATAACACGGTTCCTTGTGTTCACATAAGTGACTAGTTTGCAAGAGTTCTTAAAAGGTGAAATGCAACAGACTGCAACATATTCTGCTCCTATGAGGCTCGACCAATTATATGACCATGAATGATGGGGATTTAAGGGTTGCTTATGCCAGTCATGGTTTTTATTCCTATTGCTTTGGTAGATTCATAAACAGGTACATCATGGTTGACAATTTTCATTTCTCTTACACAGATATTTTATGATAATGTTAAAACATTTGTTGAACAAGCATATGGAGCACACCATGTTGAAAGACAGGTCAAAACAACTAGTCAGTTTCTCAACGTGAACAACATCGAAGGCATTTTGTTGTCTTGTCTGGATTTTTTGACCAGTAAAGGTCTTTACGTTGTTGCTACGTTCCTTACAAAAGGTGAGCTGAAGTGTGAAAAGACTCGGAATAAAATGAGAAAGGTTATCCAGAAATCTATTCCAGGATTTCTTAGGAATCTGGATAGCAACGATGACAAAGTAGAAACTTTTACCAAGTTATCTCAGCTTCTCACTGACCGAGAGAATATTAGACAGGACCACTGTTCACATCTTTTTCAATGGAATGCTGCTGCAATAAAAATTCTGGATAGACTGAAGGACTTGCCAACTGAAGCACTGTTTGCTATGCGCAGAAAACTAAGAGGGATGCCGGCAGAATTACCTAGTTTACGGAAAACGAAACATGGTTGGAGTCGAGATACCCTGATTTGTAAGGTTAAGAGAACTATTAGGAAGATGCTATCGGAACTTGTTGGGAGTGGGAGGCATAGCTTCCAGGAACCTTTAGCCAAGGCCCTAGCGGTTGCAGGTTTATCACTAAAGCTGAAAAGATGTCCTGGTTCCTGCATGACTGACTTCATGAAATTTTCGCCAGAAATAGAACTGTTACAGACAGAAATCATAAAGGCTATTTGGTTTCTAGAAACTAAGGTCAGAATGCCAGAGCTTCAAGCCTTGCAACAGTTGTTGGATCCATTTGCTAATATCTCAGCAAGGTCTTTACGAACAGCGATGAAAAAATTATTCACCGAGTATCTGTTTGACTGCAATGATTTAGACTTCATTCCCAAGGGTTTTCCGAAAGCTCTTAATCTTATCAATAGGTGCACTCGAGTTTCACCCGATGGCTACTTGTTGAACCATGCTATTGAAGAGGAGGCAGAATCTATCTTAAGTGTAAGTTCTGATATAAAGCAGCTTGTTTGGGATTTAATTCCTGGCTATGGGCTCGCTGAGAATTTTGGCGATGCATATATGGAAGAGCCATGTGGAAGTGAAGATGATGGTAGTGATGTGTCTCCCAAGCAACAAGAAACTTTCGACTCCCCAAGTTTCAGATATGGTTCTATGTACTCAGAGAACGATGAAGAGAGCTGTGGAGAATATACGCCTTTGGATGTTGAGCTAGACAAGCCTAATCCCGACCAGGAAGGTGAGAGTCTTCCTAGTACACATGATGATTGCGAGATTGGCAATCCTTCTCTGAGCATGGTGTTAAGAGTCGAATGTGATATGAACGCTGAACCTTATCAGAGTAATGCAAATAGTCCAAGAAACGCATCAGGTTTTCATGAATTGAACCTTTGCTCTAGAGGGGAAGAATCTGGCCCTAGCAATCAGACTCTTGGTAACAACTTGTACCTTGATGTCCAAGACGCTTCCGATGAGACAAGTTTGGTAGCCTACAATCTCATTGGTTCTCTATTAGCGGGGTTCACATTAGAAGAAAGGCTTGATCTAGATTATGCAGATGGATATCTGAGAGGAAACTATTCATATCAACAGGATGCAGGTATTGAAGTCCTTCCCTCTCACTCCAAAAAAAAAAAAATCTTTGCCTCTGTGTCCACTTCCATAGTTCTGGTTGATTGTACAGATGTTGTATGATACATGAAGCCATCAATTGATCTGTGAGATATCGGAACTCTAGCTTTCAAATATTCAGAATGTTTTTTTGGCTACATACAACAATTTTGATATGCTTATGACTTGTCAAGCATATAAACATGGGAGCAGTATAGTCGACTGGATCTATCAGTCACCGTGTTGTGCCTGCGAGGAGAGTCTAACGACGAAACTTATGTTTTTTATGGAATATCTCCTGCATAAAAAGTCATCTAGGATCTAGTATTTCAGGAAAATGAGAGATTGATGACGTATTATAATTAAAATAGTGACAGACAAATAATGTTTCACATGGCAACTTGGTCATCTTTCCCAGGGATCCCAGATTAGGGAACCTTGGGAGAGCTGCTGGCTCCAACATGAGATTTTGCTTGCTGGTATTGACCAAGTAGTCCTTTTTGTTTGAAACGTTAATTTGATAATATTTGCATCTAGGTTCTGTTAGTTGTTAAAGAAGCAAGTTGCTGTCACTATTATAGTGTTGTATTTGAGCCAACCTTGACTACATAGGTGACCTCTGTTGCCTGGTTTTTATCTTTCTAGTCAAGATTGTCATGCTTACAGTTGTCTCTTCGTGGTGTGATTTAGGACCAGCGTAATTTCTGTTAGGCTGTTGCTGGTCCTTTTAACTGTCCCTAGAATTTATCATCCTATCTTCTTTTAGATTCTTATGTGAGTATTTGACAGATCTTGTGCAAGCTTTGGAAATCAATTTTCTGAGATTAATATAATCAATGGCCAACCATATGGCTTTGAATTAGCATTTCCTAACCTTGTCATGATTGCATAGAATATTTTACTTATGTGGCTTCTCACTCTCTTGTGTTATTATTAAGCAGGAAAGATCTCTCCTACGAAACAGGCAGCTGGTTCTACAGTTGTTCAAGTGATTGAAGAGCTAATACCTTCCTTCCCTAGGAGGTATGTTGGTTTTCCATATTTATTTGTTTCTGAGAGTTAGATTGTTTTCTTCGACAATATTTGCTGTGTCCTGCTCAGTAATCTGTTTCATGGCGGAGGTGATTAGAAGATGATATTGAACAGTCTTCTGTGATACTTGATTAACATAGGTGCAGGCTTGTTTTGTGATGGCATAGAATTACAGAAGACCTATGGTTGCTAATCTTTGCTTTGCAATTGTCTTATGGCTTGCAGTGGTGTGGAAAAACTGAAGGAGCTGATGGACACTTGAAAATTGATTGGTAGAGCCTGGAGCAGCCCCAGAATCATATTCTCCAGTGTTCTGGCTGCGTTGTGTGTTGAAGAAGCTCATCTCCGTTTGCCGATATGTGCATGGTTATTGAGTTTAACAGAGAAGCAAGTCCCTGAAAAGTAAGAAACTCAAACCTAAACGTCAAATGTGAGATGATGAGGATGTATCAGTTGTTGTGAAATCTCTTCAACTGTAGAATATGTGTATGTTCGTTAAATTATGCATCTATGAAGGAATCTCGATGTGGAAATATAAGCATTTACGTAGGCCAGAGAGCCGAACTAGAAATGAGGCCCTTCTGCATTCATTTTTCAATCTATTTTGGGTCTGCTCACTTGGTAGTTTAGAATCAACTAGTCTTGAAAGGTAGTGTGCCCTGTGAGATTGGTACCGAGTGTCCCGTCCCCCTTGCATTACTAGCTGTAGCGGGCAGTTAGAAACGTGGTATGGACCAAACCAAAGGTTCTGCTGCTATCGACACCTACCCAATTAACCAAAAGGGATAGGAAGTCTGGTCTCTTAAGTACTCTAAGCTAGTGACTGTCGGTGAGAAACACATGTTTCCTATTGCGTTCGTTTGCGGTGGCAGAGCTCCATGCTTAATTTTGGTTTCCAGTTTTACTTTCTACTAGACACTTGGTAATATGGTCTGCATTTAGTTTGCACGCAGATGTCGTTGATGGTGAGGCTTCATGGGATAAACATGCTTATGACCTGATTTCGTGAATGGCAATGATAGATAGAGCTCATGCATCGAATTTTTGGTAAGTCATCCCTGTTCTTGCTTGATCATGTGTGTTGCACTTGCATGTCTTGCTCCGTGGTTTCTTCTTTCCTTGTTCTCGATCTTTTTATCGTTTGCCATGAAGCGTCTTGAACTATAATAACTTTGTTCAACATGCAGGAGGGGTGTAACAATCTGGCCAAACTACAGCTAAGAATCATAGAAGAGGCAGAGTACGCATTTCAGGATCATTGCACGCAACTTGGTAGTAATTAATCCAATAGGAAAGCAGACACGCTGACGAGCCCTTGTCGACAGGCTGAAGTTTTGGCAGCTGCTTACTGAGGTAAGCGCGCAGAAATTATCCCTTCTCATCTCGTGTCGAGGTCCAGAGTCTCGAGCTGTTTCGATGAGATTTGATGCATTATTATGATGTTGGTAAATCATGGGTTGAGCTCTATTTTGGTGGAGAACATGAAAATTTTGAGATTTAATATCCAAAAGACAAATAAAATTATTTTTATTGTGGAAACCACATAAGTCATATATGATCATCCGATCGACGGGGCGTCTCTATATAATTTTATTTCTAAACCTAATATTGAGGAAATGATTTATCTAAAAGATATGTAAAGCAACTATGAGCAGCAAGTAGAAAGTAGAAACCGAAGGCAAACAGATTCTGCCAAAGAAAAATAGCAATCGGGTTATTCAACAGTCAAAATCACCGAATGATTTTTCCATCTTTGACGGCGATGCAACGTCTTCGCTGCCGCATGAAAAGTCGAGAGTTGACATTCTAGACTGATGATGACTTGCACAGCTGCTCTTCGTTGAGTTATTCATTATAACTTCTCATCTTCTCGCCAAAGGAAGGATTTCGGATTTTCGTTCCCCTGTAACTTGAAACAGACCAGAAAAGAAAGAAGCGGAATGGAGTCCACGAAATCCAACAGCCTCGGAAACTCTCTCCTCGTGCCTTCTGTCCAGGAGCTGATAAAGACCCAAATCGACTCTGTTCCATCCAGATACTTACGCCCTGATCTTGTCGACCACCCGATTTCCGTCGCTGATGTTCCGGTTGTTGATTTGGGGAAGCTGATTGATGAAGCCACCATGGATTCCGAGCTCGCAGTCCTTCACTCTGCCTGCAAAGATTGGGGCTTTTTCCAGGTTCAACCAAGCCCCTGTTTTCATTCACACTTCCTTCGATCAATTTTTTTAGAATTCTCTTCTGAACAAAGGATGAAACAGGGGATTGAGCTTGATTCTTTCTGGAACATAAACTGGGTTTGCAGAATTTGTTTCATTCCTTTTGACTTTCGCTCTTGGCGGAAATTTGATGCATTCTGTATTTCTGATGCAGTTGGTAAACCATGGAGTGAGCTCTACTCTGGTGGAGAACATGAAGACACAAGTTCAGGAATTCTTCTACTTACCAATGGAAGAAAAGCAAAAATTCTGGCAATTACCAGGAGAAATGGAAGGGTTCGGGCAGGCATTCATTGTCTCCGAGGAGCAGAAGCTCGATTGGGCCGACGTCTTCTTCCTCGTCACTCAGCCTCCCCACCTCAGAAAGCCGCACTTGCTCCCAAAGCTGCCCCTTCCGTTCAGGTCTTATACATCAGTTCCCTTCGCCCTTTTTCTTTCGAGTGATTCAGAGTTAGAGTACTCACATATCGGTGTCCTATATTCTTCGGTTCTTTCTACAGAGACACATTGGAGAACTACTCGCTCGAGGTAAGAAACCTTGCAGCACAAGTACTGGACCATATGGCAAAAGCCCTGCAGATGAAACCAGAGGAAATGAAGGACATATTCTCGGGGAATGTAAGGCAGACAATGCGGACGAACTACTACCCTCCGTGCCCGGAGCCTGACAAAGTCATCGGCTTCACACCTCACTCCGACGGCACTGGCCTCACCATACTCTTGCAGGTGAATGAGGTTGAAGGCTTGCAGATTAAGAAAGACGGACAATGGGTGCCAGTCAAGGTCCTTCCCAATGCTTTTGTGGTCAACGTTGGTGACATTCTCGAGATGATAACCAATGGAGTGTACCGGAGCATCGAGCATCGGGCGACGGTGAACTCGGAGAAGGAGAGGCTGTCGATTGCTTGCTTCCATTCTCCTAGGTTCGATGGGAAGATCTACCCTGCGCCGAGCTTGGTGTCTGGAGACAGGGCGGCCTTGTTCAGGAATGTGAGCGTTAAGGAGTTCTTTAGGGGATTCTTCTCTCGTGAGATTCAGGGGAAGTCTTACCTCGATACCTTGAGGATCTGATGTATGGAAAAAGGCTCTCCAAAAGCATTGATTTGGGTTCGCTTGCAGCTTGTACTTTGCCAGGGCGATACTGGGTTGTACTGTGCCGGAATAAAATCCATCCATTTCATAGGATGCATAATAGTGTATCAATGATATATCTATAGAATACACTCCTTTCACTTGCAAAAAGCTTGTCAGCCACTTCTATAAGCCTTACCTTGTCGCCAAGAAAATCAATTCGGTAGCTTGTCGTTTGGCTCTTCACCCTGTTCTCACATAGTCACATGCATCCGATCTTTCATGTTTCCATGCATGCAAGCAGGGGGAAATCCAGACATTTAGAGGTGTTCTAAGACATTTCTGAGATTCAGCAAAAATTCACCCACTCATCAAATAGTATTTTCAGGTTAGAAAAGCTAGCTTTATTCCCGGCATGTTGGTCAGGAAAATTTTGTTTTTGACGTAATTTATATTGTTTTATTTACTTTAAAGTTGAAATTATTTAGACTTTTGTAAGTTTTTTGGGACATGATACTATAGGTTAAAGTTATTTAGATCATTAATTAACCAACACTTGAGACGTGATACAATAGCCTAACTCTAATGGGTGAACCCTAGGTCTTGCTTCTCTAAACGTAAACCTTAGGCTTGTTGGTCTGGTCACTGGTAGGGGTGTACATGGATCGGGTGGTCCGGGTTTTGGCATTTTAATCACTCGACCCATGCACTACGATTTTGGAAATATTAAACCCAAACCCACCCAAAAAAAATTAAACCCTACTGTTTGTTTCTAATTGGGTTGGGTCGGGTTGGCGATATTTTTAAGTAAAAATCCAACCCAACACAAAATATGTAATTATTCTACACCATAAAAATATTTTATAACTAATTAAAAATTCAAACGAATAAACCGAGATGAAAAGGTATCAAAATTCAAAAATGTTGTTTGAATTTTAATAAAATTTGATTTACTTCAACTTATGTCTAGTTTTCTTCACGACATTTGTTGAAATAGGCTAAAAAGGTTACAGATGAACGCATTCATAATATGTTATTCTATTAAAATTGTACACAAGAAAAATAATTACGTGAATCATAGCTATATTAAATTTATGTCTAAACTTTAAGTCGAACAGAAAAACATGGCGAAATATCTTAATTTTCTCATAAGTATGGCTATATACGACATAAATATTTTTTTGGATACGAACTGACACCAATATTTGGAACATGGGTTGGTCGGGTTCTACGGGTTGTGTAATTCAAACCCAACCCATAAGAGGCGGGTTGTACAAAAGAAACCCTCACTCAACCCAAAACCTTCGTTTTAGTGATAAATACGGGTGGGTTGGGTCGGGTTGGACGGGTGGGTCGGTTTGCGGGTATCTTTGCTCACCCCTAGTCTCTGGTCTATACTTTAGCCTCTCAGTTTGGACCATAGACCGTATATATGACCTGGTCTGGACCAGAGCGCATCGTTTCCCAGCTCTAAAGGGAGGTAGTCTCCTCTTCGTGGTGGCATAGGGGTTACGGGCTTTTGGTCGCATGCGAAAAAACAAATAACGAAGTAGGCCTGATAGACCCAACCGTTTGAAAAACGGTGGATCAAACTAAACCACACACTTTGGTTCGGATCGTAGACCATTAAAAATGATTTGGTATTGTCCATGGTCTGTGTTATATTGTGTTTTGATAATTTGGTCTGGTCTAGACGTGGTTTTACTGGACCAAACTGTGGACCCAACTGACTTTCCAATACGTGTTAGCAGACCACTCGATGACTCTCCGAACTCCTCCAACAAGACCCAAAACTCAACCCTAATTTTGAGAATCTCGTCCTCTCCTTCGTTCACAAACGACATTTCACCAATGAGTAGATACGACCTTGTCTCCATGACATTATGGCGAAAGTTAGGATGCTTTGACTTTGTATCTTTGTTATTTATTAGAGATTTAGAGTGTCAAAATTATTCATTTGTGTTGGAATTTATGTTTGAAGGCAAAATAATAATTTTTTTCTTGATTATTGGTTCAACTTTTCGTGTGGTTGACTAAACAAATAGTTCGATTTTCGTTCAATATGGTCTATTTGTACCAGACTGTACCGGACCAAACCGCACAGACATGGTCTGGTACAGACTGTATAGTATGTGGCCTGGTCTATGATCTATACTTCCACTTCTCGATATTAACCACAGACCATACGTATGGTCCATTCTGGACTATACCGCACTGTTTTCCAGCTCTATATGTTAGTCTTGATGACGTGGACATCCTCGGCTTCCATTTCATATTACGTGGCATGGAAAACGCTTATATATTTATCAAGACAAGATTAACATTAAGGTGTAACGCTTAACATTTCCTTATTGTTACGGGTTCATACTTCATAAAGAAAATTTATCCACATTTGTCAGTTTTTCCCCCCCAACTTGGACAACAATAATAAATAGAAATTGTCGCACACGATGTCATGGCTCTAAAACACGTGTGTGGCCTCTCCCATAAGCAAATGTATCGGCTATGTCGATGTCAGGAATTCCATCTTGAAGTATTCTCAACTTGACAGAGTACTCTCTGAGGATTTGGATGCACCGTCCGGCGCAGTACATCCACCATTATCAAACTAGATAGAAAAGGAAACAAAGAAGACAGCTAAATTGCTTAGCTAGGGAGGATTAAGAAATCCATGGATTCAGAATCAGAATTACCAGCTGCTGGGATGAGCATTGGCAGCTCCCTACTTGTCCCTAGCGTTCAGGAATTGGTGAAGCAGCAGGATTTGGCCACTGTTCCACCCAGATATGTTCTTGATGATCAGGATGTTGCTTCACTTCATCAGCAGCAGCCTCAGCTTCCAGTTATTGACCTCCAGAGCTTGCTCGATCCAGAGTCCATGGATTCTGAACTCGCCAAGCTCCAGTCCGCCTGCAAAGATTGGGGCTTTTTCCAGGTATGAATATGATCACCACCAGTGTGCATGTTCTTACTCCGAATGTTGGAATGCCTTGAATCTGTTATCTGTATGCATACCTTCTAACCCTCCATTACGTTATAAAAATGAAGCCCAGTTCTGCTTAACATTGAATGAGCTCGTGCAGTTGGTAAATCATGGGATAAGCAGTGGTCTGTTGGAGGAGATGAAGGCACAGGTTCAGGAATTCTTCAATCTGCCAATGGAGGAGAAGAAGAAGCTGTGGCAGTTTCCAGGAGAGGTTGAAGGGTTTGGACAGACGTTTGTGGTCTCCGAGGAACAAAAGCTGGACTGGAGTGACATTTTCTACTTGGTCACCCAGCCACCCTATCTGAGGAAGCCTCACTTGCTCCCTAACCTCCCTCTTCCTTTCAGGTTTGCATAGATTTCAAACTCGCGGATAAAACAATTCAACTTTAAGCCTCGTCCAAGTGATTTTTCTTGTGTGTAGGGATACTGTAGAGCAATACTCGTTGGAGGTGAAGAATCTGGCCTCCACCATCCTGAAACATGTTGGAAAGGCTTTGAAGATCGAAGGGGACGAGGAAATGAAGGATTTTTACGAGAACGTGAGGCAGACGATGAGGATGAACTACTACCCTCCATGCCCCAAGCCAGAGAGAGTTATGGGGCTGACTCCTCATTCGGATGGCACTGGTCTCACCGTCCTTCTGCAAATAGGTCAAGTGGATGGTCTGCAGATAAAGAAAGATGGGAGATGGGTTCCAGTCAAGGCAATTCCCAATGCTTTCGTGGTCAATGTTGGTGACATTCTAGAGGTGAAGGAACTCAAATACTAAAAGCTGTGCATACAATGGGAAGTTCTTTACTTCTGTATGTGCTGAACAATTTCTGGTTGTGTAAGCAGATCATAACCAATGGAGCATACCGTAGCATCGAGCACCGTGCAATGGTGAATTCGGATAAGGAAAGGCTCTCGATTGCCTGCTTCCATTCTCCAAGGTATGATGGTGAAACCGGGCCTGCTGCTAGCTTGATCACAAAAGAGACTCCGGCTCTTTTCAAGAAGGTGACAATCAGAGAGTTCTACAATGGCCTCTTTTCCCGCCAGCTTGACGGCAAGGCTTACATCGACACTTTGAAAATCCAACACAACGAGAAACCTTGATCGAAGCAGGGATAGAATGTGCAAGGGTTGAACAATCGCAACGTTCCAAGTTTGAGTCATGTGACTGACTCTCTCTTTGGTATCCTCGATTCCATTGTGGTTTCTTGTAAGCGAAGAAACCGGAGAATTCCGAGTTTATTAAGGTGCTGTGTGCTGATGACAAGTTCAATCATGTCCAAAGAATGATGCATGTTACAATCCTACTCTGCAAATGAAAAGAAGCCAAACTTGTTCTGTCATATTCTTTCACGAGTTGAAATGCAACTACAAAATCGTATTACCCCTTTCCTCATCCCCAAGTTTCCCGCCTTGTTCACTTTTTCCCCTTTGTGATTCTGACTGAAGGGATGATATCATGGACTTTCAACACGTTTTCTTTCTACTGCACATGTATATTGCCTTGTATATCACAAAACCCGTTTGACTTCAGTTTGAGATTCTTTTCTTTTTACATATTTTTCTTTTTCTGGTTGAGATCACTCCCCTCCTGCAGAGGTGACTTCCTCATTGTCAAAAGGAGATGAGGAAACTGTGGTGTCTGAGGCGGCATCGTCGATGGTCAAGCTAGATACATCACCGGCGATGGAAGAGCTTTCATCTTCACCACAAACTGAAGGGGCCGGGGATGCATCAGGTGTAGCGTTGCATGTGTTGCAACTGGAAGGTGCCGGGGACAGCGACTCCCCTTCTTCCACTGCTTTTTGGAGGCTCCAGTACATAATGCTCGCCGCTAGCGTCAGAATCATCTTCTGGTTCACCTGCAACCAAACTCGGAGATGAGTTTGGCTGACCTTAATTCCACCCCTAACAAGAGATTTCCCTCAGTAATAACAGTTCTATACAAAAGAAAGCAGTGTTACCTCCATAATGTCTTCTGGCAACACGAAAATGGAACAGCCAAGTTTCCTGGCCACGCTGATAATGTATGTAGCATTCAGTCTCTTTTCGTCATCTGTTGTATTGAAGTGGGGGAAGAAGATGAGGATAACCAAAGCTGTCAGTGTCCTACTACTAAAAATGCAGAATACATGCATTCACAATGCAGAATAGCTGGGGAAAATGGTCATTAGTGATTACCACTTTCGCCCTTCGTGACAAGGTTCCAGTTTACAACTCTGGGTTCCACAGAACTGAGAAGCTCAAGGAAGAATATACCATTTGATATGCTCTTATCCTGGCAATAATTTCCATATTTTTATAAAGTCAGCACACGTCAGCTAACATATTTCAACTGATGACAGGGGTAAAAAGTGGATAACTTTTATTTTATTAACCTTGAAATTCTCAATCCGGGAAGCTCTCCCCATACTTCGAACTTTTTTATTCACCCAATGCAAGATATCTGTATCAGTTACTTCCTTCCCTTGAGAGTGTGATCTCAAGTTCTTCAAAAGTTGAAGCATGGAATATCTCATCAATTGCCATAAGAAAGCTGAAAAAGAACTAAGAATCTTCAGATTCAGTGCGACATTAATCATAGGTACTAAACTCAGGGAGAGCATGAAAAGTGAAGAGACCATGGACATTTACCGAGTATGAGTTTCTTATTTCCTTGCACAAAATCATTGCCAGCTAGATTAACAAGTGAAAACTTCAACTGCCTCCCAATCTTTATGACCTGATTGCAATTCTCCACTTTCCTGAATGGCATTTTGATGGGAGGTTTTGTGGCATGCTTCCAGTTAACTGATCCGGGTTTAATCTTGTCAAGTACTTCAAGAAGTATCCACCTGCAAGCATAATGTTCCAGAATCCAAGTTACCGCCAAACCAAAATGCAAAAACTGTTCCAAGAAAAGAGAAAAACATAAGTTGAAACTTAAAAAGATACCAATACACCAAAATGGAATCCGTACTATAGAAACATTGCCTTAATAGGTAACAAAAAGAGACTGAACATCTGCAAATTGTACCATGTGAAAACCAGTAGATTGAACAAGAGAGGGGAAATTTACCCATTCCTAACATCCTCAAACACGTTGTTACAATAGGTAGCTCCAAGACTATTGATCCACAATCTAAAGCATCTCTCTTCTCTGGATGTTTGCACATCATCTGTCATCATCTCTGCAAAAGCATACTTTTTGCCATCTGTACTCAGGCCACTCCTGCAATAGTAAGATGCAAATTTCATTTCAATCATAATTTTTTTGGGGGGGGGGGGGGGGGGGGGGGGGGGGGGGGGGGGGGGGGGAAGGAAATAGCACGATCAGAAAAGCTTTTTGACCAAAGGAAAAAAATGGCATGAACATGAAACCATAAAGAGCATAGAGTATGGTACTCCTGCAAAGTTATCAAGAAGAAGATAGCATAAATATTTCATGATGACTCAGAATAACAAAAATGCTTAAATGATTAAAATGCCGTGACCCTAATCAACCATGTCAGTTGGGTTGAGGGATATTTTCAGCATAAATGCATCAAAACTTAATTGTAGCTACTATCAATTCCGACTATGGAACCTCCACTTGTTTGTGTGAATGTGTGCATTTGCCTGCATGGAGCAATTACCAAGAGCTAAAGCAGCATTTTCAAACACATTGGACCACAGCCAACAGGTCCCTTTTCCAACTACCACATGATTAGGGAACACAAAGTCTCTAGAAAGCATTGGTACACAGACTACAGTAACTATGCTGATACATTTACTCTAAAACACCACCACTGATGCAATGTAGATGGTGTATATATCTCTACATTTACTCTAAAACACCACCACTGATGCAATGTAGATGGTGTATATATCTCTACAACGCATTCATATGAATGAGCCCACCTCACTTAATTTCTTACAAAAGTATACATGCTCAGCGTAATAGTAACATATACCCAACAGTTCAGAAAGTAAGGCCCTTAGAGTCAGTGTCCCTCACCTTCGATGAAATATTTGTGCTACAAAGGCAAGATTCAGATTTGATGAGCCTTCAACAATATCAGTTGGTTTCAAATACCGTTTGCAGCCCATTTTCTCAGCATGATCAAGTACTAGTGTAGCCCTCTCAAGCGCAGTCTTAGCGTCCAATGTAGCTGGATTGCAGTGCTCTGGTGCAAGTACATTAAGAAGGTAGGCATAAGCCCTTCCATCCTACAAGTTTGGCCATGAAAAAATCACCACATGCATAATTTTCAGAGAATGGCAAGATTCAAACACGTTTTTCATAGTTTTAATAATTATCTCAATATTGCCTGTGCATATTTGTTGCTAGAGCATAGATATAAAATGATATTGCTAGTACCTTCAAGTCGGAAGAGAAGTTTGAAACACGTTTTTCATAGCCTGCTTTGCCCAGATGGAAATTCATCCATTTCAATAAGAGCTTTTCAGGGGCCAAGCTCATGAGCTCTTCTATATCCTGAGAGATAAATTTTTGCAGTGGACAATTTTTCAGATTGATTTGCTGAGCAATGCAAATGGGGAGAAAAAAATTAAAGGTCCTCAATTATGTATTTCATTACAGTGTTGTCCTCCACCAATTCCACAAGCTGAGGGGTCTTCTTGAGGTTGAGATCTGCTAACAATTGAATCTGAGAACACCAGAGTGAAGAATTTAAGTCCATATACATTAACACCCAAATCGAGAAAATATGCAAAGTAATTTAGAGTAATGTTTTAAATGATTAATTTCTAAAACCTGCCAGCTACCCCATAGCCTTATAAGTTATAACTCGCGATATGCAAATTTGCAATGAAGAAAAAAGCCGAACCTAACCTTTATAATCTGAGAAATTAAACCAAGCACAAGATGAGGCTGCAAAATCATTGGAATTATGTTAGCAACAAATCTTCTGATTACCACAAATGAGACCTAGTTTATAGCATAAAAACCTATAGGTAGATTAAACCTACTCTTGCTTCCACCAAGTCCTGTGTACCAATGTTAACCACTGTGCAACCGATAGCCTTTGCAGAGTTAAGGCAAAGGGTGTGGTTCTCATTCCTCTCCCACAAGTTAAGAATCTTTTTACAATTGATTGCCCGCTCATCAATAGTCCCAGGCACAGCAACATTGATAAGCTTACTGAACAAAAACCAAAATGAAGACGATGATTAAATTCAAGGTAATACAGCAACAAAAGTACCAATGAAATTGCCAAATCAACTAACCATAGAAGAACTCCATCCTTCGCAAGATCAAATAAATCATTTGTCGCTGGATCCAAGGGAAGAAACTGCTTCAGAAATGGGTCATCCTCAAGGTAACTGTTTATGTGAGCTACATATAATGCTCGCTCAGAATGGCTAATAGTGTGAAGCAGAGTGGTTATTGATGCCTTGAGGAATGCTGAGGCTGTTTTTGAATGCCCTGATTTAGCATTAGCTTGACCTTGCAAATTCAAGTACACCTGTCACATTCCGAGTTCGTAAGCAAAGAAAGAGTATATCCTTTTCCGTGGCAACAAACTACAATATACCAGTCACACTGTTCAGTTCCTATTTATTGAAATCCAAATGCCAAATAGGGTGGTTCAAATGGACATTATGAGACTTCTGACGATAATAAGTTGGTTCACAAAAGCAAATATAAAAGGGAAGGCAAGGTTATGAAAATGAGAGCAGCTCACCCTGAGAAACCCTTCAAAGTCTATATCGACAGTCAAGTCAGGAAAGGATTGAGCTAAGAGGCCTGCAACCTCTTCCTCCTTGAATGTTGAAGCAAAGGCTTTTAATGTCACCAGCAAAGATGGCAAATCTCCAATTGTAACTTTACCTTTCTCGTTCTTTACTGCGGTAAACTGAATTAAGGGAGGGGGAGGAACAAACATCAATAACATTAAAAGTCAAGCTGGATCAAAAGAACTTGAAAAATGACATTTTTCCATCGGAGGATGATTCCAGCGGACAAAACGCCGGCATTCAAACAGATAAACACTGAGGATAACAAAAAGGGACTTACTTTAGATTTGAGGCTACGAAGCTCCACCTGCGTGAACTGATTCTGCAGCGTTGGATCAGAGACTTGAACACCTAAATAACTCGTCATCTCCGCGAATTAGCCTTCCGCAAAGAAGGCCAAATGATTTTCAGTGGTACCTAGAGAATGCCCAAGTTGTCCAAACTTTCACGATCTCAGAACCAGCAGCAGAATCAAAGCTCCATATCAATCAGCAGGTCTCTCCCCTCAGATTTGCATGAACCGCACAGAACCTCAGAATCCAGTCCCTGGATCAAAGATTCAATCACGGCCCGATATTCTTGATTTACATTGTCGAAAAGTTCAATAAACATTTGACCACCAAAAACAAATCGCAACCAATCAAACACATTCCACCGCCAAACCATTAAGAAACAAATTCTATCGTAAACCAAATGTTGTTAGCATCCAAAACAAATTCTATCATCCGCCAATCAGAAAAGAAGCACATCACAACATGCGAACAACAACAACAAAAACTTATGCAACAAGTTTCTCCCCATTTTTTCCCAAAAACAAACAGAATTTAGTGCGACCCAATAGGGCAAACACGAAATCAAAGAGAACCCAGAAAATAGCATACCTGCAGAAGGGGGAGAGACAATCAGAAGAAGAAAAAAAGAATTTCTTCTTCTTTTCTTCCCCCCGGAAGACGAGAATCCAAAAACTGGATTCACGCCTCAATTAACCAGGCAGCAGTATCCAATAGCACCAGATAAAGCATATTTATATGACTATATCTGGCTTCGCCATCCCATGTATCACAAAAAGGACCGAACTTTTAATAGAAAAACTGGATAGAGGGAGAAGGGGGATCGGAATTCCTTCAGGGGAGAGCAAAGTTTGTGATTTTGTGTGTGGCCGAAACGGGGAGAGAACGGTTGTGTAGCAGCAGCAAGCCAGCAACCAGGGAAGACGACAGACTGGCCTATTCAGAAAAAACCAACCGGTTCAATCCGCTAATTCAAGTGCTGGAGGGAACAGGGTCACTACTGTGAGCTCGCGGGCTCTCCGTCTGCCAACGCATTCAAGGTCTCATGACACGTACCTCTGAAGGCTGTTTTGGCTCTGTCCTCAAATTAAATGTTCTGCTTTTGTTTGTTTTGTTGGGAATTGAGAATTGACCACAACAACAATCGGTAATTTCCCGTATTACAAGTTTTGATTTATCATCACCGTGTTTGTGAAACCGTACTCTACTGACGGTCTAATAGTGTTTGTGAAACCGTGTTTAAAAAGCATAATAACATAAACAACTTTGGAATCATGGATCAAAATCAATATGTAAAATGAGTGTATATCATTGGTGCAATAAATGGTCATGGAGTAGTGTTTTCTAAACTTCAAAATAATTTTATAGGCTCCATTTGATTAGTCTCTTCTAGAACATTAGCAATCAATTTCTATGATCAAGTATGTACTTTTCTCAATTTTTAATTCATGTTTTTATTATTAAATTTTAAATTAAAAATATAGATCATTATTCTCTTTATCTTACTATTCACGTAGTGCTCAATAATTTTTTTTTTAATATTCACTCTCTTTCTCGTAATTAGTAAGATTATAATCGTCAATATTAAGATAATTATTTGAACATTCGAAGTATCGATATATAACCGGTGGATTGAATTCCTGAAGAGGTATAACGATGCTCTTTGACCTCGAAAATTTTAACAATGAATACCTGTAAAAAAACTCATTGACAATTAATTGGTAGGATTTATTTATGGTTAAAGTTGCTAGGGTAAAATAATGAGTAATAGTATTGACAGTACTTTTGAGCGTGAATCCATATTAACCTAATATTCATAATACACCTATCCCGATCATGAGTTGTATCCCGATCATGAGCTGTATGGGTTTAACTGGGGTGAACCCCAATAATATAAAGCTGGATAAAATATATCGGATACCATTTAAATTTGATAATTGGGGTAGACATACAACTTAACTTGAAATATGGTTCCGGGTACCATTAAAGTCGCCAAAATATGCATCCGTCTAGTTTTTCATCTAACCCAAAAAAAAAATTAATTACCTTTTGGTACCCAAAACTTTTTAAAACATCCAAAATTATATTTAAATAAGTATTAATTAATATAAAAATGAGAAAACCTTGTAAACATAGTATTACTAGAATGACTAATGAAAATTTGTCGATAAAATAGATAAATTAGTAAAATAATATGACTGTAAGAAGAGCATCTAAAATATAATATTAGAAAATTACAAGGAGATTTAACATAGATAATTAGACAATATCATCATGATGTAAGATAACAAAATATAACATCCTTAGATTATTTATATCGAGACATAATTCATAGGATAAATTTGCTTCAGGGAATAATTCAATTATTAGAACACATAATGATAATTAAAAACACTTATAATGATAATTGATTCTAAATTTCCTACTAGAAGGACCAATTCTGAAATTTAGAAAACAGAATATTCCAATTGTTGGGGGTGTTACTAAATACTCCACGCGCGGACTAAATAAGGGGAGCTCAATCGGTAACGTGCTCCGGACGAACGCCACTACGAAGTATTTAAAGGCATGAAACTCCCCATTGAAAGGGACCTTTTTTCCTCTCCCCTCACTTTCCACTTTCCGCTATCTCTCTACACTACTCTCTCTATCTATTCTGTCAACTCTCTCCTCGAGCATACGCTGACTTGATCGTCGGAGCATAATCCGGGGGGCAACCCCGGCTCTTTCACAGGTTCTCTCCCTCCCGACGGGATCTGGCCGCACCTGAACCGCTCCGCATCTGCGCGAACTGTGGCTCAGAATTGGAGATTCGGGGAACATCTCTTGCACGCTCTGTTACACCCTCCGCCGCTTAATTCCGCGCACGCAATCCTCCGTACCTTCGTCCGCGCAGTCAAATCTCTCCGGCGTCGATTCCCCGCTTTGGCCTCGCGATTTCAGTAGCGTTCTCCGCCCCTGCCTAGGTCCGCCCGCACCTCCGCTCTCATCGTCGCCGCGTGACTAGTGGTCATGTGCTCTTTGTCAGTCTACTAAGGAGGAAGAAACTGAAGAGCGCCAAATGCATTAAGGATAACGACGACCTTTGCTCTCCGCCTCTGAAGACAGCGCGCTGATCATCGCCCTACTCTCAGCCTATCCAACTGGCGGGCCAAGATGAACCCAGCACTCACGGCCCGCTCCGCCAACTTCTTCAGGTTAAGCCCGCTCACACCCTCAACTCGCAGCACAAGTCCGCCTCAACACCACTCTTGCATCACGGCCCGCCCCATGCTCCACACCGTGTCAAAAATATTGTCGTGGCCGCCACGATTTGAACCCGCGCCATTCCTCCCTCGGGCGGGCATGTCAACCAGCAGGCTAAAGCGGATTATTACTACTAAAGCGCGACGCTCCTTATAAATTCACTCAATCGCGGCCCAATTCACAACAACTCTACTCGCGGCCCGCTTCACATCCATCCTTTAACTCCGCCCTTTGGGCCTGCACGTTCAGCCCATCCCGTCCCCTTTTCTGACCGTCCCAGCTCCCTCCGCGCGGGTAAATTGGCGCCATTTAAAGAGGAAGATAAAAAAAAAGAAAAAAGAAGAGGCTCGGCCCACCTCTCCAAAAAAAAAAAAAAAAAGCTCTCGCGGAGGTTCGAACCCGCGCCGCGTGTCCACCACTCCAGCAGTCATGCCAGCATGCTAAAGGAATGCTTGTGCATAAAATGCGCGGTACTTGATGATATTATCTCTCTGACGCACAGCTCGCGGCCCACCTCACCTAGGGATGGCAATGGGTCGGGTTGGGTCGGGTTTTGCCAAACCCATGGGTTTATCCGTGAAAAAAACCCGGGGTAAAACCCACTGGGTTTGAAAAACTCAAACCCAACCCAACCCGCTGGGTATCCGCGGGTTCATGGGTACCCACGGGTTTTTGTCGTAAAAAATTTACAATAACATGTTCCTATCAAAATTAAAGTCAAATATCAATCTCTCAATACAAATTATCCATATTTAAAACACCATTCTAGAAAATTCAAACAAATCACAAATTAACTATACAAATTGTTCAACACCAATCTAGAAAACTCAAGAAAATTGAAGTAAATCATAAATTATCCATAAATAACATATTAATTGAAGGCTTCTTCCTTTCAATTAAGTTTCTTCATTCTCCACTCGATAACACAAACTTCATTCTACACAATTAGAAAGAAAAAATTAGACATGTCTCCACAAACATAAATAAGATTAGTTGTTTAAAATATTAAATATACCGAGAAAATTAATTATATGTGTGGGCGGGTACCCACGGGTCGGGTTTACCTAAACCCAAACCCAACCCAACCCAACCCGATGAATAGTGAACGGGTTTAAACCCAAACCCGACCCAAAACCCGTCAACACGGATTTTACCCGCGTTGACCGGGTTGGGTCGGGTGGGTACCCGTGGATTCGGGTTTGGTTGCCATCCCTAACCTCACCGCCTGTCCACCTCGCGCGTCACGCGGCCCATCCTTGCCCCACACAACTGGCCCACGTGGAAGTCCCAACTCGCGTGCCTCTGCCCGCTCCGTTGAAATGTGGCAATCCCGCCAAGCTCTGACATGGAGCTTATTAAAAAATATAATCGGCGCCAGAGCTTGAACCCGCACCCTGCCTTCACCAAATAAGCATACTAACCAGCGGGCAACATACGCAACCTGTGAACCTATGACGCAGTTCTCATTTTAACAACACTCCGCGTGCAACCTCACACAGGGCCCACTCAGGCCTTCCGCGCGTGCAAAGCCGGCCCAAACCTCCTCCACAAGAGCCATCTTCAACTCGCGGCCCACACTATATGAGCCCACTTCGACCTCCCCAACCCACAACTATCTGTGTCTTTACCGCCTCCGAAGAACGCACAGGAGCCCGCCTCTTAAGCCCGCGCCACACCTCCATTCGCGGGCCGATACTCGCAACACACAAGCCCAACTCGCGGGCATCCAACAAATCAGCACTCTTCAAAAAATTGTAGGCGCCGCGAAGACTCGAACTCGCGCCACTCCTCCCCTAGACAAGCAACGTCACCAGCAGGCTACATGCACGCTTGGTGATCATTGGGCGCAGTACTCTCATATCAAGGAACCCGCGCCATCACCAACTCGCGTCAAATAAAAATTGTCGTCATCGCGAGGATTCAAACCCGCGCCATCACTCCGCCTCACAAGCGCTATTACCAGTAGGCTACATACAAGCCTTCTGCTCCAAGGGCGCAGCGTCTGCATTTTAACAACTCTTCGCGCCGCTTTGCCAATAGAAAGCTAAGTACTCTATCCCTTTATCACTATCAAATATTGAAATATTTTACTCTCATGAGCGTTAATGGCTCTAAGGGAGAGGGAACATTGCCTCGAAGACTCCAAACTGAGGGTTAAAAACCCCGACGAGGAGCCACAAATAAGTCTCAACGAAGCACACAAATAAGACTTCAATAAGAGCATCGAAGACTCCAAACTGAGGGGCTCCAAACTGAGGGTTAAAAACCCCGACGAGGAGCCACAAATAAGTCTCAACGAAGCACACAAATAAGACTTCAATAAGAGCATCGAAGACTCCAAACTGAGGGTTAAAAACCCCGACGAGGAGGGCTCCAAACTGAGGGTTAAAAACCCCGACGAGGAGCCACAAATAAGTCTCAACGAAGCACACAAATAAGACTTCAATAAGAGCATCGAAGACTCCAAACTGAGGGTTAAAAACCCCGACAAGGAGGGCTCCAAACTGAGGGTTAAAAACCCCGACGAGGAGCCACAAATAAGTCTCAACGAAGCACACAAATAAGACTTCAATAAGAGCATCGAAGACTCCAAACTGAGGGTTAAAAACCCCGACGAGGAGAACTCCAAACTGAGGGTTAAAAAAAACCCGACGAGGAGAGCTCCATGAAGAATCTACAATGAGTAAAGGCTACACGCCTTAATGAAATACACCAACTAGGGGGCAAGACGCAAGAAACTTGCACCGCGTCAGTCAAACGCGCCATCAACTGGGGGGCAACTGGGGTACATAGGGCTCCACCCAAAATTACCGACGAAGATTTAAAAAAAATAATAATAATAAGCTAGCGATGAGTTAAGACTCACCACCAGCTTGGGGGGCAATTGTTGGGGGTGTTACTAAATACTCCACGCGCGGACTAAATAAGGGGCGCTCAATCGGTAACGTGCTCCGGACGAACGCCACTACGAAGTATTTAAAGGCATGAAACTCCCCATTGAAAGAGACCTTTTTTCCTCTCCCCTCACTTTCCACTTTCCGCTATCTCTCTACACTACTCTCTCTATCTATTATCTCAACTCTCTCCTCGA